TGATCTGGAAAGGGCCACGGAAAATTATAGTTCCAAAGTCTCAGTAACAGGCTATGCGGATGATACTCCGCACACGATCGCACTCACTAAAACAACGGAAACACAACCTGTAGTGACTTCAACTTTTCAAAATATAAATAACTGGCTTCAGTGCAATCAATTAATCCTAAATTTACAAAAAAGTGAGTGTATTGGATTTAAAACTAAAAACAATAATTTTATATTTCCTCCAAATATAAATTTTAATCAGGTTTCTATTAACTTTACAGAATCATGTAAGTTTCTTGGAATCCACTTCGACACTCAGCTAAACTTCAAGGGGCACATTGACCAATTAGTTTCGAGATTATCAAGAGCAGCTTATGCCATCAAAATATTAAGCAAAAATGTAGCGGTACAAACAACACTAAGTGCCTATTATGGTTATGTTTATTCCCTGCTGAATTATGGCATAATAATATGGGGAAATAGTCCATTCTTACAAAGTGTTTTCGTAATGCAAAAAGAATAATACGTTACATCTTCCATATGAGGATGAGCGAATCATGTAGAACTATATTCAGGGATAATAAGTTACTGACAGTATGTGGAATATTTATATATAATTTACTGATTTATGTAAAAAACAATCCGAAAGAATTTCAGTCTTGCTCTTTTGGCCATACTTACGAGACCAGAAATAAAAGTAACTTCTGCTTACCGGAACATAGACTCACGCTGTTTGAGAAGGGTGTGCATTATTCAGCTATGAGGTGTTATAATCACTTACCGTCAGCAATTAAAGAAATTGCCTCGGTGAAAATATTTAAAGAAGAGGTGTTCAAATATATTTGTGAAACTGAACCGTATAATCTGTCTGAACTTCTTGTTTAATTGTAGTTTGTTTATTTTGTTATGTTATTTTGTTATGTCATTTACAATGTAAATTTCATCTTTGACGTGTCTCATGTTCTAATGTATTTGATCACTGTAGACAAATAAAATTTACTTACTTACTTACTTTCTTTTATAAATCCCCGTCGCCATTTTAGACTTACCCAGAATGGGATGACACAGACACCATTTTGTCCTCATTTTTTTGGGGGTACATACTAACCCAACCCGGTGCCGGCCAACTCAGTGAGTATTTCGGACCCAAGTGGTTCCTCGTTGGTACCATGACCATTGGCTTCCTCTTCCACATAGTCATACCACCAATGGCGTCCACTTTTGGTTCCGTCGGAGTGATGATTTGTAGAATGATCCAAGGCTTAACACAAGGTTTTCTATACCCTTGCATTAGCAATTTCCTCAGTCGATGGACACCCCTTTTTGAGAGATCTCGAATTTCGAATTTTGTTTATGGAGCTGCTAATGTAGGCACTGCGATTTCTATGCCAGTAACTGGGGCTATATGTAGTTCGAAAAGTGGTTGGCCTCTGTCTTTTTACGTCTGCGGAAGCATCGGGATTGCTTGGGCCATAATTTTTGCGATATTTGCCGAAAATTCACCCTCTCAACACAAAAGAATATCACCGGAAGAAAGAGAGTATATTGAGAGCAGCACTTCTATTACTGAAACCAAGAAGGTTTTGATTTTGGATTTATGATCGCAAAAAGTGAGTGTTTTGTTGTTGAAATTACCAACACCGTGGTTGTCCATTGTGAGATCTGTACCAGTATGGGCGATATTTGTGGCTGGGATTGCCCAGTGTTGGGGAGGTTTTACTCTTCTCACTGAGATACCCAGTTATATGGACAGCATTATGCATTTTGACATCAATTCGGTGAGTACCTGATTGTCGTACTTACATTTAAAAATTGTTGTTGTTTTTAGAATATTCAATTATCTTCTCTACCCTACGTAGCTATGTTTCTAACGGGTCTAGTAGTGTCGCCACTCTTTGATACTCTCGTCGCTAACAATACCATCAGTATTACCGTTGCACGAAAAATTTCCAATTCTCTAGCGTCGGTACTACCAGCAGCTGCTTTAACATGTTTAGCGTTCTTGGAAAACTTTGAACCCAATTTAGTCAACGCGTTGTTGATTGTTGCAGTTGGTACTTCCGCGTTCCAGCAGTCAGGTTATATGCTCAACACTATAGATCTAACTCCGAACCACACTGGTACTCTTTTCGGTTTAATCAATGGGATTAACAATATATTCTCGCTTTTGCCACCCTTAACAGTGGGACTTCTTGAAAGCGATAAGGTAAAGTTTGTAAAAAGAAAGAGTGATGTTTTCAAGGCGATTTTAGTCAGACCCGATTTTATGAAGGAAGGTTTTTCTGCTTTCTGCTGGAATTTGTTTGGTGTTTGTATTTACGTACTGGATCAAATACTCGCTGACTTCGTGGTGATTCCTTTGGATGCAGACACGGGAGGCATTGAATCCATGTTCTTAAAATTTTATAACAAGTCTTCCACTTTCGTTCTAGCTTGTATCTACAGCCCTTCTACGTCATCGTTACACGATAGTAGGCTTCTGTTTGACTCTATTTTTAACATTACCAACACCTATGTAAACACATTCTTCTTTGGTGACTTTAACCTAAGTGAACTAAAATGGCCTTTAGATAATCGTCTGTCATTCCGCGATTCTGCCCAACTTCTGGTAAACTTACTTAATGACAGCCGCCTAAGGCAGCTTGTAACCAAGCCTACAAGATACAGAACTGGTCAAAGTCCATCCACCCTCGACCTCATTCATGTCTTCTGACAACACGTCACTATCCAATCTAGATTATCTCCCTCCTATTGGCATCTCAGACCACGTGACATTAAAGGTGCGTTTGCAGATATGCTCTATACCCTCTAAAAAGAGGATTGACACATTTAAGAGGTCAATTACAGATTATAAAGCTATATGCAGGTGTTTAAATAAGGTCGACTGGAATAATTTATTGAGTGACCCTTCAGTCTCTAACAACTGGAACTCGTTTAAAAATGTTATTAATGTTCAGATAGAACAACACACAACCACCTCTTTCGTTAAACGTTCTTCTAAAAAGCCCTGGATCAACAACTCTATCCTAAAATTAATTAAAAAAAAACGAGCTCTATGGCGTGCATTCAAAAGAACAGGTCTTGAGGCTGATTATAAGAGACATAGGTCTTTCTCAAATCGGTTGTCAACTATAATTATAGAAGCCAGAATAACCTACGAGAAATCTATAGCTGATAGTAAAGACACTAAGCGGTTGTACAAACACATTCGAACTCAATTATCCGGCCCAGTTGGAACTAATTTACGGATAAAAGATGACACGGGTACAGTGGTTAATAGTGATATTGAGGTAGCCGACTTATTTGCCAAATCTTTTTTAAAAATTTTCGTACAAGAACCGCCCAATGACAAAATGCCTAGCATCCTTGGAGTACCTAATGCAGCTGTTATCGATGATGTTCTATTTTCCAGTGACGCTGTCCGTAAAAAATTAGATAAATTGAAGGTGTCAAAGTCACCTGGCCCTGATTTAATCACAGCTAAACTTCTGACCACATGTTCATCTGTTCTATCGTATCCTCTCAGCATTCTGATGAGCCAGTCCTTTAATTCTAGTTCTCTACCTGCTGACTGGAGAACAGCAACTGTGCGGCCTATCTTTAAAAAGGGAGACAAATTTGATGCTACCAATTATCGACCCATAAGCCTGACCTCCCTGATTGTCAAAGTCATGGAGTCTATTATTTACGACCGTGTTATTAAATTCTTCGTGGATTATCAACTAATACCCTTCCAGCAGCATGGCTTTCTTCCCGGTAAATCTATCCAATCAAATTTACTCTGCTGCCTATCGGATTGGACGAAAGAAATAGACGCAGGCAACTCAATTGACGTAGTGTATTTAGACTTTTCCAAGGCATTCGATCGCGTCCCTAAGCGTCGATTGTTGCATAAGCTTCAACATCTTGGCTTAGGAGGAAACCTGCTAAAATGGATTGGTTCTTTTCTTTCTGAGAGAACATTTCGAGTTAAAGTGGGAGATGCTTACAGCCGTCCTTTTGAGGTTACGAGCGGAGTTCCCCAAGGTTCGGTACTGGGACCATTACTCTTTATAGCCTATACTGCCGATCTTAAGAGTAGCTTGATATCACCTTTTTCCATGTACGCAGACGATACCAAATTGTATAATTTAAGCTCACAAAATCAAATTCTTAAACAAGATCTTATAAGCATTCAAAAATGGTCCAGTGACTGGCTACTCCCACTTAACTTCGATAAATGTAATGTCCTTTACATTGGTAATAAGAATCCCAGAATGCCGTATTACATGAACGGTGAACAATTAGTCTCCTCTGACTGTTGTCGTGACCTTGGTGTTTTGGTAACTTGTGACTTGTCTTGGTCTCAGCACATCGCACATGTCAGTAAAAAAGCCAATTCGACACTGTTCCTTCTGAGACGGGCATTCCAAAAAAGTAGTCCTATTGTCTTTGCCAAATTATATAAAACATTTGTAAGACCCTTACTAGAATTTGCGAACAGTGTATGGTCGCCTATTTTACAGAAAGACATCCTTTTGCTTGAATCTGTCCAACGTAGGGCTACAAGAATACCGTTTGGTAGAGTACGGCCTCAATACCATGAATAGTGAATAGATCTGTATTAAATATTTTTTATTTGTTAATATATTTTTGCTAATACGTTTTTGTAATTATTTCGGGTACTTACATTTTGAAGACGAAAGTAGTACCGAATACGCAATGAAAACAATCAGAACTGCTGCGTGATAATTAATTGGTTGCAGGAAAAGATCTGAAATGCAGATATTGCTGAAGCACTTGTTAGCGGAATTTTTCATTTTCCATTGTTATCATAAACATATACAAAGTGTAAAGTTTTAGCATGATCAATAAAGCAATCACCGATAAATCACAATGTTAAATGCAAATTGACAGTTTTAATAATGATTAGATAAACATGCGTGAAAACTACTCAGACACAGGAACGACAGATATATAAAGAAAAAAGAAGATTAGTTTTATTTATTTCCAGTCATCCCATTTTCCGCACCATGTCAGACGTCAAGCTCAAAATCCCGATCTCCGAAGATCAACCCAAATCACGTAAGATTTCAAAAACATACCCAAAACTTTCTAATTTTCCAAAAATTAGTAATAAGAGTTCGGTACTACCATTCCTACTCATGTTTATCACCCTCATATCTGCTTCGTGATGCGCAAGGTCCTATCAGTGGCTATTATATCAATGACCGCAGAAACAACCCCCGACCCGAGCATACCAGTAAGTACACCACAAACCCAAGTACCGTAGTCAGTACCCACTCTTCTAGACGTACCCGGAATGGGACAACACCGACGTAATCCTGTCGTCGTTCTTTTGGGGCTACATCCTTCCACAAGTTGGTGCAGGACAACTCAGCGAGTACTTCGGCCCAAAATGGTTCCTGTGTGGTACCATGACCATCGGATCCGTTTTCAATATAGCCGTACCACCGATGGCAGCCGCTTTTGGTTCCACAGGAGTAATTATCAGTCGCGGGATTCAAGGTTTAAACCAAGGTTTTGTATATCCTTCGATCCACAATCTCATAAGTCAGTGGTCACCGATCGCCGAAAGGGCAAGAGTTTCGAATGTTGTGAATGCCGGAGCTAGTTTGGGTATAGCTATTGCTATGCCCCTAACTGGTGCTATCGCTGGGTCTGAGCTAGGATGGCGCACAGCGTTCTATGGGATTTGAGCTGCTGGGGTAACATAGGCTTTGATTTTTGCAATATTTGCAGAAAATTCACCTACTTCTCACAAAAAATATCAAAGGAAGAGTTGATGTATATCCAAGAGAACAATTTAATGACGATTATCTAGATAGAAATCACGTCAGCTTATAAAAGTAAACTAGTTTGCTTAAAGTTATCAGTTAAAAAAGAATGGTGACCTTTGACGATGGCCGAAGTTAAAGTTAATATTTCTGACAATGAACAAACACCTACACCAAGTAACGAAATTACGTTTGTAGATTCATTAAAACAACGGTGGTACTGTTTCAGGAAACTTTTTCGGTGTTACACACTTTCAGAGTGTTTGTTGTTTTTCACCCTTTTAGTGGCCTTCGGAATACGTACTACTCCGTCAGTTGCTATCATCTCGATGACTGAAATAAATCCCCAGGATCCGAGCATACCAGTAAGTACCAGTGCAAAAACCTACCACATTTATAAACCCCCATCGCCATTTTAGACTTACCCAGAATGGGATGACACAGATATCATCTTGTCCTCATTTTTCTGGGGGTACATACTAACCCAACCCGGTGCCGGCCAACTCAGTGAATATTTCGGACCCAAGTGGTTCCTCGTTGGTACCATGACCATCGGCTCCCTCTTCCACATAGTCATACCACCAATGGCGGCCACTTTTGGTACCGTCGGAGTGATGATTTGTAGAATGATCCAAGGTTTAACCCAAGATTTTCTGTACCCTTGCATTAGCAATCTCCTCAGTCGATGGACACCCCTTTTTGAGAGATCTCGAATTTCGAATTTTGTGTATGGGGCTGCTAATGTAGGCATTGCGATTTCTATGCCAGTAACTGGGGCTACATGTGGTTCGAAAAGTGGTTGGCCTCTGTCATTTTACGTCTGCGGAAGCATCGGGATTGCTTGGGCCATAATTTTTGCGATGCTTGCCGAAAATTCACCCTCTCAACACAAAAGAATATCACCGGAAGAAAGAGAGTATATTGAGAGCAGCACTTCTATTACTGAAATCAAGAAGGTTTTGATTTTGGATTTTTGATCGCAAAAATTTAGTGTTTTGTTGTAGAAAATCCCAACACCGTGGTTGTCCACTGTGAGGTCTGTACCAGTATGGGGGGTCTTTGTGGCTGGGATTGCCCAGTGTTGGGGAGGTTTTACTCTTCTCATTGAGATACCCAATTATATGGACTGCATTAAGCATTTTGACATCAATTCGGTGAGTACCTGATTGTCGTACTTACATTTAAAAATTGTTGTTGTTTTTAGAATAGTCGATTATCTGCTCTACCCTACGTAGCTATGTTTCTAACGGGTCTAGTAGTGTCGCCACTCTTTGATACTCTCGTCGCTAACAATACCATCATTAGTACCGTTGCACGAAAAATTTCCAATTCTCTAGCGTCAGTACTACCAGCAGCTGCTTTCACATGTTCAGTGTTTTTGGAAAATTTTGAACCCAATTTAGTCAACGCGTTGTTGATTGTTGCAGTTGGTACTACCGCGTTCCAGCAGTCAGGTGATATGCTCAACACTATAGATCTAACTCCGAACCACTCTGGTACCCTTTTCGGTTTAATCAATGGGATTAACAATATATTCTCGCTTTTGCCACCCTTAACAGTGGGACTTCTTGAAAGCGATAAGGTAAAGTTTGTAAAAAGAAAGAGTGATGTTTTCAAGGCGATTTTAGTCAGACCCGATTTTATGAAGGATGGTTTTTCTGCTTTCTGCTGGAATTTATATCGGATGTGGACTTTTCTATGCGATTTTCACTTCTGCGGAGGTCCACCCGTGGAATGATATACAGAAAGAAGAAGAGAAAACTGAGAAAAAGTGAATAGATCTGTATTAAATATTTTTTATTTGTTAATAGATTTTTGCTAATACGTTTTTGTAATTATTTCGGGTACTTATATTTTGAAGACATCGAAAGTAGTACCGATTACGCAATGAAAACAATCAGAACTGCTGCGTTATAATTAATTGGTTGCAGGAAAAAATCTGCAATGCAGATATTGCTGAAGTACTTGTTAGCGGAATTTTTCATTTTCCATTGTTATCATAAACATAAACAAAGTGTAAAGTTTTAGCATGATCAATAAAGCAATCACCAATAAATCACAATGTTAAATGCAACTTGGCGGTTTTAACCATGAATAGATAAACATACGTGAAAGCTACTCAGACATATGACCGACAGATATATAAAGAAGAAAGATTAGTTTTATTTATTCCAGTCATCCCATTTTCCGCACCATGTCAGACGTCAAGCTCAAAATCCCGATCTCCGAAGATCAACCCAAATCACGTAAAAATTCAAAAACATACCCAAAACTTTCTAATTTTCCAAAAATTAGTAATAAGAGTTCGGTACTACCATTCCTACTCATGTTTATCACCCTCATATCTGCTTCGTGATGCGCACGGTCCTATCAGTGGCTATTATATCAATGACCGCAGAAACACCCCCCGACCCGAGCATACCAGTAAGTACACCACAAACTCAAGTACCGTAGTCAGTACCCACTCTTCTAGACGTACCCGGAGTGGGACAACACCGACGTAATCCTGTCGTCGTTCTTTTGGGGCTACATCCTTCCACAAGTTGGTGCAGGACAACTCAGCGAGTACTTCGGCCCAAAGTGGTTCCTGTGTGGTACCATGACCATCGAATCCGTTTTCAATATAGCCGTACCACCGATGGCAGCCGCTTTTGGTTCCACATGAGTGATCATCAGTCGCGGGATTCAAGGTTTAAACCAAGGTTTTCTATATCCTTCGATCCACAATCTGATAAGTCAGTGGTCACCGATCGTCGAAAGGGCAAGAGTTTCGAATGTTGTGTATGCCGGGGCTAGTTTGGGTACAGCTATTGCTATGTCCCTAACTGGTGCTATCGCTGGGTCTGAGCTAGGATGGCCCACGGCGTTCTATGGGATTGGACGTGCTGGGGTAGCATGGGCTTTGATTTTTGCAATATTTGCAGAAAATTCACCTACTTCTCACAAAAAAATATCAAAAGAAGAGTTGATGTATATCCAAGAGAACAATGCCGTTGAACATAGTAGTACGAGGGTACGACTTTCATAATTTCGTGATTTCTGTGTGTAGCTTAAATATTGTAGAAAGTACCGACACCATGGAGGAGTATTTTGACGTCGCTACCCATGTGGGTTATTTTAATAACCGCCTGTGCCCAATGTTGGGGTGCTTTCACTCCACTCACAGAAATGCCGAGTTATATGGACGCTATTATGAACTTTGACATAAAATCGGTGAGTACCTTTCAAGCTTCGAATTTTCGGTACTAAGTAAATACCATTCTAGAATAGTCTTCTGTCGGTAGTACCATACGTGGGTCACAGGCATTGCGGTGTCTCCACTAGCCGATAAGCTAATCATAAATCAAGTATTCCGTACCACCACAACGAGAAAAATTTTTGGTGGACTGGGTACTTTTGTGCCAGCTTTGGCCTTAACGTGGCTCGCTTTTATCGATGGTGCCGAACAAGAACTAGCTTTAGTACTTCTAGTGGTGGCCGTTGGTTGCACAGCTTTCATGGTTTCTGGTTATCTTATCAATATCATTAACGCTGCACCTAACCACGCTGGTACCATTGTGGGTATAGTGAATGGTACTTCTAATACAAGGTAATAAAATGATAAAATAATTGTTCATCTAATTACACAGGCCTGCGATGGTTTTCCCCCAACAAAATCAAGTAGTAATTTCGGTAGGTCTTAGATACTCATGTATAAAAAAAAATTGCAAAAATTTCTATCACGTACAGTTTCTGAAAAAAATATTTTTTTCAGTTTTGTTCTTAGTACTATAAAAATTAACTTCTAGATTTTGTGGTAAGAATATATATGGATAATGGTGTTGATATTTCATTTCGTGTTCAGCTTAGTAAGAGTTATTTGTGTCCACTATGCGCTTACTACCCTGAATTTAAACAAAAATTACTAATGTCTTCTCGGAAATGGGTTCATTTTTCAGATAACTTCTGTTACACTTGTAGAACTTATTTAATCAAAAAACAACATCAAATAATTTCTGAATTTATCGAACAACTATGCGAAAGTTATTTTAAAGTTAATATAAAAAAACCAAGACAAAAAATGGGTGCCTCATAAAATGTGTTCATGCACCTCGCAAATGGTCAAAAGGAAAAAAAAATCTTTAAGTTTGCGGACACCAATGATTTGAATGGAGCCACAAAATCATACAGACGATTGTTACTTTTGCTGTTCAAATATAAAAAGATATAATGCGAAAAATGTAACAGCAATAACATATTTTATCGTGAATATAAGAAAAAACGCTTAAATCATAGCTTTGAAGAAAGAAAAAAAGAAGCTTCTTGATTTATTTGTTTTTTTAATTTTTGTTTATAACTAATTTAGTTCATTTAATAAATAAACATTCAATTTTATATTCTTTATATTTTATTTTTTCATAAAAATTATCTGAAAAACTATGAATATTTAGGCCTACATAAAAATAAATCTCGATGTGCTACAAAAAAACTAGAGTTATATTTGAATTCGGCATACATAAATATATTAAAAAAAAACAATATTATTTAAAAGGGAAATTAAAAGTTATATTTCGCAGGCCTGTGTTATTGGTACTTTAATAATACCGATAAGTCAGTGGTCACCACAACGAGAAAAACTTTTGGTGGACTGGGTACTTTTGTACCAACAAAGTAGGGAAAAGAAAGAAATAAGAAGAAATGGTGTTTAAAACCTCTATTAAAAATTTGTGTATGTGACAGTTAACATCGTCTTAAACTCTATTATACTTGTATATAAAAATTTTAAAGAAAGTGTTATTTACATTTTTCAAATATATGTGTAATGTTGAAGCTATACTACCATATTCAATAGATTCTTTTATATAAGGCACCTTCGACAATTTGTCAAAATCACCAAATATTACAAAAATATTTGAGAAAATAGAAAATCACTCATCTATGAAAGATGTCAATCAGGTGGTTGCGCTAATTTGTCCTTTGCTATTGTCTGCTTCCTTCTGGGAAGACGAATCTAAAACCAAATCGTCAACAATCATCATCAAACAAAAATGAAATTCCGTACCTGACGTTTCTTCATCATTCCATGGTTGTACTTCTCCGGAAGCAAAAAACGCGTAGAACGTACTTGTAACGACATAGACTCCAGAAGCAATACAGAAAACGTACCTCCACAACAGCGGGTCATCCTGTAGGAACAATGTGTTACGTTTTTAATAATCTGGAGGTGGTACGTACCTGTTCGTAGGGGATCACTTTGATGGCCAGAGGTGCTATAATTGAGAAAATATTGGACAGACCATTGGTGATCCCCATTAAGATTCCAGCATGGTTAGGAGACAAATCAATATGATTTACGTTAAAACCACTATACACAGCTGCGTTAGAACCCACAGCAACAACTAAGAGACCAAGAGCCAGATCTTTCTGAGACGAATCGACGAAAGCTAGAGCCACTAGAGCAATCGCTGGTACGATCAAGCCTGAAACCATCACAATCACATAGTTAGACACCTAATAGAATTTAGTAACATAGTGACTCACCAAGAGTGTTAAAAATTTTCCTCACACTAGTAATCGTCAAATAATGAGCAATCAAATAGTCAGCAAGTGGGCTGAAGACGAAACTCAGACACCATAGCACCAGATACGGAAGAGCCGACAGCAAACTATTCTGTTATTAAATGGAAGTCCAAATTCAAACAAAATTCAAAATAATATTTCCACCATACTTACATCACTGATGTCGTACTTCATGATCCCGCTCATATAAGACGGAATTTCGGTCAAAAGCGTCCAAAATCCCCAATTCTGGCCACAGTGCGTTACAAAAATAGCAATGAAAGGCAACGACTTGAATATTTTCAGCCACGGTGTCGGTAGTTCCTTTCCTTCCGACCCGACGGTACCTTCGATGTACCGCTTCTCCTTTTCTGACACTCTTCCATGTTTGGCGGGACTGTCGGCTCCAATGAGGGCCCATAGAATTGTCCACGTGATCCCCATTCCGCCGTAGACGTAGAAGGCTGTTGGCCACCCCACTGAAGAGTCTGCGATGGCTCCGGTCACCGGTAGGGCAATGACGGTTCCCAGAGGTCCTCCAGTGTAGACGAAACTAGCGACTTTGGAGCGTTCTGCTAAAGGGGTCCATTTTCCCAGAAGTGTGTGCAACGAAGGGTAGAGGAAACCTTGGTTCAAACCTTGGATTACCCGACAGGCTATCACGCCGCCCTCGCCCACGTTGATGGCCATCACTGGGATCAGGATCGTGAAGAGGGAGTTTAGGAACATGGTACCGGCGAGGAACCACTTGGGACCGAATTTTTTGACGAGGGCGCCGGCGCCGATTTGAGGGATGACGTAGCCCCAGAAGAAGGCTGACAGGATGGTTTCTTTTTCGGTCCATTCTGGGTAAGTCTGGAAAAAATTGGGTGAAGGTTATTTTGACAGAACTTTCCTCGCCTCTGAGGTGCAGTCGAACAAATTCTAAAATCAAAAAATTTTAAAAATCGAAAAATTAAAAAATTGAAAAATCAAAATTTTGAAGAATCGAAAAAATAAAAATTCGAGAAATTGAAAAATTCCAAAACTGAATTGACAAAAAATAGAATAAAAAAAAATAGAAAAATTGGACAATATATATGTAGTTTGAAAAAAGCAAAAAATTGAAAAACCAATAAATTGAAAAATCAAAACTACAAAAATCCATAAATCTAAAATTTAAAAAATTGCATAGTTAAAAACTGAAGAATCGGAAGACCTAAAATTTAAAAATCGAGAAATTGAAAAATCGAAAAGCCGAGAAGTCGAAAAATTCAAAAACCCAAAGCGAAACATCCAATATTTAAAAAATAGAAAAATTGAAGAATCGAAAAACTGAAAAATCCAGTCATTGAAGAATTGAAAAACTGAAACATCGAGAAACGAAACATTAAAAGATCCAGAAATCGAAAAATCAAAAAGTCGAGTAGAGTCAAAAGTAGAAAACTGAGAAATCGAAAACTCGAGACGTAAATTTTTAAAAACGTAAACGAACCATGTAAAAATCGAAAAACCTAATCTAATAATCTAGGCATTGATCAATGGAAAAATCGAAACATTAAAATCTCGAGAATCGAGAAATTGAAAAATTGAAAAATGGAAAAATCAAAAATTCTTAAAATTGAAAAATTGAAAAACCCAAAAATTGAAAAATCCCCAAAATTTAAATGTTGAAAAATTGTTTTAATCGAAAACTCAAGGCGTCTAGAAATTGAAGAATAAAAAAATCGAGAAACTGAAAAATCTAAAATTTAAAAAATCGAAAATTGAAGAATCGAAAAATTGAAAAATCGAGATATTGAACAACTGAAAATCTGAAAAATAGAAAGATCGAGAAGACGAAAAGTCGAAAAATTCAAAAACCGAGAAACCAAAAATTCCAAAAATTTTTTAAATCGAAAAATTGAACCGAAAATCTGAAAAATCGAAAAATTGAAAATTCCTAAAATTGAAATGTTGAAAAATTGGGAAATCAAAAACTTGAAAATCGAAAAGTAGAAAGATTTCAAAAATCGAAAAGCCAAAATATCCTCAAATTGATTAAAAAAAATCGTAAATTCGAAAAATTGAAAAATGTATATGTAGTTTGAAAAAAACAAAGAAATTGAATAAGCAATAAACTGAAAAATCGAAACTAAAAAAAAACATAAATCTAAAATTTATAAAATTGCAAAATTAAAATTTTGAAAAACTGAAGAATCGGAAGATCTAAAATTTAAAAATACTAAAGTTGAAAGATTGAAATCTGAAACAACGAAAAATTAAGAAATTCTAAAATTGAAAAATTGAAACACTGAAATATCGAGAAACGAAACATTTTAAGATCGAAAAATCGAAAAATCAAAAAGTCGACTAGAGTTCAAAATAGAAAAATCTAGAAATCGAAATAGTCCAAATCGAAAAATCGAGAAGTAAATTTTGAAAAATTTAAAATACAAAATAATATATCTAAATCGAAAAACAAACCAAGTAAAAATTCGAAAAATTAAATAATCTAGGCATTAATCAATAGAAAAATCGAAACATTAAAATATCGAGAATCGAGAAATCGAAAAATTGAAAAATGGGAAAATCAAAAATTCTTAAAATCGAAAAATTGTAAAACTCGAAAAATATAAAATCGCAATATCGAGCAGCCGAAACATAAAAAAATCGAAAGCTTAAAATATCGAAAAATTGAAAAATCCAGAAGTTGAAAAATACCTAAAATTAATATGTTGAAAAATTTTTTAAATCGAAAAACCAAGACATCTAGAAATCGAGTTAAAACATCCTTAAATCGAAAAATGCAAAATTTAAAAATCAAAAAATTGAAAAATCGAAAACAAGTCGAAAAATTCAAAAACCTAGAAATCGAAAATTCCAAAAATTTTAAAAATCGAAAAATTGAACCGAAAATCTGAAAAATCGAGGAATTGAAAAATTCCAAAACTGAATCGGCGAAAAACTGGGAAATCGAAAGACTGGAAAATCGAAATATCGAAACATCAAAAAATTGAAAAACTGAAATATCGGAAAACGAAACATCAAAAGATTTAGAAATCGAAAAGTCAACTAGAGTTGAGGAATAGAAAAATCGAAACATCGAAATACTAGTAAATCAAAAAATTAAAAACTCGAAAAACTAAAAAATCAAAAAGTCAAAAAAAATTAAAATAGAAAAATTTTAAAACCGAAAAATCTAAAACGGAGAATTTGAAATATTGAAAGATCCAGAAACGGAAACATCAAAAAACTGAAAAAACTAAAATTTACTAATTGGAAAAATGTATACTTTTAAAAACTGAAAAATTTAGACTTTTAAAAATTGAAACATTATAATATAGAAAATTGAAGAAACGAAAAATTGAAAAAAAGAAATATCCAAAATTTAAAAATCGAAAAAGTAAAATATTGAGAAATCTAAGTCAGAAAATTGCAGAATCGACATCGAAAAATTGAAAAATCGAAAAAAAATTGAAGAGTCGAAAAATTCAAATATCCCAAAACCGAAACAACGAATAATTAAGAAACCGAAAAATTCAAAAATTGAGAATTCGAAAAGTCGAAAAATCGAAAATTTAAAAAATCGTAAAACAAAAAAAACAAAAATCAGAAAAATCGAAAAAGTTCAAAAAACGAGATATTGACAATTGAAAATCTGAAAAATCAAAAGATCGAGAAGTCGAAAAATCGAAAATTCTACTGCGAAAAATCGAAAATTCAAAAATCGAAAAACTGAAAAATCGAAAAAGTAAAATATTGAGAAATCGAAAAGTCAAAAAATTACCGAATCGTCATGGAAAATTTGAAAAATCGAAGAAAAATTGAAGAATCGAAAAATTGAAATATCCCATAAATGAAACAACGAAAAATTGAGAAATCGAAGAATTCAAAAATCGATAATTCGAAAAGTCGGATAATCGAAAATTTAAAAAATCGAAAAACTAAAACAAACACCCAAAAAATCGAAAAATTTCAAAAATCGAGGTATTAAAGAATTGAAAGTCTGAAAAATCGAAAGATCGTGAAGTCGAAAAATCAAAACATCAAAAAAATCGAGAAATCGAAAAGTCGAGTAGAGTCGAAAAATTGAAAAACTGAGAAATCGAAATAGTCCAAAATCGAAAAATCGAAAAGTTAAAAATTGAAAAATTTAAAAATTAAGAAAAAAAATTGAAAAATTGAAAAATCGAGGAATTGAACAATCGAAAAATCGAAACATTGAAATTTTGATAAATCCAGAAATCAAAAAATTGAAAAATCGAAAACTAAAAATCGAGAAATCGAAAATTTAACCGAAAAATCTAAAACTGAGAAGTTGAAAATCGAAAAATCGAAAATTCGAAGGCGAAAAATTGAAAATTAAAAAATCAAAAAATTAAACAACCGAAAAAGTATAATATTGAGAAATCGAAAAGTCGAAAAATTGTCAAATCGTATGGAGACATTGAAAAATCGAAGAAAAATTGGGGAATCGAAAAATTGAAATATCCCATAAACGAAAAATTGAGAAATCGAAAAATTCAAATATCGAGAATTCGAAAAATCGAAAACCAAAAAACCGAGAAATCAAAAATTTAACCAAAAAATCTAAAACTGAGAGGTGAAAAATTGAAAATTTAAAAAATCGAAAAACTCAGTCAAAAACCTGAAAAACTAAACATTAGATACATAAAAAAATTGAAGAATTGAAAAATTGAGAAATCGAAAAATTCTAAAATCGAGAAATAGAAAAGTGGAAAAATCGGAAATTTAAAAAATCGAAAAATAGAAAAACTGAGAAGTGGAAATATTGAGAAATCGAAAAATCGAAATTTCAAAACCGAAACGTGGAAAAATTGAGAAATAGAAAAATTCTAAAATCGAGAAATAGAAAAGTCGAAAAATCGGAAATTTAAAAAATCGAAAAATAGAAAAATTGAAAAATGGAAAGATTGAGAAGTCGAAAAATCGAAATTCCAAAACCGAAACGTGGAAAAATTGAGAAGTCGAAAAATTCTAATCGAGAAATACAAAAGTCGAAAAATCGGAAATTTAAAAAGTCGAAAAATAGAAAAACGGAAAAATGGAAAGATTGAGGAATCGAAAAATGGAAACATCAAAAGATTGAGAAATCGAAAATTCGAGTAATCGAAAAATAGAAAAACTGAGAAATCAAAATCAGTTTCAAAATTGGAAAATCGAATAGTCCTAATTCGAAAATTTAAAAAATCGAAAAACTGAAAAACCTGATCAAAATTTTTGAAAATCGAATAATTGTGAAACGAAAAATTTAAGACCGAAAAGTTGAAAAATCGAGAAATCGAAACATCAAAAAACTGAAAAATCTAAAATTTAAAACTTCTAAAAATTGAAAAATCTAACATTTTAAAACATGAAAAATTCAAATGTAGAAAAATTGGAAAACTGAAAAATCTAAAATTTAAAAATCAAAAATTTGAAAAATCTAAAATGTAAGATGTAGAGAAATCGGAAAATCGAAAAGTCGAACAATTGAAGAATCGACACATCGAAAATTATCAAAACTCAAAAATGAAAATATTGAAACATCGGAGAAATATTCAAGAATCGAAAAATTAAAAAATCCAAAAATTGAAAAATTACCAAAATTTAAAATTTTTTAATCGAAAAATCAAGCCGTCTAGAAATCGAATGAAAACATCCTATAATCGAAAAATGCAAAATTTAAAAATCAAAGATTTGAAAATTACAACAACCGAAAAATTGAATAGAAAAATCGATAAATCGAAAATTCCAAAAATTTTGAAAATAGAAAAATTGAATCGAAAAACTGAATAATCGAGAAATCGAAAAATTCCAAAACTGAATCGACGAAAAATTGGGAAATCGAAAGTTTCGAAAATCGAATAATTGTGAGACGAAAAATTTAAGACCGGAAAGTTGAAAAATCGAGAAATCGAAACATCAAAAAACTGAAAAATCTAAAATTTAAAAATTCGAAAAATTGAAAAATTTAAAATTTTAAAAACTGAAAATTTAAAATGTAAAAAAATTAAAGAAATGCAAAAAATCGAAAAATTGAAAATTTTCAAAACTCAAAAATTGAAAATTTTCAAAACTCAAAAATGAAAATATTGAAAATTCGGAGAAAAATTGAAGAATCGAAAAAATTAAAAATCCCAAAACTGAAACATCGAAAAGTCGAAAAACTGAAGGCGAAAAATCGAAAATTGAAAAAATCGAAAAATTAAAAAAGCAAAAATCTGAAAGTCGTAAATTTGATAAATCGAAAAATTGAATAATCGAAAACTGAAAACGAAAAATCGATTAATGAGAATTCCAGAAATGAAACAATCGAAAAAACCGAAAAATCAATTAATCGACAAAATGAAAAATCGATAAATTAGAAACATCTAAGGTCGAAAAAAATTGAAAAATCGAAACATCGAAAAATTTAAAAATTGGAAAATCGTAAAACTGAAATAACGGCAAATCTAAAATTTAAAAAATCGAAAAATTGTAAAACCGAGAAGTCGAAAAATCGAAAGATAGCAAAACTGAAAAATCGAGATATTGAAAAATTGAAAATCAAGAAATAAAAAAATCGAAAAATTGTAGTACATCCAAAATTTCGTTTTTTCCAAACATCTCGATGCCTAGGATAAAAATTCAAAATGGATTCAAAAACCACAAGTTCAGAACCATGTTGCTTTTTAACATTCAAATAATACTTATTAGATTACATTGTCAGAGGATACTATCAATTCCTAAGGAGGGGGACACGAACAGATAAATATTGATAACGATTCACCATGCTTCCGATAAACGTAAAACATTTTCAAAATTAAATTGTACCCAATTTTGTTTTTTGTCAAAAAATCTGGATACCTAAGGTAAAAATTTAACACGGATTCATAAACCACAAATAGAGGAGTACGTTATTTTATAAAATTCAAATAACTTTTACTACTCTAAATTTGTAGCTGACATACATACAAAGTTTGAAGAAAATTATCGATTATGGGTACTTACGGGTACATCTGGATTTGGTGGATCCTTAGACATCATAGCTATAATCCCCACAGACATATTAGTTCGTATTCCATACGCGATCATACATGCCAAAAAGTGCATAAAAAACTGAATATGACGAAGCCCGAACCATTTAAAAGGCGAGAAACTTTTTTCTTGTGGTTCTTTTTCGAGTTCATCTACATCTACCACCGTCATTGTAAATTTTTGATTTTCGTCGAAACGAGGTCGCAGACTTGACTGAAAAACACACTGCCAGTGATCTTATAAAATCAGGCCGTAGAAAGATAATGCTTAATCGTTCAATTAGATTACAGCTGCATATTTTTTCTTGTTCAAGTGGCAACATTTAATTGTTCATGATAAGATTTTTATTGTCTTGGAAGCGGTTATTGTGCTTAAACCAACTAAAACGATTTGAATAAAATTCGCCGATAGGTTATTGATAAATCTTGTAAAAATTTGAATCGTTTTATTTGTAGCTCAAGATCGACAAAATATTCAAACTTCATCTGTAAAATAGATGCACGAAATTTTCCAGTTCGGTTGACCAGAAAACAGATTCTACAACTTGTCTTCATTTTCGCTCTGCTTCTTTGAAGAATCTAAAACAGAAGGTTGGTTGTTCCAAGACCATAGAAGAAATGTCGTCACAAACCGGTTTCGCCTTCAGTGTTCCAGGGTTGGACTTCTCCGGAAGCAAAAATGTCGTAGAAGACGCTCGAGACGACGTAGATTGCTGCAGCTATGCAAAAAACGTACCTCCATAGAATTGGGTCCGTCTGTTCGTAAGGAATCACCTTAATTATCAAAGGGGCTATAATTGAAAATACGTTGGACAGGCTGTTGGTAATTCCCATGAGAATTCCAGCGTGGTTTGGCGACAAGTCAATATGGTTGACGTTAAACCCGCTGAAAACGGCTGCATTGAAACCCACAGCGACCACCAAGAGGCCTAGAGCTAAGTCCCGTTGAGCTGAATCGACGAAACCAAGAGCCACCAAAGCGATAGCTGGGATGACAATACCTGCAATCATTGTTGACGAAATAGGTCAAGATTGTCAATTAGTTACCAATAGTGTTGAAGATTTTCCTCACAGCTCCTATTGACAGATAATGAGCGATCAAATAGTCAGCAATCGGGCTAAAAATGAAGCTCAAAATCCACAAGACGAAGTATGGAAGAGCCGACAATAAACTATTCTGTCAAAAGAGCATTGTCACCCAAAATCTACACAAATTATCAACTTACATCACTAATCTTGTACTTCATGATGCCACTCATGTATGACGGAATTTCAGTCAAGAGGGTCCAAAACCCCCAATTTTGCCCACAATGGGCTATCAAAATAGCAAGAAAGGGCGTGGACGTAAGAATTGACTTCCATGGTGTTGGCAATTCTTCTTTTTCTTCAGTTGATGTAGTACCTTCAATGTAGCGTCTTTCTTCTTCTGATATCCGTCCGTGTTTGGCTGGACTATCAGCACCCACGAGTACCCATAGTACAGTCCATGCTATTCCCAAACCACCATACACATAGAAAGCTGTAGGCCACCCAACCGACGACTCCGCTATGACCCCCGTTATGGGTAGAGCTATCACAGTCCCTAAAGGTCCTCCAGTGTAGACGAAACTAGCCACTTTAGATCTTTCCGCCAGTGGTGTCCATTTCCCCAGAAGAGTGTGAACAGAAGGAAAAAGGAAACCTTGGTTCAAACCTTGAATGACCCTACAGGCTATCACTCCTCCTTCACCCACACCACTAGCCATCACTGGTATCAAAAGCGTGAACAACGAATTGATGAACATGGTACCAGCGAGGAACCACTTGGGCCCGAATTTTTTGACCAGTGCACCAGCACCAATCTGGGGGATCACATAGCCCCAGAAGAAGGCTGAAAGTATTGTCTCTTTTTCGGTCCACTGCGGGTACGTCTTGAACAACACGTTGTTTAGTGGTATGGTCTAGAAGGGGTACTTACAGGTATGTCTGAGTTGGGTGGTTCGTCAGACATCATTGCTATAATCCCCACGGACATGTTGGTTCGAACACCATAGGCGATCATACAAGCTAAGAACTGTAAGAAAAACTGTATGTGTCGAAGACCCAACCATCGTTCTGTTGATGGTTAATATTATTGGAAGAAATCACCTTTTGGGAACTCACTTGTTTTGAATTCTTCTAGCTGGTTTTCGGCGTCTGTAGCTACCACAGTCATGTTTGGTTGTCTCTATTTTTCTAAACGAATTGATACTTTTTAACTAGAGAAGACGATGGCGGAATTATTATATTCGTAGATAGGATTTAATCTGTGCTAGATTATTGATTCTCTTTGTAGGTAGAATTGTAGGAAAGATCCAGTAACTTAAGATAACGTTTCTGGTTAACAAGGTCGCTCACGTGCATCTAACCTCTAATAAATTTTCCATTTGAATAAAATTCGCTTGATAGATGAGTGACTAAGCTGATTGTGTGATTGTTTGATATGATCTATCGCTTATTTTTCTATTGTGTTTTGGAGCCATGTTGACGAAACGTGCTCATTTAAACCTAGGGGATTTGCGAACTCTGACAAAATTGTTGTCTCAAAAATTTGTATAGTTCTCTAATTTATCGGTTCGTCCCTTGCGGAAAATTGATGACGTCATGGCAAATTATGGCGCGATAAATTTGATTTGTACTACAAAATTTTAGAATTGATCTTGGAAACTACCCAGATTTTGACTAGGTGTAATGTTATCGTGAACATGATAAACGGCAATCGGTACTTTATGACGTCATCTCAAATGTTTGATACAATTTTACTCCCACTTAAAATACACTTAAGTGGCATTTTTTTTTATATTTGATTAATCCACAACTACTTTTAATTTATCTAAGTACTTTATCGGAAAAACGGTTTTAATTACAACAACATGTTAATAAAACTAGATCATGTACTTTTTGAAATTTTGTTGACAGTTCGTTGTACACCTTGACAGTGTTTGCATTTCAAAAATCAAAATTTAATAATTTTAATTCTTACGAAAATTCCATAAATGAAGATTTAGACAGAGAATCTTCAAATTTCCTTTTTGTCTTTGTTGATTGTCAATTATCCGATGTTCGAGTTTACGATTTTTCAATTATTTTTCGACTCTTCAATTTTTCACTTTTTTGACTTTTCGATTTTTGAGTCATTGACGTCAATTTTTTGATGTTTAAATTGCTCAATTTCTAAATTTTTCAATTTTTGATCTTTCGAAATTTCGATCTTTCGATTTCTCCACTTCCTCGTTTTAGATTTTTCGGTTTTTCAATTTTTCGATTTTTCAATTTTTGGATTTCTCAATTTGTCAAGATTTCGATTTTTCGATTTTTGGAGTTTTCCATTTTGCACTGTTTCGATTTATGCCTATTTCGATTTCTCAATTTTTCGATTTTTCGACTCTTTGACTTTTCCAGTTCTATATTTCTCAATAATTTGATGTTTCGATCTCTCAACGTTTCAGTTCCTGAGTTTTTCAATGTTTCGAGTGTTCGATTTCTCGGTTTTTCGATTTTCCGACTTTCCAATTTTTCGACTTTTTAAATTTTGGATCTTCTATTTCTCGATTGCTCGATTTTTCGATTTTTCAGTTCATCCATATTTCTACTTTTCAATTTTTCAAATTTTTAAATCCTTTATTTTCCAATTTTTCGATTTTTTTTTTAATTTTTCAATTTTTTCGATATTTCAGTTTTGGAATTTTTCAATATTTCGAATCTTCGCTTTTTCTGATTTTTAACTTTTTCGATTTTTTAACTTTAGACAAAATTTAGATTTATAACAAATTTTCGATTTTTCAGTTTCTTGATTTTCAATTTTTCATTTTCTTGATTTTCAATTTTTCGATTGCTTAATTTTTTGATTTTTCAGTTTTTCGTTTTTTTGATATTTTAATTTTTGAATATTTAAACTTTTAGATTTTTCAATTTTCCAATTTTTCTACTTTTTAAATTTTGGATTTTCTGTTTCACAATTTCTCGATTTTTCAATTTTTCAGTTCTTCGTTATTTGTACTTTTCAATTTTTCGAATTTTTAAATTTTTGATTTTCCAATTTTCAAATTTTTAAATTTTGCATTTTTCGATATTTAAGTTTTGTGATTTTTCAATATTTCGATTCTTCGATTTTTCAACTTTTCGATTTTTTAATTTTAAACTTCAATTTTTTGAATTTTCAATTTTTCGATTTTCAATCTTTCGATTTTTAATTTTTCAACGTTTAAACTTTTAGATTATTCGATTTTTCGATTTCTCAATTTCTCGATTTCTAAGTTTTCAGTTTTTGCCTATTTCGATTTCTCAATTTTTCGATCATTTGATGTTTCGATCTCTCAATGTTCCAATTTCTGAGTTTCTCAATGTTCAGATTTTTCGATTTCTCAGTTATTTGAATTTTCAGCGTTTCTTTTTTTCGATTTTCCAATTTTCCGACTTTTAAATTTTGGATTTTCTATTTCTCGATTTTTCGATTTTTCAGTTCTTCGATATTTCTGCTTTTCAATTTTTAGAATTTAAAAATTTTTGATTTTCCAAAGTTTCGGTTGTTTAAATTTTTCATTTTTCGATTTTTTTGATATTCCAATTTTGGGATGTTTCAATATTTCGGATCTTCGATTTTTCCGATTTTTAACTTTTTCGATTTTTGGATTTTAGACAAAATTTAGATATATATCAATTTTTCGATTTTTCAGTTTCTTGATTTTCAATTTTTCAATTTCTCTATTTTCAATTTTTCGATTGCTTAATTTTTTGATTTTTCAGTTTTTCGTTTTTTCAACTTCTGGATTTCTTCCATTTTTCAATTTTTCAATGTTTACACTTTTGGATTTTTTGATTTCTCGATTCCCAAAATTTTTCAGTTTTTGATCTTTCGATTTTTCGTCTTCTTGATTTTAGATTTTTCGTTTTAATAATTTTTCGAGTTTTCAATTTTTGATTTCTCGATCTGTTGACATTTCGATTTTTCGCTTTTTCGGTTTTTCAGTTTTTCGATATTTCTATTTTTCAATATTTCGGTTTTTAAATTTTACGTTTTTTGATTTTTCGATATTTCGGTTTTGGGATATTTCAATATTTCGATTCTCCAAATTTACGATTTTTCTTATTTCTATTTTTGAATTTTACACTTAAATTTTTTGATGTTTCATTTATTGTTTTTTAAATTTTTTGATATGCATTTTAATTTTTCAGTGTTTAAACTTTCGATTTCTAAATATTCCAGTTTTTGGTTTTTCGATTTTTCGATCATTCGATTTTTCAAATATTTCCGGTTTTCAAAATTTCGATTTTCAGATTTTGTCGAGATTTCGATTTTTCAATTTCTCAATTTTTCGATTTTTCTTTCTCTTTGACTTTTCGATGTCTCATTTGATGTTTCGTTCTCTCAGTGTTTCAGTTTGAGTTTTTCAATGTCCCGATTTTTCTATTTCTCGATTTTTCGATTCTTCATTTCATCGATCAATTTTTCAAATTTTACATTTTTCGATTTTTCGATATTTCAGTTTTGGGATTTTTCAATATTTCTATTCTTCGATTTTTCGACTTTTCGATTTTTGAATGTTAGACTTAAATTTTTTGATGTTTCAATTTTTGATTTTTCAATTTTTTGATATTTTTAATTTTTCAATGTTTAAGCTTCACGATTTTTCGATTTCCCGATTCCTCACTTTCTTGATTTCTAAATTTTTCAGTTTTTTGAGCTTTCAATTTTTCGATCTTTCGATTTTTGGACTTCTTGGTTTCAAATTTTTCGGTTTTTCAATTTTTGGATTTCTGATTTTGTCGAGATTTCGATTTTTCGATTTTTCAGTTCCTCGATATTTCTACTTTACAATTTTTCGAATTTAAATTTCACATTTTCCGATTTATCGATTTTTCCATTTTTTTGATGTTTCGATTGTTCGATCTTTTAGTTTTTCGTATTTCGATTTTTCACATTTTTGATTTTTCGATTTTTTCAAATTTTTTGATTTCTCAAGTTCTCGTTGTATCGACATTCCGATGTTTCAAAAAGCATTTTTTCAATATTGCATCCCCCCAACAATTTGATAACGCCACTTCAACATTTGCAAGGTAAACGTTCTATAAAATTTATAAACCAACATACCTTGATTTTCTTAATAAACTACCATTGTATATATACCAAACGGACGACAGGTAATAAATATTTTAAAATTTATAATGACTAAGAAATAATATAATATTATTTTTTTTTCAAAATACAAAATAATTACCATGTTTGAACAGCCTTAATAAGTTTTATTCTTGATTAATTTAAAATTTTTCTTTATTTTTGTCTTCGTCGTTCGTCGTCGAACACCCTAAAACAATTTTTTTAACAAAAGTAAATAAAAAAACAAAAACATACTCTTTTCTCCCTCTGTGTTCCAGGGTTGCACTTCACCAGAAGCAAAAATATTGAAAAATATACTTGCAACCAAATACATTCCTGCAGTTATACAAAAAACGTACCTCCACAGAATTGGATCAGTCTGTAAACACACAAAAATCTCTAGAGTCATTCAAATAGTTGAATACGGACCTGTTCATATGGAATCACTTTAATAATCAAAGGAGCTATAATCGAAAGCACATTGGACACACTGTTAGTAATTCCCATAAGAATTCCTGCATGGTTTGGCGACACATCTATGTGATTGACATTAAAACCACTATAAGTAGCTGCGTTGAAACCCACAGCCACAACCAAAAGACCAACAGCTAGATTTTTCTGCGACGAATCGACAAAACTTAAGGCGATCAAAGCACCTGCTGGTATTACTTTGCCTGCCAAATTTAAATTAACAACACTGTGTCAATCAGAAAGAATTTGGTACCTACCAATAGTGTTGAAAATCTTCCTCACAGTCCCAATCGACAAATAATGGGCAATCAAATAATCAGCAATCGGGCTAAAAATGAAGCTCAAAATCCACAAGACGAGGTATGGAAGAGCCGACAACAAACTATTCTGTTGACAATTGATTACCACCAAACAATGACAACGTATCACAACTTACATCACTAATTTTGTACTTCATTATATCATTCATGTATGACGGTATTTCAGTCAAGAGGGTCCAAAAGCCCCAATTTTGCCCACAATGCGCCACCAAAATAGCAATAAAAGGCACTGAAGTCAAAATCGACCTCCATGGTGTAGGCAACTCTTCGTCATCCCTTGGCACGCCGCCCTCGATGTATTGTCTTTCTTCTTCAGAAAGTCGTCCATGTTTGGCAGGACTATCTGCACCAATAAAGCCCCATAGAACCGTCCACCCAATCCCAAAAGCCCCATACAAGTAAAAAGCTGCAGGCCATCCCACCATAGAATCCGCAATGGCTCCAGTTATGGCTAGAGCAATCACGGTTCCCAGAGGTCCCCCCGTGTAGACGAAACTAGCCATTTTGGATCTTTCTTCCAGTGGTGTCCATTTCCCCAGAAGTGTGTGCACCGACGGGTAAAGGAAACCTTGGTTCAAACCTTGGATTACCCTACAGGCTATCACCCCCCCTTGCCCAGCTTCGACGGCCATCACTGGCACCAAAATGGTAAAAAGCGAGTTGATGAACATGGTGACGGTGAGGAACCACTTGGGGCCGAATTTTTTGACGAGTGCACCAGCACCGATCTGGGGGATGACGTAGCCCCAGAAGAAGGCTGAAAGAATGGTTTCTTTTTCAGTCCAGTGTGGGAAAGTCTGGAATTTTACGATTGGTTGGTTTCAAGACACTCGAAGAACTTACCGGGGTATCTTTGTTGGGTGGGTCGTCAGACATCATGGCGATGATTCCTACAGACATGTTCGTGCGAATGCCGTAAGCGATTATGGAAGCTAGGAAGAGGAGGAAGAACTGGATGTGGCGAAGACCAAGCCATTTTCCTGTTTGGGTTTTCGTGGTTTGAGGATTATTAAGACAATGTTATTCACAACTCACTTGGTTTGGGCTCGTCTAACTGAATCTTCAAATCTGTGGATGCAGTCATGTTTGGCTGTTGCTTGATTCTTGGTGAATGAATTATGGGATTTGGGTAGAAAATGCAGCAAAACTAATCTTCTATAAGCACATAGGTAATTGTAAGATAGACGTAATCCTTTTGTTGATGTTATCCACGAAGTTAAGATAAGTCGATACTCACGTGCATGTAAATTCGACTGAATTGTTTGTTTGAATAAAATTCTTTTGATATGTCAGTCACAAACTGATTAGGTTATTGTCTGATATGATAATCACTTCATTTTCACACGGTTTACTATATTTTTTATATTTATTTAAGCTGTATAATTAATAACAGGTGTTCAATAAGTTTCACGTTTACAATCAGATTTGAACATATGTGATATTTTTTATTTACTTACCCAATATATATTAGGAGAACGATATTATTGTGACGACAAATCATTACAGGTGGAAAGAATAATTCGTAATATGAATTCTTAGAAACTTTCCTCACTTTCTGATCTTGTTGTGGTTGCTTGATACATAAAGGATAGTTGTTTTACTACGTACAATTTTGTTTTCGTCGTTGGAACGATTAAATGACATAGTTAACTTGAAAACATTTTTCCTTCGAGCTTTATCTAGGTTATTAACATGTTAGTTTAATTGTGCAATATAATAAATTTTATTTAACAAAATAGTAATAATGTGTATAACAACAGATAACGTATCGATTAGAATTATGAACAAAGTAAAACTAGTGCTAACTTATGATTTCATTCGTCTTCTTTCCGCTTCGATGTAGAAGAGGTTAAGGGTCCAGGACAAAAAGATACACAATTCAAACCTAAAATATTTAAAAAAACGTCTAGAAGAAGATGGATGGAGAAAAATTAAGTCATTCCCTTTTAAACATCATCTTTGATGAAAGCTGAAAATGAAGCTGCCAGACTGGACCAGAGAATTTGATTCTGGGAACATGTTGATGTTTTGTATTTGGATTTCTCTAAAGCTTCGATCGAGTTCCTAAACGTTTCTGTTTCTGAAATATCAGGTAAGCTTTGGCGTTGGATTGATTCTTTTCTCAGCAATCGTATATTTCTTGTCAAAGTGGGTAGTTCTTTTAGCCGACCAGTCGAAGTGTTGAGTGGGGTTCCGCAGGGTTCGGTCTTGGGTCTTTGGCTTTTTGTAGCATATACAGTAGAACAAAAGAATATAATTAAGTCGTAGAGGATCTTCTTAATGTAGACAAACGTGATAGTAATTTACGCAACTAGTTCGGGATAGCCTGCTTCCCGCATGAACGCTTGTTTGAGGCACGACCGAAGGGAGTGCCGCATTTGCGTGAATGCGGGAAGCAGGCTCACGAACGTGTTGTGTACAATATTTTTTGCGGCGAATAAACCTTTAAACTGAAGAGATTAACTGTGAGTTATTTATAAACAACGCCATTGACAGCGCCGTCAACACGTCACAATGTTGACACTACCCGAGTATTTTAAGGTTCCCATGGCAACGGGAAGTTAAATGCACGTGTGCGGGAAGTTCGACCTCCCGCACTCTGGTGAATGCGCGAAAGCTATCAAAAAAGGTCATGAGTGCAAAAATATATTTTGAAAAAAAGTTATCACGTTTATCATAACTTTAAAACATCTGCAAGATTTCAAAGCAGTCGGTTTTGCAGATTCAAAATTAATTTGCAAAATGTTGTTCTATAATTTTGATTTTTTACCAAAAATCGGGACGTTTCGGGTAAAAACAACACGGAGTCATAAACTACATATGTAGGACTATGTTATTTTATACAACTTAAAACACATTTCCATCTACATGACATTCTTAATATTAATACAATGTTTCGCATCAATCGGTCAAGTACTTTCGGAGATTATCTGTCTGATAAAAATCCGGTACGGCAGACAGACGGACAGACGATCAATATAGTATGAAATCTTTGGGTTCCTGTTAGCAATGTAAAGAACTTTTTGCACTCATGACCTTTTTTGATAGCTTTCGCGCATTCACCAGAGTGCGGGACGTCGAACTTCCCGCACACGTGCATTTAATTTCCCGTTGCCATGGTAACCTTAAAATACTCGGGTAGTGTCAACATTGTGACGTGTTGACGGCGCTGTCAATGGCGTTGTTTATAAATAACTCACAGTTAATCTCTTCAGTTTAAAGGTTTATTCGTCGCAAAAAATATTGTACACAACACGTTCGTGAGCCTGCTTCCCGCATTCACGCAAATGCGGCACTCCCTTCGGTCGTGCCGCAAACAAGCGTTCATGCGGGAAGCAGGCTATCCCGAACTAGTTGCGTAAATTACTATTACGTCTTCCCTCCAAAAAAATGATAACGTCAGCTCAAAATTTTGCCAATCCTATACAAAATACGATGAATCTGTACTTGTGATACATATATTATTTTTTTTAGATTTGCTTATACAGGGTATCACAAAAAAATTAATGAATGAGGCAATTTATTTTATTGATTAAATCAGGAACGGCTCACTCCCATTTTATAAGAAAATTTTGGAAATACTGGTATTTTTAGTATTATGCTGCACCAATCCAAGTTGATCTACGTGTTCTTGCAAAAAATCTTGATGACGCGATCACAAAATTTCATTGTACTACTTCTTTTGTGAAGTGAAAATGGGAACTAATATAATGAAGGTTGTTTAAAAAAAACGTTAATCGTAATTTTTTTGGTATCATTAATTACTTATTTACTATAACATTTATTCTTTATTTCTAAAGAAAAAAAATGAGGGAACGGGTGGGTGGGCGGGGCTAAATTTAAATTTTTTCTGTAGAATCTTATAAGCAAGCAATAGCCCCGCCCACCCACCCTATCTTCATTCCAATGATTACTTTAAATATTGTTCAGCCATTTACCGAAATCAGTCTAAAACAATATTAAGAGTAATCACTGGAATGAAGAGAGGTGGGTGGGCGGGGCTAAATTTCACTTTTTCCTACAGAATCTTTTATAAGCAAACAATAGCCCCGCCCACCCACCCCCTCGTCATTCCAGTGATTACTCTTAATATTGTTCAGTCATTTACCGGAATCAGTCTAAAATAATATTAAGGGATAATCACTGGAATGAAGAGACGGTGGGTGGGCGGGGCTAAGTTTAACTTTTTTTGTAGAATCTTTTATAAGCAAGCAATAGCCCCGCCCACCCACCCCGTCGTCATTCCACTGATTACTTTTAATATTGTTCAGTCATTTACCGAAATCAGTCTAAAATAATATTAAGAGTAATCACTGGATTGAAGAGAGGGTGGGTGGGCGGGGCTAAGTTTATCTTTTTTTCTGTAGAATCTTATAAGCAAGCAAAAGCCCCGCCCACCCACCCCCTCGTCATTCCACTAATTACTTTTGATATAGTTCAGTCATTTACCGAAGTGGGTCTAAAACAATATTAAGAGTAATCACTGGAATGAAGAGAGGGTGGGTGGGCGGGGCTAAGTTTATCTTTTTTTCTGTAGAATTTTATAAGCAAGCAATAGCCCCGCCCACCCACCCTCTCTTCATTCCAATGATTACTTTTAATATTGTTCAGCCATTTACCGAAGTCAGTCTAAAACAATATTAAGAGTAATCACTGGAGTTAAGAGAGGGTGGGTGGGCGGGGCTATGTCTATCTTTTTTCTGTAGAATCTTATAAGCAAGCAATAGCCCCGCCCACCCATCCCCTCGTCATTCCACTGATCACTTTTGATATTGTTCAGTCATTTACCGAAGTCAGTCTAAAACAATATTAAGAGTTATCACTGGAATGAAGAGAGGAAGGGTGGGCGGGGCTAAGTTTAACTGTTTTTTGTAGAATCTTTTATAAGCAAGCAATAGCCCCGCCCACCCACCCCCTCGTCATTCCACTGATTACTTTTGATATTGTTCAGTCATTTACCGAAGTCAGTCTAAAACAATATTAAGAGTAATCACTGGAATGAAGAGAGGGTGGGTGGGCGGGGCTAAGTTTAACATTTTTTTGTAGAATCTTTTATAAACAAGCAATAGCCCCGCCCACCCACCCCCTCGTCATTCCACTGATTACTTTTGATATTGTTCAGTCATTTACCGAAATCAGTCTAAACAATATTAACGGATAATCACTGGAATGAAGAGACGGTGGGTGGGCGGGATTAAGTTTAACTTTTTTTTGTAGAATCTTTTATAAGCAAGCAATAACCCCGCCCACCCACCCCCTCGTCATTCCACTGACTACTTTTGATATAGTTCAGTCATTTACCGAAGTCAGTCTAAAACAATATTAAGAGTAATCACTGGAATGAAGAGAGGGTGGGTGGGCGGGGCTAAGTTTATCTTTTTTTGTGTAGAATCTTATAAGCAAGCAATAGCCCCGCCCACCCACCCTCTCTTCATTCCAATGATTACTTTTAATATTGTTCAGCCATTTACCGAACTCAGTCTGAAACAATATTAAGAGTAATCACTGGAATGAAGAGAGGGTGGGTGGGCGGGGCTAAATTTAACTTTTTCCTACAGAATCGTTTATAAAGAGGCATTGGCCCCGCCCACCCACCCCCTCTTTATTCCAGTGATCACCCTTAATATTGTTCAGTCATTTACCGAAATCAGTCTAAAACAATATTAAGAGTAATCACTGGAATGAAGAGAGGGTGGGTGGACGGGGCTAAATTTAACTTTTTCCTACCGAATCTTTTATAAAGAAGCAATGGAATCGCCCACCCACCCCCTCTTCATTCCAGTGATCACCCTTAATATTTTTCATTCATTTACCGAAATCAGTCCAAAACAATATGAAAGGATAATCACTGGAATGAAGAGAGGGTGGGTGGGCGGGGTAAATTTAACTTTCTCCTACAGAATCTTTTATAAGCAACCAATAGCCCCGCCCACCCACCCCCTCGTTATTCCAGTGATTACTTTTAATATTGTTCAGCCATTTGCGGAAATCAGTCTGAAACAATATTAAGAGTAATCACTGGAATGAAGAGAGGGTGGGTGGGCGGGCTAAATTTAACTTTTTCCTACAGAATCTTTTATAAGCAAGCAATAGCCCCGCCCACCCACCCCCTCGTTATTCCAGTGATTACTTTTAATATTGTTCAGCCATTTGCCGAAATCAGTCTGAAACAATATTAAGAGTAATCACTGGAATGAAGAGAGGGTGGGTGGGCGGGCTAAATTTAACTTTTTCTTACAGAATCTTTTATAAAGAAGCAATGGCCTCGCCCACCCACCCCCTCTTCATTCCAGTGATCACCCTTAATATTTTTCATTCATTTACCGAAATCAGTCCAAAACAATATGAAAGGATAATCACTGGAATGAAGAGAGGGTGGGTGGGCGGGGCTAAATTTAATTTTTTCCTACAGAATATTTTATAAGCAAGCAATAGCCCCGCCCACCCACCCCCTCGTTATTCCAGTGATTACTTTTAATATTGTTCAGCCATTTGCCGAAATCAGTCTGAAACAATATTAAGAGTAATCACTGGAATGAAGAGAGGGTGGGTGGGCGGGCTAAATTCAACTTTTTCCTACAGAATCTTTTATAAAGAAGCAATGGCCTCGCCCACCCACCCCCTCTTCATTCCAGTGATCACCCTTAATATTTTTCATTCATTTACCGAAATCAGTCCAAAACAATATGAAAGGATAATCACTGGAATGAAGAGAGGGTGGTTGGGCGGGGCTAAATTTAATTTTTTCCTACAGAATATTTTATAAGCAAGCAATAGCCCCGCCCACCCACCCCCCTCGTTATTCCAGTGATTACTTTTAATATTGTTCAGCCATTTACCGAAATCAGTCTAAAACAATATTAAGAGTAATCACTGGAATGAAGAGAGGGTGAGTGCGCGGGGTTAAGTTTAACTTTTTTCTGTAGAATCTTTTATAAGCAAGCAATAGCCGCGCCCACCCACCCCCTCGTCATTCCACTGATCACTTTTGATATTGTTCAGTCTTACTTTAACAAATACTATTTTCTCGGAGGATATGTCATTTGCCAAAATAAGACTAATCTTAGGAAGTACTAGCCAGTACTACCCTCTGAGAAAATAAAAGGCGGATGGGCGGGGCTAGTACTTGCTAACACAAGTCTTATTTTGGCAAATGGCATATCCTCCAAAAAAATAGGGGGCGGGTGGGCGGGGCTACTACTTGGTAAGATAAGACTGATTTTGGCAGATGACATATCCTCTTGTAAAATATGGGGCGAGTGGGCGAGCCTACTATTTGTTTAGATAAAACTGATTTTGCTCCCATAAATCTTGTAAAAACTTGTGAAATTTAAAGATGTTAAAGTGTCAATGTATTTTATTCAGTTAACCAGGAACGGCTCGCTAAATGTGAAATAGCTTTTCAATTACTTATTGCAGTAATTGAAAAATGAAAACTAAGTTCTCAAAATTTTCCAAAAAGCTCTTTTTTTAAAATTCCAAAAGTGGCTCTATTCATGAAAAAGTAAGTGGTAATTTGTAGAAAAATTTTTTACTGGTTCAGAATCTGAAATCGCTTTTAAAGTGCTAATTGAAACGACCGAGAAAAATGTGTACAAAATTCTCATAAATTTCCAAAAATATTTCTATTCTATTCGTGTGAAAGAAAGTTATACTGCTTTTACAGAACTTATTTAATTAACTGAGAAAAATGGGAACAAATTTTCACAATGTATTTTTTTTATTTGTAAAATGCTGAAGCTAGCTCAATTCGTGTCATAGAATGTGGTAAAACGTAGAAACTTCTCGACAGGTTAAGAATTTGCTTCGCTTTGTATTTGTTGATGTAACCAAGAAAATTGGGAACAAAATTTTCCAAAAACTCTTTTTTGAAAATTCCAAAAGTGGCTCTATTCTTGGAAAAGTAAGTAGTATGTAGAAAATTCTTCACACATTAAGAATCTGAAATCGCTTTTATAGTGCTAACTGAAATAACCGAGAAAAATGAGAACAAAATTTTCAAAAATTCACAAAAATTTGGTTCTAAAATTTCAAAAATGGCTCTATTCGTCCAAAAGTAAGTGATATACGTAGAAAATTGTTTACAGACTAAGAATCTGAAGTCGCTCTTGTAATGCTAATTGAAATAACCGAGAAAATGAGAACAAAATTCTCAAAAATTTCCAAAAATATTCTATTCATGTGAAAGAAAGTGATAACATGTACAAACTTCTTCACAGATTAAGAATCTGAAATCGCTTTGCCAGTATTTGTTAAAATAACCAAGGAAGAAATGAGAATAAAATATTCAAATATTCGCAAAAACGCTTTTTTGAAAATTCCAAAACTGGCTCCATTCGTGCTAAAGTAAGTGCTAATATGTAGAAAATTGTTCATAGGTTGAAAATCTGCACTCGCTTCTCCAATACCTATTGAAATAACTAAGAAAAATGAGAACGTAATTTTTAAAAATTTCCAAAAATTATCTTTGAAAATGTTAAATGTTCTATTCGTACGGAGTAAACTGTTAGTATGTAGAGAATTCTTCCCAAAACAAGAATCTCAAGTCACTTTCCCAGTGTTTATATTCAAATAATTGAAAAAAAATGGGAGCAAAATTATCAAAACAAAGCTCTTTTCAAAAATGCATTAATTATATGGTAGTACAATTAAAGAAAATTAAGTTGGCCTTGCATCTCGAAAACAAATAAAGCAAAAAAATATATATTTTTATTCAAAGTACAAATTGTGTTATTTTGTTATTAAATCACACTAAGGAGATTTCTTGGCACTGATAGTGAAGATAATTCCGTCAAGAAAAACAATCGATAAATGATCACTCCTAACTGATTAGTGATAATGAATGTGCGTCACTTTCAAATTTTTTTTAATTTATTCGATAACTATCAGAACATTGTAGTACCAGAGTAGTACCTTTCTCAATGTTTAACTACAAATCTAGTCGACATTTTTCCACAAACAACAACAACAACAACATTTATATACTTTATTCTATATAATCACACTACTTGACACTAATCTCTTTTGTTACAATATTATCACAGTAAATCGCAGTGCAATATTCAAACTGGCACAACTGGGTACTCTCACACTGTCTTTCTCCCATCATCCTCTTTGGTGACAGTATACTTCCCTTCACTGGCTACAGCCCCATTATCATTCCACTCCTGGACCTCCCCAGACCCGCACAAAACGAAGCAAAGATCACTAATAATGTAGATTCCAGCAGCCACGCAGAACACCGTCTGCCACTGACTCGTATCTTTCTAAAACCCAAAAAATTCTATCTTTGGTCGTACCATAACCTCAAACTCACCTCATTCGTTACAACCACCTGCACAAAAAGTGGCGCCAGTAACGAAAATATATTCGAAACGCAGTTAGTCAGACCCATCAGAGTACCAGAATGGTTGGGAGCGATATCCATGTGGTTGACATTAAACCCTGAGAAAATCGCAGAGTTCATACCCACAGCGATAACCAAAAGGGCTATTGCGGGAGTGTGGTGTTCTTCATCCATGAAACCCAGGAAGACTAGAGCGATTGCAGGAACCACGAGACCGATGGAGTTGAAAATTTTCCTGGTGGTACCAATGGAGGCGTACTTCCTGATGATGAGGAAGTCGGCGATGGCGCTGAAGATGAAACTCAAGACCCAGAGGACGAAGTATGGTAGAGCGCTCAGGTAGCTGTTCTAGAGACAAAGAGGGTGTTAGATTCGTCGGGTGAGGGATGGGTGAAGTTACCGATTTGATTTGGAAGTTCATCACTTCGCTCATGTAGGACGGGATTTCGGTCATCAAGGTCCAGAAGCCCCAGTTTTGGCCACAGTGGGCGATGAGGAGGGCCCAGAATGCGCGAGAAGTCAGGATGTCCCTCCAAGGTGTGGCTAAATTCTAAAAATTGTGGTTGGTAAAGAAATCTGGACAAGTTTGAGTGGTACCTTTGCGTCTGGACTGCGATCCAGACTTGCTTCAATGTAAAGCCGTTCTTCTTCTGATATGATTTTGCTGTCTTTGGGTTTGTTCGAGCCCACGATTGCCATAGCGACGGACCATAATAAACCCAGACCACCATAAATGTAAAAAATTAAAGGCCAGCCGTACCAGCTGGCTGAAATAATCCCTGAAACGATCATGGACACAACGGTACCCAGAGGTCCACCCGCATACACAAAAGTCCCTAGTCGCGATCTCTCAGTAACGGGTACCCAATAACTCAATATGTTGTGAATCGAGGGAAAGAAGAACCCTTGACAAAACCCTTGGAGCGCTCTGGATATCATCACCCCTTTCGAGTCGAAAGCGTCTGCCATTACTGGAAGTAACACGCTAAAAAGGGAACAAATCCCCATGGTACTGACCAAGAACCACTTAGGTCCGTATTTCTTCGCCAGTTGGCCGGCACCGATTTGGGGGATGATGTACCCCCAGAAGAACGAAGACAGGAGGATGCTCTTGTCGTGCCAATCGTAGACCTACGTAATGTTGGATTATCACGTTATTCAGAAAAGGTACTCATACGTACTGGAATGTCGGGGTTGTCGCTACTCTTCGTGGTCATCGCCACAATCCCCACTGATAAGTTGACCCTAATGCCATATGCGATAAAGGTCAAGAAGAAGTTAAGTAGTACTTGGACGTGCCGGACTCCAAATAGGGTACCTGTAACAATAGAGGGATTTACTTTTCTGCAATGTCGTCGACGTAGCCTTGACCTTGCTTTATTATATTTTGAATCGCCTCAAGAAATACAGTTATGTAAGTTTGGAGAGAATAATTCTTGCGAAATTGTGATAAGAATAGCGTGTTCCTGGTATGGGAAAAAATGTGATCGGTGTGGATTTTCAAACAGCCTTGATATTGCGTAGCAAAAATTGGTTTTATTGTCTGGGAATGTGAGCAGGTTATGAGTTATAGGTAGCTGCTGTTGTTTCCGTGTGTAGTAGAAAAATGGAACGTAAAAGTGCTAACTGATAAATATTTATGAATTTAAACGAAGTAGTACGGTTTATGTATTTTGGAAACCCCTAAGCTAGAAATCTCATTACCGGATTGTACGTCAGAGTTAGCGGAATTACGAAATCGTTTCACTCTTGCAATGTAAAACGAAAAGTGTGACGTTATAACCTTATTAACTTAATTGGTACCGTTGCAGACTTACGTTCACGGAAATGTAATAAATAAAAACACTAAAAGCGAGTAACAATTTTATTTATTACTGGCAGGATAGGTACCAACTGAACAAATTTTTAACTTACTTGGACTCGTTCGTAATTTCAAGATGGCATATGCAACATGTGGCATCTTGTAACTGAGTTGAAAATTGGGTCGACACCAAAAACACTATTGTGTTTACTAATAAGGACACCATCGCTAAGTTATTATCTTATCGAACTTTTTTGAACTATTTCTTACCTTGAGTCGCTGCATCGAATTAGCGATCGAGCCTGAGGAATTATTTACTGTAACATATGCTTGTATTATTTGAATTAAAAAATATTTTTTCGTTGTGTACCATTTCGACCAGATCTTTCAACTCAAACTGTTTCTGGAACTCATCTTACGATATTTTCTGATTAGTCAATCTGCTTGGCGCTTGAACATCTTCACTTTTTAATTCTGTTTCGTTCAAGCTTGCGTTTTCTATTGCTTTCCAATTTTGACAGTAATAATAGACAATAATTTCGGACTTTGAAGTCAGATCACGTTAAATCAGGTCAGGTTAAGTCAGGTCAGGTCATAATTACTTCGAAAATGGGTCGAAATTGGCATTCATGGTGGGAAATTTCATTTTTGAAAAAGTCCTCTAAAAATTCTCAAAAAATTCTACTACTCTTAATTTTATTCAGTTCTATGTTGGTTGGCAAAGCACTAGCCCCGCCCACCCACCCCTTTTTTATTCCAACGACTACTCTTATTATTGTTCAGTTCTATCTTAGCAAGTTTTAGCCCCGCCCACCCACCCTTTATTTTCTTAGAGGTGCTCTCACTCTAACGATTTTATCTCTGTTCAATTGAGATCCACCTTTCATTCGGAATAGATAAAATGAACCATTGAAATGGAGGCCGGGTGGGTGGGCGGGATTAATTATTTGTTGTTTGGTATAGTGCGAATGAGAATTAGATTAATTCCTTATTTCAGACGAAAAAGTAAGAGAACGGGTGGGTGGGCGGGCTAAGCTTAACTTTTCCCTACAGAATCTCACTAAAATTCAGGCGGGGTGGGTGGGCGGGGTTAATTATATGTTCTTTTGTAGAGTGGCAGCGGGAACTAATAGAACGTTAGTAGCTAAAAAGAGAAAAAAAAAAGAGCTAATAGTATCTTTTTTTGTTATACGATTTGTTATAAGATTTATTTTGTATTTCAGAGAAAACCAATGAGAGAATAGGTGGGTGTGCGGGGCTAAGTTAACTTTCTCTTACAGAGTCTTTCATAAGCAGACAATAACCCCACCCACTCACCCATCCCTTCTTTATTCCAATGATTACTCTTAGTATTTTTGAGTAATTTACAAAATCAATCCTATCTTATCAATTACTAGCCCCGCCCACCCGCCCTCGTTTTTTTTTGAGTTTATGTGATCTGCCACAGTCAGTCTTATCTTACCAAGTACATATTGGAAAATTTCATTTTTGAAAATCGTCTAAAAATTTTCTAAAAATTCAGAAATATAGATCTTGACGTGGTAATTCCAAAAATACTGGATGTTTAGGGTCACGGTGCAACATTTTCGAAATATTCGAAGTAAAATTCGAATTTTTTAAAATTTAAAAAAATTGCGATATTTCAATGAGCAATTTTGGAAAAACGTTGGGGTTATCCAAGAAATGAGGCCTGGAGTGACTTTTGCGGCCCGATATCCACCAGACAATGTATTTAGTTCAATTTCGTAGTCGAAATTTGCATAAGGGCGGTATAATAGTGGAAATTTTCATTTTTTAAAGTCTTCTAAAAATTCTCAAAAAATTCTACTACTCTTAATTTTGTTCAGTTCTATGTTGGCAAAGCACTAGCCCCGCCCACCCACCCCTTGTTTATTCCAACGATTAGTCTTAATATTGTTCAGTTCTATCTTAGCAAGTTTTAGCCCCGCCCACCTACCCTTTATTTTCTTAGAGGATATGTCATTTACAAAATCAGTCTTAACTTATCAAATACTAGCCCCGCCCATCGCCCTCTATTTGTTAGAAGATATGCCATTTGTCACAATCAGTCTTATCTTAGAAAGTACTAGCTCCTCCCACCCAGCCTTTATTCTCTTAGAGGGTATAGCATGCTCTCACTCTAACGATTTTATCTCTGTTCAATTGAGATCCACCTTTCATTCGGAATAGGTAAAATGTATCACTGAAGTAGAGGCGGGGTGGGTGGGTGTGTTTAATTATATATTCTTTGGTATTGTGCGAATGGGAACTAATCGAACGTAGGTTGTTAAAAAAAGAGCCAATCGTAATTTTTTTGATATACTATTTGCTGTAAGATTTATTCCTTATTTCAGAAGAAAAAGTGATAGATCGAGTGGGTGGGCGGGCTAAGCTTAACTTTTCCCTACAGAATCTCACTGAAATAGAGGCAGGGTGGGTGGGCGGGGTTAATTATATGTTCTTTTGTAGAGTGGCAGTGGGAACTATAGAACGTTAGTAGCTATTAATAAAGAAAAAAAAGAACTAATCGCATTTTTTTTGTTATACAATTTGTTATAAGATTTATTTCGTATTTCAGAGGAAACCAATGAGAGAACGGGTGAGTAGGCGGGGTTAAGTTAACTTTCTCTTACCGAGTCTTTCATAAGCAAGGAATAACCCCACCCACCCCTTCCTTATTCCAGTGATTACTCTTAGGATTTTTGAGTAATTTATTAAAATCAGTCTTATCTTATCAATTACTAGCCCCGCCCACCCGCCCTCTTTTTTCTTTGAGGCTATGTAATCTGCCACAGTCAGTCTTGTCTTAGCAAGTACATATTGGAAAATTTGAAAATAGTCCAAAACTTTTCAAAAAATTCAGAAATATAGAAGTTGACGTGCTAATTCCAAAAATACTGCGTGTTTAGGGTCACGGTGCAATATTTTCGAAATATTTGAAGTAAAATTCGGATTTTTGGAATTTTTTAAAAATTGCGATATACATATCAATGAGCGATTTTGAAAAAACGGTCGCAATTATCGAAGAAATCAGGCCGGAAGTGACTTTTGCGATCCGAAATCCACCAGAAAATGTTTTTGGTTAAATCTCGTAGTCAAAATTTGCTAAGGGCGGTATAATAGTGTAAAATTTATTTTTTTAAAAAGTCCTCTAAAAATTCTCAAAAAATTCTACTACTCTTAATTTTGTTCAGTTCTGTCTAAGCAAAGCACTAGCCCCGCCCACCCTCCCGTTCTTTATTCCAACGACTACTCTTAATATTGTTGAATAACCCCACCCACCCCTTCTTTATTCCAGTGGTTACTCTTAGTATTTTTGAGTAATTTATCAAAATCAGTCTTATCTTATCAATTACTAGCCCCGCCCACCCGCCCTCTTTTTTCTTTGAGGCTATGTAATCTACCACAGTCAATCTTGTCTTAGCAAGTACATATTGGAAAATTTTCAAAAAATTCAGAAATATAGATCTTGATGCGCTAATTCCAAAAATACTGCGTGCTTAGGATCACGGTGCAACATTTTCGGAATATTCGAAGTAAAATTCGAATTTTTTGAAATTTTTAAAAATTGCGATATCCATATCAACGAGCGATTTTGGAAAAACGGTTGGAGTTATCGAAGAAATGTGACTTTTGCGGCCCGAAATCCATCAGAAAATGTATTTAGTTAAATATCGTAGTCAAAATTTGCTAAGGGCGGTAGAATAGTGGGAAATTTAATTTTTGGAAAAGTCATCAAGAAATTCAGAGACATAGATCTAGACGTGCTGATTCCAAAAATATAGATACCTTCTAAGAAAAGTGATTCTAGTACCTGCTACGATAAGACTAATTTTGGCAAATGACATACCTTCTAAGAAAAGAGAGGGTGGGTGGGCGGGGCTAGTATTTAATAAGATAAGACTGATTGTGCAAATGACATACCTTCTAAGAAAACAGAGGGTGGGTGGGCGGGGCTAGTATTTAATAAGATACGACTGATTGTGCAAATGGCATACCTTCTAAGAAAACAGAGGGAGGGTGGGCGGGGCTAGTATTTAATAAGATAAGACTGATTGTGCAAATGGCATACCTTCTAAGAAAAGAGAGGGTGAGTGGGCGGAGCTAGTATTTAATAAGATGAGACTGATTGTGCAAATGGCATACCTTCTAAGAAAACAGAGGGCGGGTGGGTGAGGCTAGTACCTGTTAAAACCGATTTTTCGAAAAATCTGGTTTTATTTACCTTCGATAAATTTTTTGGTACTAGAATTTTTCGTTTCTCTTTTTTCTTCGATTTGAAATTTTCCATATTTCAATTTTTGTAGTTTTTCAATTTTTCGATGTTACAATTTTTCATTTCCTCAATTTTTCAAGTGCCTGATTTTTGTTTTTCATTTTCCCGATTTTTTAATTTTTATTTTCTCGATTTTATATCAAAATTTTTCGTTTTTATGGTTCCTTCTATATTTCTTTCGATTTTATAATTTTAAAAGAGATAAACCGAAAAATTGATTAATTGAAAATTAACAACCCATGAAATTCTTTCTTCAGGGCCAATAAGAATGAATGATCAAAGCGGAATAAGGGTGGGTAGGAGGGCCCACTCTTTATTTGTTTTACAGTAAATAAACTGAGTCGGTGAAATAAAGAAAACAGGTGGGCGCAGATGAGTCCTATAAGCAAGCAATAGCCCCGCCCACCTACCCCCTCTTCATACCAGTGACTACTCTTAATATTGTTTTATCTTGACAAAACTGTTATACTTAAACAAGTGATTACAATAGATTTTATATCAAGTCTGCTTGAACTTTTGTGACTTTTGCCGCCTCGTTGTGATGATTAATGACTACTCGTCGCCTGTCACGCTTACTTAAATGTGGGAATAAATTGGCTTTTGAATTAAGCAAGCGGCAAATTTTTATTATGTAGTGACAGATTTTCGAAAGCCATCTTGATGTGTAATCTGCATACCATTATTTAAAATTATGGTCCAAGATACTTTAAAGTAAAAACTGGTCGAAAGTTACAGAACTTTTCTCGCCCTTGAACTTTAAAAAATTATAAAATTTGATTTTGCGATTTTCGAAAAAATGAAAAATCCAGAAATTGCAAAACTCCCAAAACTGAAATGTTGAAAAATTGAGAAATCGAAAAATGGAAAATTTTTTCAAAAATTCAGAAATATAGATTTTGGCGCGCTCATTCCAAAATACTGCGTGTTTAGGGTCACGATGCAACATTTCAGTAAACAGCAAATTCGAATTTTTTGAAATTTTTAAAAATTGCGATATTTCAACATGCGATTTTGGAAAAACGGTTTGAGTTATCGAATAAATGAGGCCTGAAGTGACTTTTGCTGCCCCAAATCCACCAGAAAATGTAAATATTTAATTAAATTTCGTAGTCGAAATTTGCATAAGGGCGGTATAATAGCGGAAATTTAATTTTTGAAAAAGTCGTCTAAAAATTCAGAGATACAGATCTCGACGTGCTGATTCCAAAAATATAGATACCTTCTAAGAAAAGTGATTCTAGTAACTGCTACGATAAGACTAATTTTGGCAAATGACATACCCTCTAAGATAAAAGAGGGTGGGTGGGCGGGGCTAGTATTTAATAATATAAGACTGATTGTGGCAAATGACATACCCTCTAAGAAAAGGGGGGGTGGGTGGGCGGGGCTAGTATTTAATAAGATAAGACTGATTGTGCAAATGATATACCTTCTAAGAAAAGAGAGGGCGGGTGGGCGGGGCTAGTATTTAATAAGATAAGATTGATTGTGCAAATGATATATCTTCTAACAATACAGAGGGTGAGTGGACGGGGCTAGTACCTGCTAAAATAAGACCGATTTTGGCAAATGGTATACCCTTTAAGAAAAGAGAGGGCGGGTGGGTGGGGCTAGTACTTGTTAAAACCGATTTTTCTAAAAATCTGGATTTATTTACCTTCGATAAATTTTTTGATATTAGAATCTTTCGTTTCTCTTTTATCTTCGATTTGAAATTTTCCATATTTCAATTTTTGTAGTTTTTCAATTTTTCGATGTTACAATTTTTCATTTCCTCAATTTTTCAAGTGCCTGATTTTTGCTTTTCATTTTCCCGATTTTTTAATTTTCATTTTCGCGATTTTATATCAAAATTTTTCGTTTTTATGGTTCCTTCTATATTTCTTTGGATTTTATAATTTTAAAATTGAAAAACCTAAAAATTGATTAATTGAAAATTAACAACCCATGAAATTCTTTCTTCAAAGCCAATAAGAATGAATGATCAAAACGGAATAAGAGTGGGTGGGAGGGCACACTTCTTATTTTGTTTTACAGTAAATAAACTGAGTCGGTGAAATAAAGAAAACAGGTGGAGTGTCTTATAAGAAAGCACTAACTCCGCCCACCCACCCCTTCTTCATTCCAGTGACTACTCTTAATATTGTTCAGTTTTATCTTGACAAATATTAGCCCCACCCACCCACCTTCTATCTTCTTAGAAGATATGACATTTGCCAAAATTAGTCGTAATTTCGTTTGTCTAGAAATTCTCATAGATTCAGGGCTATAGATCTCGACATGCTGATTCAAAAATACAAGTATAGCGTGTTTATGGTCACGGACTAATATTTTTTTCGAATTTATTGTTACGAAATAAACCCATACGCCGCCCCGGTACGACGTCTATGCGTTTTCTAGTATGATGGGTGACTCATCGTCGGTGACGACGGCCGAGTGGCGTTCGCTAAAGAAAAGCCTGGAAGCGGAAATCGCGATGGGTATTCCAGAAAGACCTCGATCACGAAACCTCTAGAAGAAATAAATTGTTGACTTTACCCCCACCGATTTTTAATACCCAATATCTATTTTCCATTGTTGCTTAGGAAAACTTTATTTCAGATTTTTGTGAAATTCGCAAATCCGAACAAATCGCTAATCCGAACACACTTTATTCGGATTATCGAGGTTATACTGTAAATAAAAATAAATTCACATATGTTCAAATAAGCTCCTCTGATTGCAAACGTGAGACTTATTTAACACCTGTTATTAATTATACACAGCTTAAATAAATATAAAAAATATAGTAAACCGTGTGAAAATGGAGTGATTATCATATCAGACAATAGTCCAGTCAGTCTGTGACTGACATATCAAAAGAATTTTATTCAAACAAACAACGCAGTAGAATTTACATGCACGTGAGGATCGACTTATCTTAATTTCATGGATAATCTCACTTAAGAAGAAATAGCACAGTGCAAATCAACAAAAGGATTAAGTCATATCTTACAACTACAGCTTTAAGAAGATTAATCTTGCTGCATTTTCTACCCAAATCCCATAATTCGTTCACAAAGAATAAAAAAAAGCCAAACATGACTGCATCCACAGATTCGAAGATTCAGTTAGACGAGCCTAAACCAAGTGAGTTGTAAATAATATTGTCTTAATAATCCTCAAACCAGTAAAACCCAAACAGGAAAATGGATTCGTCTTCACCACATCCAGATCTTCCTCCTAGCTTCCATTGACGACCCACCAAACAAAGACACCCCGGTAAGTTCTTTGGGTGTCTTGAAACCCACCAATCGTAAAATCTAGACTTTCCCACACTGGACTGAAAAAGAAACCATTCTGTCAGCCTTCTTCTGGGGCTACGTCATCCCCCAGATCGGTGCTGGTGCACTCGTCAAAAAATTCGGTCCCAAGTGGTTCCTCACCGTCACCATGTTCATCAACTCCCTTTTTACCATTTTGGTGCCAGTAATGGCCGTCGAAGCTGGTCAAGGGGGGGTGATAGCCTGTAGGGTAATCCAAGGTTTGAACCAAGGTTTCCTTTACCCGTCGGTGCACACACTTCTGGGGAAATGGACGCCGTTGGAAGAAAGATCCAAAATGGCTAGTTTCGTCTACACGGGGGGGATCTCTGGGAACCGTGATTGCTCTAGCCATAACTGGAGCCATTGCGGATTCTATGGTGGGATGGCCTGCAGCTTTTTACTTGTATGGGGCTTTTGGGATTGGGTGGACTGTTCTATGGGGGTTTATTGGTGCAGATAGTCCTGCCAAACACGGACGACTTTCTGAAGAAGAAAGACAATACAACGAAGGCGGCGTGCCAAGGAATGACGAAGAGTTGCCTACACCATGGAGGTCGATTTTGACTTCAGTACCTATTATTGCTATTTTGGTGGCGCATTGTGGGCAAAATTGGAGCTTTTGGACCCTCTTGACTGCAATACCGTCGTACATGAATGACATAATGAAGTACAAAATTAGTGATATAAGTTGTGATTCTTTGTCGTTGTTTGGTGGTAATCAATTGTCAACAGAATAGTTTGTTGTCGGCTCTTCCATACCTCGTCTTGTGGATTTTGAGCTTCATTTTTAGCCCGATTGCAGATTATTTGATTGCCTATTATTTGTCGATTGGGACTGTGAGGAAGATTTTCAACACCATTGGTAGGTAGCAAATTCTTTCTGATTGACACAGTGTTGTTAATTTAAATTTGGCAGGCAAAGTAATACCAGCAGGTGCTTTGATCGCTTTAAGTTTTGTCAATTCGTCGCAGACCACATAGATGTGTCGTCAAACCATGCAGGGATTCTTATGGGAATTACTAATAGTAGCTCAAAGTGATTCCATATGAACAGGTCCGTATTCAACTATTTGAATGACACCAGTAGTATATTTTTCAAAGAATAACGTCAACAATGGAAACTTTTTCTAAACTCCGGAATTCCATATTGCCAATCGTGTTCATAATTCTAATCGATGTGTTATCTGTTATTATACACATTATTACCATTTAGTTAAATAAACTTTAATACATTGCACAATTATACTAACATGTTAATAACTCAGATAAAACTCGACCGATAAATCATGTTATATTAACATCAAATAAAATAACATTGTACATAGAAATAGATACCGATAACCTTATAAGTTATTATTAAAACCAGTTTAAAATTTTCTTCAGCTGCAGGCATTACCACGACCGAAGAAAATAACCCAAGCTATAAAATTTGCAATTCGCAATAACTATATTTAAACAATCGGTATTAAAACGTGTAACATTAATTACGTGTTGTTCGAGTACCACCTCATCAAAATTTTAGAACTTCTGTATTTTTTTTTCACAAATCGTATTAAATTTTTCTTGGGTCACACTTAAAGCACCCACAAGGAATTTTAATTGTTGAATATTTACTCAACCAGAACACACCTGTTTTTTACAAGACAGGAAATTGCTATAATTGCTAACCCATTCTTCTGTCTTGTTTACTGAGCAAGCACTGCTTCCAAGAAAACGCACCTGATGACCCCAATCAATAGCTTATCGCGTCCACAAAATTTCCAAGTTGGAAAAATACGTGACCCACAAGTACTTACGTGGAGGCTCGACATCTTCCTTTTTGGTTTCTTCTTTTTTCTCCAAAGAAGCTAGCTCCAAAGTCTCTTTAGACATGTTTGCAAAATTGGCAACAAAAAAACAACCGTAGGAACCGCTTTCACGAAGAGGACTAATTAGGTACCACCGAAGTGGTTGGCCGCACGAGTGGTACTGTGGTCAAATCAGTCTTGTAAGCGCTGGTGCACCACCACATGACCTCTAGGAATTATTAATACGACGTGAGTTTTTTATTTGCGGGCTGTAAAATCCCGGGTGTGTCCCTAAGTACTTTGAACTTTGATGAGTACTAATAAGTACTAGTATTTTTTTAGTAGAATCGTCACTTTTTGGTGGAATTCTCCGTCCAACGATAACCTACGTGACCCAAATTATATACTTGACTTCTTCGTATAAAACTGGGTGATAAGAATAAAGATTACTGGGGGACATTGAGTCTATGCAAATCGGTGCAAGTGGTCAACCTTCTATGCAAAATTTCAGACTTTGATGAATGTCCTGCATGTTTTGCAATCTATGTTCAATGTCAAGATCTCGGAGCATGAAATTGGTAATGTTTTGAGGTGGCCGGAAATAAAAGCGCGTTTAATCCACAAGGTGAGAATCTAAAACGGTGTACTGAGTGCTTGATTACGTGTCCGATGTTCACAAACATAATTAAAGTGTGATATAATGTCGCTATTGTTGAATAGTTTCCGTATTTTACGTGTCCACACGTGTCATTTTTTCGTATTGGTGACAAATTCGGTTTTAAAAAGGTGATAACTCGTGGTATTTATATTAACATAAATTTTTAACGATTGATAAGTTTGTGATAGGTGCAAATGCGTTACCTTGGATAAGTTGTACGCATATAAATATTGGTTTTCAGATTTTTGAAAAGAAAATTCAAACAAAGTATTTTGTATTTTTTTTTTTTTTTAGAAAAAATTTTCTCAAGGCATGTACTTGAACAGTGTTGCACATTTTTCTGAGTAGTGTAATTAATAGTGTAAGTCACCTTTTGCATAAAAATATGTCTAATGTAACTTCCACAATCTTTACAAACCAAATAATTTAAATATATTCCTCTTAATCATAAAATTCTTCGAACTATGAGTAAGTATATGCATTTAAATTTGTAGCTGTAGGTTAGGCAACACGTAATACTTCAGTGTTTTCAATTTCCAAAGCTGTTATATTTAGACAAGTGATTACAATAGATTTTATATCAAGTTGGCTTGAAATTTTGTGACTTTTGCCGCCTCGTTGTGATGATTAATGACTACTCGGCGCCTGTCACGCTTACTTAAGTTTAGGATAAATTGGCTCTTGAATTAAGCAAGCGGCAAATTTTTATTAATGTAGTGACAGATTTTCCGAAGCCAACTTGATGTGTAATCTTATACTCACCTGTATAAATATTATTTAATATTATAATCGAAGATACTTAAAGAAAAAAGTAGTCGAAGGTTATTTTGACAGAACTTCTCTCGCCCTTGAAGTTTATAAAATTTGATTTTGCGATTTTCGAAAAATCGAAATCCGAATAGTTGAAAAATTAAAATGTCGAAAAATTGTAAAATTCACAAAATTGAAATGTTGAAAAATTGAGAAATTGAAAACTTGAAAAATCGAGAAATCTGAAAATAGAGGCTGAAAAATTTAAGCTTCAAAAATCAGAAATCTCGAGAAAGCCAAACAACAAAAGATCAAAAAATCGAAAAATTGAAAAATCAAAAATTGACAAATAGACCAATCGAAGAACTGAAAATTCGAAAAACTGATACAATGGAAATTGGAAATTTGAAAAAATAGAAAAATCTAAAAACTAAAAATCGAAAAATTAAAAAATCGGAAAAGCCAAAAAATCAAAAAACTGAAAAACAGGAAAATCGAAAATTCCAAAATTTGAAAAATCCAGAAATTGGAAAATTGAATAACCGAAAAACTGAAAAATCGAGCAACTGAAAAATTCCAAAACTGAAATTATGAAAAATAGGGAAATCTAAGAATTAAAAAATCGAAACATCGAAAAACTGGAAAATCGAAAACCCGAAAAGACGAAAAGTCGAAAAATCGAAAAACCGACAAATCGAAACATCGAAAAATTGAAAAACTGAAACAGTGAGAAGTCAAAAATTGAGAAATCGAAATAACCCAAAATGGAAAAGTTAAAATTGAAAAATTGTAAATTAAAAATTACAAAACAGTCAAAAAATTAGAATTAAAAAAAAAGAAATCGAAAAATTGAAAGATCAAAAAACCGAAAAATCAGTAATTTAAACTTTGGAAAAAATGAGAAAAAGACATCAAATTGTAAAATCGATACAGTCAAAGCAGGAAATTGGAAACACTGATAAATCAAAAAATCTATCTTTTAAAAATTAGAAAAATTAAGAAATAGAAATTTTGACGCTAAAATCGAGATATTACAAAATCGAAAAAACAATATCTAGAAATCGAAAAAGTAAAAAATCGAGAAATCAAAAAATCTAAAAGTCGTAATATCGAAAAATTGAAAAATCGACGAAAAACTGAAGAATCTAAAACTGAAAAATCCCAATACTGAAACTTCAAAAAATTGGGAAATGGAAAAATTCAAAAATCTAATAATTGAAAAGCCGAAAAGTGGAAAAATCGGAAAATCGAGAAATAAAAAAAACGAAACATCCAAAAATTGAAAAACCGAAACATCGACAAATCGAGAAAATGAAAAGTCGAAAAGACGAAAAATCGCGAAATAGAAACAACCGAAAATCGAAAAATCCAAAAGCTGGAAAATCGAAAAATGTAAAAATCGAAAAGCCGAAAAGTCGAAAAATTGAAAAACCGAAAAATCGAAAAATTGGAAAACTAAAACGTTGAGAAATCGAGAAATGGAAAAACCGAGCACTCGAATATCGAGAAATCAAAATAACCCAAAATCGAAAAGTTAAAATTGAAAACTTGCAAATTAAAAATTAAAAAAATTTAAAAATTTAAAATTAAAAAAAACGGAATACCGTGAAATCAAAAAATTCATAATTTAAAAAATGGAAAATTTTAAAAATCAAAAAAATGAAGCATCAAACAACTGAAAAATCAATCAGTAATTTAAAATTTGGAAAAATTGACAAATAGACATATCGAAGAACTGAAATCTCAAAAAATCGAAAATGCCAAAAAATCAAAAGGCCGAAAAACAGGGAAATCAAAAATTAAAAAATTTTTAAAAATCCAGAAATTGGAAAATTGAATAATCGAAACCTGAAAAATCGAGCAATTGAAAAATTCCAAAACTAAAATGACGGAAAATTGGGAAATCTAAAAATTGAAAAATCGAAACATCGAAAAACTGGAAAATCGAAAAATCGAAAAGCCGAAAAGTCGAAAAATCGAGAAACCAAGATATCGAAACATTGAAAAATTGAAAAACTGATTCATTGAGAAATCGGGAAATGGAAAAGTCTAGAAGTTGAAAATTGGGAAATCGAAAAGTTAAAATTGAAAAATTGTAAATTAAAAATTACAAAAGAGTAAAAATTGAAAAATCAAAAAACCCAAAAATCAATAATTTAAAATTTGGAAAAAATGAGAAAAAGACATCGAAGAACTGAAAAGTTGAAAAAACGATAGTACAAAGCAGGGAAAACTGATGAATCAAAAAATTTGATAATCGAAAAGCCGAAAAGTCGGAAAGTAGAAAAAGGGAAAAATCAAAAATCGAACATATAATTAAAAAATCTGTCTTTTAAAAATTAGAAAAATTAAGAAATAGAAATATTGACGAAAAATCGAAATATCAAAAAATCGAAAAAACAGAATATCTAGAAATCGAAAAAGTAAAAAATCGAGACATCGAAAAATTGAAAAATCGACGAAAAACTGAAGAATCTAAAACTGAAAAATCCCAATACTGAAACTTCAAAAAATTGGGAAATGGAAAAATTCAAAAATCTAATAATTGAAAAGCCGAAAAGTGGAAAAATCGGAAAATCGAGAAATAAAAAAAACGAAACATCCAAAAATTGAAAAACCGAAACATCGACAAATCGAGAAAATGAAAAGTCGAAAAGACGAAAAATCGCGAAATAGAAACAACCGAAAATCGAAAAATCCAAAAGCTGGAAAATCGAAAAATGTAAAAATCGAAAAGCCGAAAAGTCGAAAAATTGAAAAACCGAAAAATCGAAAAATTGGAAAACTAAAACGTTGAGAAATCGAGAAATGGAAAAACCGAGCACTCGAATATCGAGAAATCAAAATAACCCAAAATCGAAAAGTTAAAATTGAAAACTTGCAAATTAAAAATTAAAAAAATTTAAAAATTTAAAATTAAAAAAAACGGAATATCGTGAAATCAAAAAATTCATAATTTAAAAAATGGAAAATTTTAAAAATCAAAAAAATGAAGCATCAAACAACTGAAAAATCAATCAGTAATTTAAAATTTGGAAAAATTGACAAATAGACATATCGAAGAACTGAAATCTCAAAAAATCGAAAATGCCAAAAAATCAAAAGGCCGAAAAACAGGGAAATCAAAAATTAAAAAATTTTTAAAAATCCAGAAATTGGAAAATTGAATAATCGAAACCTGAAAAATCGAGCAATTGAAAAATTCCAAAACTAAAATGACGGAAAATTGGGAAATCTAAAAATTGAAAAATCGAAACATCGAAAAACTGGAAAATCGAAAAATCGAAAAGCCGAAAAGTCGAAAAATCGAGAAACCAAGATATCGAAACATTGAAAAATTGAAAAACTGATTCATTGAGAAATCGAGAAATGGAAAAGTCTAGAAGTTGAAAATTGGGAAATCGAAAAGTTAAAATTGAAAAATTGTAAATTAAAAATTACAAAAGAGTAAAAATTGAAAAATCAAAAAACCCAAAAATCAATAATTTAAAATTTGGAAAAAATGAGAAAAAGACATCGAAGAACTGAAAAGTTGAAAAAACGATAGTACAAAGCAGGGAAAACTGATGAATCAAAAAATTTGATAATCGAAAAGCCGAAAAGTCGGAAAGTAGAAAAAGGGAAAAATCAAAAATCGAACATATAATTAAAAAATCTGTCTTTTAAAAATTAGAAAAATTAAGAAATAGAAATATTGACGAAAAATCGAAATATCAAAAAATCGAAAAAACAGAATATCTAGAAATCGAAAAAGTAAAAAATCGAGACATCGAAAAATTGAAAAATCGAAGAAAAACTGAATAATCTAAAAACTGAAAAGTCCCAAAACTGAAACTTCAAAAAATTGGGAAATGGAAAACTTCAAAATTTAAACAATCCAAAATTTGAAAAATTGAAGAATCAAAAAACTAAAAAATCGATAAATTGAAAAATTCCAAACCTGAAGAAACGAAGAAATGGAAAATCGAAAAACTGAAAAACAAAAAAATTGAAAAATCTAATAATCCAAAAGCCGAAAAGTGGAAAAATCCGAAAACCGAGAAATAAAAAAAACGATACATCCAAAAATTGAAAAACCGAAACATCGAGAAATCGAGAAAATGAAAAGTCGAGAAGACGAAAAATCGAGAAATAGAAACAACCCAAAATCGAAACATCCAAAAGCTGAAAATTGAAAAATTGAAAATTTAAAAAACCGAAAAATCGAAAATTTGAAAAATTTGTAAATTGGGGAATCGAAAAACCAAAAAATCGATAAATTGAAAAATTCCAAAAATAAAATGACGAAAAATTGGGTAATCGAAAGCTGAAAAACTGAGAAATCAAAAAATTGAAAAGTCGAAAGATCGCAAAATAGAAGTAACCCAAAATGGAAAAATCGAAAAGTTAAAAACTGAAAAATTGAAAATTTAAACCTAAAAAAATTAAAATTTGAAATTAAAAAAACGATAAATAGAGAAATCAAAAAACTAAAAAATCGGAAATTTGAAAAATCGGGAAATCAAAGATTTTAAAAATCCAAAAACTGAAAAACCGAAAAATCTCAAACTGAGAAGTCAAAAAATCGAAAAATCGGGAAATCGAAACATGAAAAACTGAAAAATATACGATTTAAAAATTAGAAAAATTAAAAAATAGAAATATTGAAGAACTTAAAAATCGAAAAGTAGAGAAATCGAAAAATCTAACGTTAAAAAAATTGAAAAATTAAACAATAGAAAATTTTAACTATTGGAAAATCGAGCAATCTATACAGCAAAAAATCGAAAAATCGAAAAAATTGAAAATTGAACAATCGAAGAAAAATTGAAGATTCGAAAAACTGAAAAATCCCAAAACTGAAACATCTGCATAAAGGGATAAATTTTGATTAACGATTTACCATGCATCCGGAAAATCGAAAAGTCGGAAAATCGGAGTAGAAAATTCAAAAATCAAAAACTTTTAAAATCGGAAGACCGAAGTATTGAAAAATTAAAAAATGGAGAAATTGAGAAATCGAGAAGTCGAAAAATCAAAATAATGAAAAGTCAAAAATCGAGAAAATCAAAAAATCGAAATGTCGAAAAGTCGAAAAACCAAAAAACACATAGATTAATTGAGAAATAGAGAAACCAAAAAATCGAAAATTTAAAAACGTTCAAAATTAAAAAATTGAAAAATTTTAAAATCCGAAAAATTGAAACACTGATAAGTCGAGAAAACGAAATTGCTCAAAAATGAAAAATCGAAAAGTTAAAATTTTTAAATTGAAAAAAAAGATAATTCAATAAATTGAAAAATGGGGAAATTGAACAATCAAAATCGAAATCTCAATAAATCGAAAAATCCGAAATATGAAAAAGTGAAAAATCAAATACATAGTTGAAAACGCGAAAAACCGAAAAATCTTAAGCCGAGAACAACTGAGAAGTTGAAAAATGAAAAGATGGAATAATCGAAAAATTTTAAATGTTAAAAATTGAAAAATTAAAACCTCGAAAAATTGAAGAATCGAAAAACTGAAAAATCGAGAAATCGAAACATCAAAAAAAATAAAAAAGTGAAAAGTGGAACAGAGAAATTGAGAAGTCGAGAAATAGAAACACTGAAAAGTCGAGAAATCAAAAAATGAGAATGAGAAAATCAAAAAATCGGAAAATTTAGAAATTCAAATATGAAAATCGAAAGATTAAAAAACTGAAAAATCGAGAATCTGCAAAATCGAAAAATTCAAGAAAAAAATCGAAAAATAATGTAAATATAGTACTTACAAAAATAAGATTGATTTTGGCAAATGTTATACCTTCGAAGGAAATAGAGGGCGGGTGGGTGGGGCTAGTACTTGCTAAGAATCTTAGTAGGCACTAGCCCCGCCCACTCGGCCTCTCTTTTCTTAGAAGGTACATCATTTGCCAAAATCAAAATAGAGGGCGGGTGGGTGGAGCTAGTACCTGTTGAGATAAGACTGATTTTGGCAAATGACATACCCTTAAAGAAAATAGAGGGCGGATGGGCGGGGCTACTACTTGCTAAGGATCTTAGTAGGCACAAGCCCTGCCCACCCGTCCTCTATTTTCTTAAAAAGTATATCATTTGTCAAAATCAAAATAAAGGGCGGATGGACAGGGCTAATGCCTGCATAAATTTTGATTAACGATTTACCATGCATCTGACGAAACGTCGAAAAAACACGAAAGTAGCCAGTCGAAAAATTATGTACTAGAGGAACTCGACAATTTTGTAATTGTTGTCGTCGGAAACGGACGCAAATTGACATTTGCTTATCGAACTGAGATAGGGAATAGCAATAAATAAACATCGCAATCAGGGTTTATCTCAAGACCAACATCAAAGTGTCGACCGTATGGAAAACCGGATTTTTATTGTGTTATGCCATAAATAAGGCAAAATTCTTTACAATCGCATCGTATTTCAAACTTAGCGTTTACACTGTTGGAACTGTGACCCTGACAGATACTAGCTTATAGGTAATCTAGCTGTATATTATGTTGTCTATACTCTGTAGTAAAAGTGAAAACAAAAACTAAAAATACTTTTTCGAAGTAAACAAAAACTGATTTCATTCAGATCACAACTAATCGCACTGTTAAACATTACTATTCTTATCTTCCTAATCCATTACTTTTAATCCTTTTTTTGACAACAGGGACTTATAAAACTGCATATAATTGGTACAATCTTGTGATTAATAGCACAATGGCTGATAAAATTGTAGACATTAGGAAATTATTAAATGTAAACTGTGTAAATTCTTGCCAAAATCAGATAAACATAATTTTACACAACGTTCTAGTGTAAATTCGGTTGCCTAACCCAGTCGCACATTTCTAAAAAACCCAAATTACCAAGACCAAAGTTTAAACAACCCACGCTGTATTCAGCGTTGCGTCAACAATTTTTTCTTGTTGATAGTTGTCAGTGTGGTTGTTTATGCACAACAAACAACAAGTGTTTTACAGTTACTAAATCAAAATTTTAATTAACCTTCTGGGTAAGTCCTACTTATCAGTTTTAAATATTTAACTGCCGTCTCTAAAACCTCAATTAGGTCAAAACCCGTAAAAACGTTCGAAACGTTAGTAATTTAATAACTTCTTCTTTCAATGTCACCATTAAAGCGTTTTGCTTTTTTCCAGCTATTAACACAGCATTAATAAACAAACATTGCGTAAAATTAGTCACTAAAATGTGCCTTTATGGCCGTAATAACGATAAGATAACCACTTATCCTCTACGCTGTTATTGACACATTTACTCCCTCCATTTTTTCCAGATTAGCTCGGATCATTCTTCCAAATCCGATCATTCCAAGATAGTACGCTAAATCGGTGCATCGCACTTCCACACAGGAAGCGCCTCTTAACCGATTAGTTCAACAGCTGCTTAAGATGGTGGGCGTGTCGGCGAGATTCGACTTAAGTAAGTGACTCATTCTTCGCCAGCGTAGTGAAAATGGCCGTTTTGCTCGACAACGTCACCAACTGCGTGTGGCAGGCCTTCGACGCCCTTCAACAAGACAAGTCGGGCTTCGTCCACAAGAGCAAGCTTAAGGTAAGTGACTTAAGTAGCAGCTGCGCGACTTTACCATAAAAGTCTGTGTATGTCAAGGCCGCACTACTGTTAACGTTATCGGTGATTCATCGCGGTATTTTTAGACGGGTTTGTCGTAGGTGCTCACCGCCAACATCGGCACCCTCTTGGACCTGTACGGGGTGGAGCGGGGGTTGGAGCACTTCCGCAGCACCCCCACCCTCAACTTCGACCAATACAAGTACTACCTCCAAAAAGAGGTGTTCTCGTCGCTGCCCAATAAACTCCCGCTACCCGATCTGCGCGACTACGAAGCCAGAATAGCCGAAGTGTGCTGGCTGGTCTGCCGCAAGAAGTTCATCAACAGAGAAAGCCAAATCTTCAGCGACGAGTCCGTGTTCCAAATCTTCCGCATCTTCTGTCTTCTCGGGGACCTGGTGCTGGATGGCCACAACGAAAACAGCTACCAAGTCCTGCTGCACCCCTCCGAGGTCTACAACATCGCCCAAACCCTCGCCAACTCCTTAGGCTGTCCTTGGGACGAGGAAGATTTCACCAACTTGAGTATCTCCATGGGCAGTTTTCGCCTAACTCCTTTTATAGCAGTACTCGAATCTCGTTCCCTCGTCGGTGTCAAGGACAATTACGCAATCTCCGAAGCCGTCGCCGATATTTACCAAACCCTCGTCGAAGACGTCATCAAGAAAGGTTACTTGACCAAAAAAGGCTACATTTTCCCGACGATGCGTGAGTACTGGTTCGTCTTGAGGCCGTCAGAACTCAGCTACTACAAAACCCGTTCTGAAAAGGACCGCTGCGGGTCGCTACCCATCGAACCCGGAAGCCGGGTCGAGGCCAAATCGGGCTACCGGATTATGTTGCACACCCCGGAGCGAGCCTTCGAGCTGGGTACCACCGACCACATGACTCGAGTCCAGTGGATGTCGGCGCTTCAGCTGGCGTCGGACCATTCCGGAGGGTGCCAGAGTTACCAGAGACTTCAGGCCGCAAGACGGAAAATGCAGAGGGCTGGAAGGATCCAGGAGATGTTAAGGGCGAGGGCGCAGCTCCAGCAGGAGCGAAGCGCGCGACAAGCGGCTGAAGGGCAAGCGAAGGAGCTGGAGGCTGCAGTGAAGGAGGAGACGCGGAAGCTGAGTGATTTGGAGCAGATGAGGACCAAGCTGGAGCGGCTACTAGAGGAGGAAACTCAAGCCAAAAGGGACGAGGAGATAGTGAGGGCGCTTCAAGCGAGGGTTCTAGCTGAAGAGTGGGAGAAGCGGGAGGAGTTAGAACGGCTGCAAGAGGAGCAGAAGCTACTTTTGGAGGAAGAGCGCGGGAAGCGAAAGGAGTTCGAGGATTTACAAACGGAAAAAGAAAAGCAGTTGCACGGTAAGTGACTGATTGCTCGATTTGTCGTTTCTTGTTGTACCAAAAAAATTGAAAAAGTAGGTTGACATCGCAAGTTAAGGTTTCATGACAAAGTAAGGGGTTAGGTCAGCTCAGCTCAGGTCAAGTCATGTCATTTTCAAAAGTGAATTAAAAACATTTAGCAAATGATCTAGAACTAAAAATCTATCGAGTGTTCCACAGATATCCAGTAGAAAAATGTATAGTTATTAAAAAATTTTAAATGTTTTGAGAAAGAGAAAAAAAAAGGAGTATTAAAACCAGTTTGTTCATTTACACAAATTATTTAAAAATGTTTTTGTTAGTACCTTTTGATTTTAGCAAATGACGTACCCTCTAAGAAAATAGAGAGCGGCCCCGCCCACCCACCCCAATTCCGTTTTGATATTTTATTCTGTTTGGCTCTGAAGAACGGAAGAATTTTATATTGATAAATAGTAGAATCTAGGATTGTATTTTTTTTAATACAATTTAATTTACACAGATTTTGCAATTTTTCGATCATCAATTTCACAAGTTTTCAATTTTTAGTTTTTCAATTTTTAATGTTTTCCATTTTTCGATTTGCAATTTTTCTGTTTTCCATATTTTTTCTTAGTATTTGCTAAGATTTTGGCGAATCACAAACCTTCTAAGAAAATAGAGGGCGGGTGGGCGGGCCTACTACATGCTAAGATAAGACTAATTTTGGCAAATGACATGCTAGGTATATAGAGGGGGTAGGTGGGCGGGACTACTGCTTGTTAATTAGACTCTTAGAAAAAAGGTAAACTCTCCCCCCCAACATTTTTTCTCTATTTCAATGACCTATTTTATTTACTGTCCAATGGGAACTGAATTCCATTTTGACAAGCGGTAGAATCTAAGATTTTAAACAAAGCAAAAAGTGGCCCCGCCCACCCACCCATCCCTTTCCCTTTTTGATGATTCATTCTTATTGGTTCTGAGGAACTGAAGTTGGATTGATAAATAACAGAATCTAGGATTACATTTTTTTAATAAAATTTAATTTTTACTAAATTTTAATTATTTCAGAAAAATTGTTTCAATTTTCTTTATTTTTACAAATTTTCGATTTTTTTTTTTGAAAATTTTGAAAATAGACGGAGGAGGAAAACCAAAGCAGGATATATCAAAGCAAGGGAAAATCTGTGATTGAAAATTGATATGAATTTATGGGAGATTTTATGTTGATATAGGGTTTCATAGAAAATTTTCATAACTAGAAAAATTCAGAAATTGAAAAATTCCCAAAATTAAAATGTTGAAAAATTGAGAAATCGAAAACTCGAAAAATCGAGGTCTAAAATTGGAAAATCGAAAAATTCGAATAACTGAAAAATTCAAAAATTAAAGCAGCAAAAAATCGAAAATTTTAAAGATTGAGAAGCATAAAATTTTAAAATTGAAAATTAAAAAGCCGAAAAGGCGAAAAAGCGAGAAATCGGAAAATCCAAAATTTTAAAAATCGAGAAACTGGAAAATTGGAGAATCAAAAAGTGGAAAATTGAAGAATCCAAAACCTGAAAAATGGAGAAACTAAAAAATTCTAAACCTGAAATGACGAAAAAATTGAAAAGCCAAAAAATCGTAAAATCGAAAAATCGAGAAATCCGGAAACACAAAAATGGAAAACCTGAAACAGAAAAATCGAAAAACCTAGAAATCAAAATTAAAAATTGAAAAATTGGAAAACTGAAAATTAAAAATTAAATACTCCTAAAAAATAAAAATGTAGACATCAAAAATTCCATTAATCAATAAATCGAAAAATTGAAAAATCAATAAATTGAAAAATTGAAAAATCCAAAATTTAAAAAATTCGAATCGAAAAACTGAAAAATCGGAAAATTGAAAAATCCCAAATCTGAAATGAAGATAAACTGGAAAATCAAAAATTGAATATTCGAAATTAAAAAACTTGAAAAATATAAAATTAAAAAATCGATAAATCGAAAAATCAGGAAATTGAACAATTAAAACATCGAACTGTCGAAATCTCGATAAATCCAGAAATTGAAAATTTCCCAAAATTGAAGTGTTGAAAAATTGAGAAATCTAAAACTTGAAAATCGAAGCCAAAAATTTAGAAAAGTGGAAAATTTAAAAAATCGAAAAATTGAAAAATCAAAAATTTAAAATCCAAAGAACTGAAAAATCCAAAAACTGAAACAGCGAAAATCGAAAACTTGAAAGATTGAAAAATCTAAAATTTAAAAATTAAAAATTAAGAGGACGAGAAATCGGAAAATTTAAAATTTTAAAAATCAAGAAATTGTAGAATTAAAGAATTGAAAAATTGGAAACCGAAAAATGTAGAAATTAAAAAATTCCAAAACTCAAAGGACGAAAAATTGGGAAATCGAAAAACTGAAAAATCGAGTCATCGAAAAACTGGAAAATCGAACAATCGATAAACCAAAAAGTCGTAAAATCGAAAAATGGAGAAATGGAAAACTCAAAAGATCGAAAAATGGAAAAACTCAAACATCGATAAATCGAAAAATGTAGAAATCAAAATGTGTAGTCCAAAATCGAAAAATAGGAAAGTTAAATATTGAAAAATTGGAAAATTGAAAATTAAAAATGAAAAAAAAAAAATTTAAACTTAAAAAAGTCGATTAACCAAAAAATCGAAAAACTGAAAAATCAATAAACTGAAAAATTGAAATATCCAAAATTTAAAAAATTTAAATTGAAAAATTGGAAAATTGAAGAATTGAAAAACCGAAAAATCAGGAAATTGAAAAAACCCAAAACTGAAATTACGAAAAATTGAGAAATCGAAAAATTGAAAAGCGACACATCCATATAGCTGGAAAATCGAAAAATCGGAACACGGAAAAACTGAAAGAGCGAGAAATCGAAATTATGCTAGTCGAAAAGCTGAAAACTGAAAAACTGAATATTCAAAATAAAAAAAATCGAAAAATTTAAAATTAAAAAAATCGATAAATCGAAAAATCTGGAAATTGACAATCGAAACATCGAACCCTCGAAAAATCGAGGTTGAAAATTTTGAAAATCGAAAACCGAGATGTCAAGAAATCGAAACAACAAAAAATTGTAAAATCGAAAAATTGAAAATTAAAAGGCCGAAAAGACGAAAAATCGAGAAGTCGGAAAATCCGAAATTTTAAAAATGGAGAAACTGAAAAATGTAGAAATTGAAAAATTCTATTACTGAAACAACGAAAAATTGGTAAATCGAAAAAATGAAAAATTGAAACGTAAAATTGAAAAATCTAAAAATCGAAAAGCCAAAAAGTCGAGAAAACGGAAACTCAAAACGTCGAAAAATTGAACGAAACATCGAGAAATCGAAAAATCTAGAAATCAAAATAGTCCAAATTCGAAAAATGGGAAAGTTAGAAATTGAAAAATTGGAAAATTGAAAATTAAAAATTGAATTGAAAATAAAAATTCCAACTTAAAAAAATTGATTGATCAAAGAATCGAAAAATTGGTAAATCGAAGAATCGAAAAACTGAAAAATCGGGAAATTGAAAAATCCCAAAAACTCGTATGAAATCAAAAAATTATTACATCATAAAGTTGGAAAATCGAAAAATTGGAATATGGGAAAATCGAAAACTTAAAAAATAAGGAAATCTAAAAATCGAGATCTAAAATTTTGAAAATCGAAAAACCGAAATGTCAAGAAATCGAAACAAGAACAAATTGTAAAATCGAAAAATTGAAAATTAATAGGCCGAAAAGACGAAAAATCGGGAAAATAGAAATTCCAAAATTTTAAAAACCGAAAAATTGAAAAATTGGAAAATTGAAGAATCGAAAAATTCAAAAATTGAAGAACCCAAAAACTGAGAAATGTAGAAATTGAAAAATTCTAAAACTAAAATGACGAGAAATTGGGAAATTGAAAAATTTTAAAATCGAACCATCGAAAAACTGGAAAATCGAAAAATCGAAAAGCCAAAAAGTCGTAAAACCGAAAAATCTAGAAATCAAAATACATACTCCAAAATCGAAAAACAGAGAAGTTAAAAATTGAAAAATTGGAAAATTGAAAATTATAAATTGAAGAAAATAAACGATTTAAACTTAAAAAAAATTATTAATCAAAAAATTGAAAAATTGATAAATTAATGAACTAAAAACTCGAAAAATCCAAAATTTAAAAATTTAAAGTTGAAACATTGATAAATTGACGAAACGAAACATTAAAAATCGGGAAATTAAAAAATCCCAAAACTGAATGACCAAACATTGAGAAATCCACAAATCGAAGAGTCAAGTAGTCAAAAAATCGAGAAATTCAAAATTTAAAAAATTGAAATTGAAAAACTGCTAAATCGAAGAATCGAAAAACTGAAAAATTTTAATTGAAAAATTGGTAAATCGAAGAATCGAAAACTTGAAAAATCAAAAATTTCAAATTCGAAGAACTGAAAAATTGAAACAGCAAAAAATCGAAAACTTGAAAGATTGAAAAATCTAAAATTTAAAAATTGAAAAATAAAAAAAAAGCTGAAAAGACGAAAAATGAAGAAATAGGAAAATCCAAAATTTTATAAACCGAAAAATTGAAAAATTAGAAAATTGAACAATCGAAAAACTGAAAAGTATAGAAATTGGAAAATTGGAAAATTGCATTCACAAAAAATTGGGAAATCTGGAAATTGTAAAATTAAACCATCAAAAAACTGAAAAATCGAAAAGCTAAAAAGTCCTAAAATCGAAAAATCGAGAAATTAAAATAGTCCAAAATTGAAAAATAGGAAAGTTAAAAATTGGAAAATTAAAAATCAAATAAAAAATTAAAATTTAAACTTTAAAAAATCGATTAATCAAGAAATCGATGAATTGAAAAATCAATAAACTGAAAAATCGGAAAATCCAAAATTTAAAAAATTGAAATTAAAAAATGGGTAAATCGAAGTAGCGGAAAATTGAAAAATCCCAAAACTCAAATGACGAAAAATTGGGAAATCAAAAAATGAAAAATCCAAACATAAAACTAGAAAATTGAAAAATCTAAAAGTTTAAAAGCCATAAATTCGAAAAATTAGAACATGGAAACATTGAAAGAGTCGACAAATCGAGAAATCAAAGAGTCGTGAAGTCAAAAAATCGAGAAATCGAAACCCAACGTCGAAAAACCGAAAACTGGCGGACTGAATATTCAAAATTAACAAAATTGAAAAATTTTAAATTAAAAAACTCGTAAAATCAGGAACTTGAACAATTGAAACATCGAAATCTCGATAAATCCAGACATTGAAAAATTCCCAAAATTGAAATGTTGAAAAGAGAAAATTTTAAAAATAAAAAAACAGAAATGTCGAAAAATTGAAACAACAGAAAACTGTAATAGCGAAAAATTGAAAAATCAAAATTTTAAAATTCGAAGAACTGAAAAATTGAAGAAATGAAACAGCAAAATATCGAAAACATGAAAGATTAAAATCCTAAAATTTAAAAATTGAAAATTAAAAAGCCGAAAAGACGAAAAATCGAGATACTTTAAAATCCAAAATTTTTAAAATATTATTTGGAAAATTGGGGAATCGAAAAATTGAAAAAACGAACCATCAAAAAGACTGTAAATTCAAAATATCCAAAAATCGAAAGTCCAGAAGTTCGAAAAATTGAAAAACTGAAACATCGATAAATAAAGAAATCGAAGAGTCGAGAAGTCAAAAAATCGAGAAATTCGAAAAGCGGGAAACCAAAAAACTGAATATGTATTCAAAATAAAAAATTGAAAAATTTAAAATTAAAAAAATCGTTAAATCGAAAATTTTGAAAATCGTAAATTTGAAAAATCGAAAAATCCAAAAATCGAAAGATCGAGAACTCAAAAAATCAAAAAAGTGAAAAATCGAAAAATCAAAACAATGAGAAATCGAAAAATCGAAGAGTCGAATAGTCAAAAATCGAGAAATTCAAAATCTATAAAATTGAAATTGAAAAACTGGTAAATCGATGAATCGAAAAACTGAAAAATCTCAAAACTGAAATGACGAAAAATTTGGAAGTCGAAAAATTGAAAAATCGAAACATGAAGCTGGAAAATTTAAAAATCTAAAAATCAAAAGCCCATAAATTTGAAAAATTGAAACAGTGAAACATCGAGTACTCGAGAAATCGAAGAGTCGTGAGGTTAAAAAATCGAAACCTTAAAAAAGCAAAAATTTCAAATTCGAAGAACTGAAAAATTGAAAAATTGAAACAGCAAAAAATTGAAAACTTGAGATTGAAAAATCTAAAATTTAAAAATTGAAAATTAAAAAAAAAGCTGAAAAGACGTAAAATCGAGAAATTAAAATAGTCCAAAATCGAAAAATAGGAAAGTTAAAAATTGGAAAATTGAAAAATAAAAAATAAAAATTTTAATTTAAAAAAATCGATTAATCACGAAATCGATACACTGAAAAATCGAAAAATCCAAAATTTTAAAAATTGAAATTAAAAAATGGCTAAATCGAAGTAGCCGAAAATTGAAAAATCCCAAAACTCAAATGACGAAAAATTGAGAAATCATAAACTGAAAAATCCAAACATAAAACTAGAAAATTGAAAAATCTAAAAATCGAGAAATAAATCTAAGAGTCGAGAAGTCAAAAAATCGAGAAATTAGAAAAGCGGGAAACCGAAAAACTGAATATTCAAAATAAAAAATTGAAAAATTTAAAATTAAAAAAATCGATAAATCGAAAATTTTTAAAATCGTAAATTTGAAAAATCTAAAAATCAAAAAATCAAGAAATCGAAAACTCTAAAATTTTAAAAATTGAAGAACCAAATGTGAAGCACAGAAAGAGAAAAAACCGAACATTTAAAGATTTAAGAAATAGATAGGAGAGAAGAAAGGAAAAGAATATTCAAACCAGTGTGTTCATTCACACAAATTAGTTTGGGATCTCTAACAGTTTTATAAATTTCAAGAATTTCGAAAAAATTGAGAGTGTATTGTAGTAGTAAGAAAAAAGTTCGTTAAACCTTCATGAATAAACCTCGTAATGGTATTATTATTTATCTTTTCTAGAGCTCTTGTGCTAGTCAAATATGAAGTGCCACATTTTTCACTGGTCAAAATTCCAATCAACAAATTCGCGACATAACGTCCACACGAATCGCTTGTTTCATCGACCTAAAAATAAATTAGATTATCGCCTAAAATTTTACGAATAACCTGCTTTGTTTTTTGAAACACTTTGTCCACAGAGTTTTTTCGTAAACTACTTTGTTTAATTGTAATTGTTAGAAATTGGTACTAATAAAAATAAATGTGACAAATTCAAAAATGTAGCAATGATAAAAATTTGGATACCTTACTTACCTTTTTACAGCACACTCTGTAAAAAACAGATTGAGAATTTTCATTTAACACTAGTTCGGGATACTTTTTTATCCAGCCGTGGACACTTGCTGAATATTTTGACATTTTGGACTCAAAGTTCCTTATCAGTACCAAAATAAGTTTTGTGTTTGGCTAAGTATAAACTAATTCGTGTTCATCATTTAGCTGTGATGATGGTACCAGTAGGTACTGAACATGTTAGCCCTCACTTTATGATAAAACCTTAACTTCTGTGGCGTCGATCTAATTTTCCCATCTTTTTGGTACTACTACTTTCAGAAAAAGATCTTAACTACTCGGTTTCTTATTGTTCTTCTAGAAGCGGAGCAAAGATTGGTCCAGCTGGAAAGGGAACGACAGGCTTTAGACCACCAGTTAAAATTAGCCCACGATAAAATTAAACTATCCGAAGACAGCCGAGAACTCCTCGAGGCCAAACTGTACCAAGTGGCCCCCACGCTTCGCGAAGGAGACCGCATACGAAGAGCGCATTCGTTCATGCCGAGTACTAAAGAAAGACCCGTGCTGTTGGAAGTGAGGGCCGCCACTTTGCGAAGAACCAAGAACTAACAGACTGATGAATGCTCAAAGTACTACCATTCCACTTAATTTATACTTTTCTACTTTATTTGCTTTACTAATTTTTTAACATGTATCATAGCATTAATAAATTTTTTATAAAGATTTAGTTCTCGTTCATGGACTCCGTCTCATCTTTCATCAAGTTCACCACCAGCTCGTGTTTCGAGAAAGCTTCTTTAGACTTGATCTCACCTAAAATGTCATCGCGGAATTTACCTTCGAGTAGAGCGTTGGGGTCAGGTCCCCCTGAAAGCTGGACGCGTAGTTCATCTTTTACCGGCTCCGTTTTCTTCTTGTCTTTCTTTTTGCCTTTCTTCTCGTTCTTTTCTTTCTTGCCTGAAAGGAGTGAGTTTTATTCTGTTCTATTGTGACCCGTTTGTACCTCTGGGACTCTTCTTGGCGCCGCTTTTACCTTTAATGGCCTCAGCACTGCCTTTCTTTTTACCTGGATACAAGTCGTTAGTAGATACACACCCGGGTTTTGTTTGTTACCCTTTTTTTTTCGTCTTGCGAGTTTGCGGGCCTTGTAGGCCCTCCAAGCCCTCTGGATTCGCCTGGCCGCCCGATTCTGCAGGAACATCCACGCTTTTTCGTAGTTGATGCGCTCTTCTTCTTCTTCTTTTTCTTTCATTAGAACGAGGTACTCGGTTTCCTGATCTTCGAGCTGATCTTGCAACAAATCGAGTTCTTCTTTTTCTTCGTTGTAACTACAAAAAATTGGTAGATTTATTTCGATGGAACTTTTGTTTTCTTCAGTTTTTATTTTTTTTTGTTTCTTTTTTCGATTTGCAATTTTTGCAGATTTTAAGTTCAAATTCTTCAGTTTTTCGATTTTCCAAATTTTTATTTTATTTTTTTCTTTCTTCATTTTTAATTCTTTGAGTTTCTTCTTTTTCAATTTTTCAATTTGTGATTTTGTAGTCCTTCAAATTTTCGATTTTTTTTTTTTGGTTTTTCGATTTTCCAAATTTTTGGTGTTTCGTTATTTAGATTTTGCAATTTTTTATTTGCAGTTTCCCGAATTTTCAATTTTCAATTTTTTAGTTTTGCTCATTCTCCTTATTGGTTCTGAGGGACGGAAGTTGGATTATATATTGGTAAATAAGAGAATCTAAGGATTTTTACTAAATTTTAATTTTTGATTTGCAGTTTTTTCTAGTTTTCATTTTAGAATTCTTCCATTTTTCAAATATTATTGGATTTTAAAACTTTTTCGTTTATACGAATTTTCAGTTTTTGATTCTTTATTTTTACAATTTTTCGATTTTTTTTTTAATTTTTGAAAATGGACGGACAAGGAAAACCAAAGGAGATACGGAGCCAAGCAGGAAATCTGTGATTGGAAGTTGTTATCAATTCATGGCAAAGTTTATGTTGATTGAAAAGTTCCCAAAATGTTGAAAAATCGAGAAATCGAAAAATTGAAAAATTGAGAATTTAAAAAATCGATGTCGAAAATTTTGAAAATCGAAAAATCGAGATGTTAAGAAATCGAAACAACAAAAAACTGTAAAATCGAAAAGTTGAAAAATAGAAAAGTGAAAAATTTAAAAAATCGAAAGTTGAAAAATCAAAAATTTAAAATTCGAAGAACTGAAAAATTCTAAATCTGAAGCAGCAAAAAATCGAAAACTTGAAAGACTGAAAAATCTAAAATTTAAAAATTGAAAATTAAAAAGCCGAAAAGACGAAAAATCGAAAAGTCGAAAAATCCAAAATTTTAAAAATCGAGGAACTGAAAAATGTAGAAATTGAAAAATTCTATTACTGAAATGACGAAAAATTGAAAAATCTAAAGATGGAAAAACTGTAAAATCGAAAAATCTATCAATCGTAAAGCCAAAAAGTCGTAAAATCGAAAAATCGAGAAATCGGAAACTCAAAACGTCGAAAAATTGAAAAAAAAACATAGAGAAATCGAAAAATCTAGAAATCAAAATAGTCCAAAATCGAAAAATGGGAAGGGTAAAAATTGCAAAATTGGAACACCGAAAATTAAAAATTAAATAAAAAATAAAAATTCAAACTTAAAAAAACTGATTAATCAAAAATCGAAAAAGTGAAAAATCGGGAAATTGAAAAATCCCAAAACCCGTATGAAATCGAAAAATTGATACAACGAAACAACATAAAGTTAGAAAATCGAGAAATCTAAAAATCGAGATCTAAAATTTTGCAAATCGAAAAATTGAAAATTAAAAGGCCGAAAAGACGAAAAATCGGAAAAATGGAAAATCCAAAATTTTAAAAACCGAAAAATTGAAAAATTGGAGAATCGAAAAATTCAAAAATTGAAGAACCCAAAAACTGAAAAATGCAGAAGTTGAAAAATTCTAAAACTGAAATGACGAAAATTTTGGAAATTGAAAAATTTTAAAATCAAATCATCGAAAAACTGGACAATCGAAAAATCGAAAAGCCGAAAAGTCGTAAAACCGAAAAAATCTGGAAAATCAAAATACATGCTCCAAAATCGAAAAACAGAAAAGTTAAAAATTGAAAAATTGGAAAATTTAAAAATTAATGAACTAAGCACTCGAAAAGTCCAAAATTTAAAAAATTGAAGTTGAAAAATTGATAAATTGACGAAGTTAAGAAATCGAAAAATTGAAAAATCGGGAAATAAAAAAATTCCAAAAGTGAAATAACCAAAAAAAGGGAAATCGAAAATTTGAAAATAATCGGAACATTGAGAAATCGACAAATCGAAGAGTCGAGTAGTCAAAAAATCGAGAATTCCAAAATTAAAAAAATTGAAATTGAAAAACTGGTAAATCGAAGAACTGAAAAATTTTAATAGAAAAATTGGTAAATCGAAGAATCGAAAAACATAAAGGTGGAAAATCGAAAAATCTAAAAATCGAAAGCCCATAAATTTGAAAAATTGAAACATGGAAACATTGAAAAAGTGAAACATCAAGTAATCGAGAAATCGAAGAGTCGTGAAGTTAAGAAATCGAAAACTTGAAAAACTCAAAAATTTCAAATTCGAAGAGCTGAAAGATTGAAAAATTGAAACAAAAAAAAATCGAAAATTTGAAAGATTGAAAAATCTAAAATTTAAAAATTGAAAATTAAAAAAAAGCTGAAAAGACGAAAAATGAAGAAATTTAAAAATCCAAAATTTTAAAAACCGAAAAATAGAAAAATTAGAAAATTGAACAATAGAAAAAGTGAAAAATCGAAAAGCTAAAAAGTCGTAAAATCGAGAAATCGAAAAATCTAGAAATTAAAATAGTCCAAAATCGAAAAATAGGAAAGTTAAAAATTGGAAAATTGAAAATTAAAAATCCAGAAATTGGAAAATTGGAGAATCGAAAAATTGAAGAATCCAAAAACTGAAAAATGTAGAAATTGAGAAATTCTAAAACTGAAATAGGAAAAATAAAAATCGAAACATCTAAAAATCGAAAAGCCAAAAAGTCGTACAATCGAAAAATCGAGAAATCGAAAACTCAAAACATCGAAAAATCGAAAAACTGAAACATTAAGAAATCGAGAAATCGAAAAATTTAGAAATCAAAATAGTCCAAAATCGAAAAATATGAAAGTTAAAAATTGAAAAATTGATTATTAAAAATTAAATAAAAAATAAAAATTTAAACTTAAAAAAATCAATTAATCAAAAAATTGAAAAATTAATAAACTGAAAAATCGAAAAATCCAAAATTTAAAAAAGTGGAATTGAAAAATTGGTAAATCGAATAATCGAAAAACTGAAAAATCGGGAAATTGAAAAATCCCAAAACTGAAATGACGAAAAATTTGGAAATCGAAAATTTGAAAAATCGGATCGTAAAGCTGGAAAATTGAAAAATCTAAAAGTCGAAAAATTGAAAAACTGAAACATCGGGAAATCGAAGAGTCGAGAAGTCAAAAAAACTAAAAAACTGAATTGAAAAATTTAAAATTAAAAAAATCGATAAATACAAAAATCACGAAATTGAACAATCCAAAACTCGAAACATCGAAATCTCGATAAATCTAGAAATCGAAACATGGAAATTTTGATAAATTCAGAAATTGAAAAATTCGCAAAATTGAAATGTTGAAAAATTCCCAAAATTGAAATGTGGAAAAGTTCTCAAAATTGAAATGTTGAAAAACTGAGAAATCGAAAACTTGAAAAATCAAGAAATCTAAAATTCGAGGGCGAAAATTTTTAAAATCGAAAAACCGAGATATCAAGAAAGGAAAAATGGAAAATTGAAGAATCGAAAAACTGAAAAATGTAGAAATCGCAAAATTTTAAAACTGAAGTGACGAAAAATTGGGAAATCGAAAAATTAAGAAACCGAAACATCGAAACACTGAAAAATCTAAAAATGGAAAAGCCAAAAAGTCGTAAAATCGAAAAATCGGGAAATCGAAATAGTCTAAAATCAAAAAAAGGAAACTTAGAAGTTGAAAATTAAAAATTAAATGAAAAATAAAATTTAAACTTAAAAATATCCATTAATCAAAAAATCGAAAAACTGAAAAATCAATAAACCGAAAAATAGAAAACTCCAAAATTTAAAAAATTTAAATTGAAAAATTGGTAAATCGAAGAATCGAAAAACTGAAAAATTTCAAAACTGAAATGAAAAATTGGGAAATAGAAAAATCGAAAAATCGAAAAAATGGAACATGGAAAAATTGAGGCAGAGAAATCGAAGAGTTGTGAAGTTAAAAAAACGAAAAATCGAAATAGCCCCAAAGTCGAAAAGCTGAAAACTGAAAAACTAAATATTAAAAAAAAAAATGAAAATTTAAATTAAAACATCGAAATCCCGATAAATCCAGTTCAATACATTGTCCAAAATCGAAGAATCGTAGTTGGATTTTATATTGATAAATAATAGAATTTACATAGAATTACATTTTTCATAACATTTAATTTTTACAAAATTTTTTTTTTGAAAAAAGTTTCAATTTTTAGATTTTTCAATTTTTCATTTTTAATATGTAATAATAATAATAGTTTTTAAAATGTTTCACTTTTTCAATTTTACGATTTTAGAATTTTTCCATTTTTCAATTCCTACTGGATTTTAAAACATTTTCGTTTATACGACTTTTCAGTTTTGGATTTTTCACTTTTTCATTTCTTCAGATTTTCAATTTACGATTATTCGTTTCGCTTTTATATTTCCTTTATTTTTACAATTGTTTGTTTCTTCAATTTTTTGATTTGTACTTTTTCAATTTTTTTTGTTAGTCTAACTCTAAAGTGGTTCGATATTCAGATTTTGTAATTTTTCGATTTGCAATTTCACGATTTTTCAGTCTTTAATTTTTCAACTTTTGTTGTTTTCATTTTTCATTTCTTCAATTTTTCAGTTTGTTAATTTTCCTTTCCGGTTTTTATTTCCTTTATTTCTTCAATTTTTCGGTTTTTCAGTGTTCTAATTTAATAATTTGTCATTTTCAATTTTACAATTTTAGCAAGTTTTTCAATTTTTCAGTTTCTCGATATTTGATTTTTTAACTTTTTAATCTTTCAGTTTATCGATTTTGCAGTTTTTGGATTTTCCAGTTTTCCGATTCATTGATTTTTTGATTTTTAAGTTTCTCGATTTTTGGTTTTTCAATGTTTTAGTTTTCCGTTTCTTCAGTTCTTCAATTTTCAGTTTTTCGATTTTCCACTTTTTCGATTTTGCAATTTACCGGTTTTCCAATTTTTCGATTTTTCCAGGTTTTTTAGTTTTTCGATTTTTCATTTTTCAGTTTTTCAACTTTTCTAATAAAAAAAATGGAAAATTGCAAAACTGTGGAAATCAAGAACTTGCAAAATTGAAGAAACGAAAAACTTAGAAATCGAAAAAGTCCAAAATCGAGAAAAACAATGTGTGGTAAAATCGAAATATTGAAAAAATAAAGGAAATGAAAATGCAAAAATTCTGATATAAAATTGAGAAAATGAAAATTAAAAAATCGTGGAAATGAAAATTAAAAATCAAAAACTTGAAAAATCAAAAAATGAAAAATTATTAGATCGAAAATTTGCAAATTTTTTACAAACGACTGAAAAATTTGGAAGTCAAGAAATTGAAAAATTAAAGTTGGAAAAACGAAAATTATAAAACAAAAACATTGTTATATCAAAAGATTGGACCAAGGTTATTTCGACAGAATTTCCCTCGCCTCTGAAGTACAATAGGTACAATAAATCCAGATTTTTAATCCAGATTTTTACAAAAATTAATGGTTGTAAATTTTTCAAAAAAAAATAGCAACATAGTAGATACACATTTATTCAGTTGATTCCCAAATTTGTGGGCTTTTTGTTTTAATAATAAATCTTAGATTCTACCCCTTGTCAAAGTAGAAATTTAATTCCCATTTTAGAGTAAATAGAGAAAATAATCAGTGAAATAGAGAAAATACGTGGGCGGGGCTCAGTTTAGCTTTTCTCCAAAAAGTCTTATAAACAAGCAACTACCCCGCCCACCTACCCCCTCTTCATTTCAGTGACTACCCCTACTATTGTCCAGTTTCATCTTAGCAAATGCTAGCCCCGCCCACCCGCCCCCTATTTTCTTAGAGAATGTGTCATTTGCCAAAATTAGTCTTATCTTTGCGAGTCCTAGGCCCGCCCGCCCACCCGCCCTTTCTTTTCTTGTAAGATATGTCATTCCATAAATCAGTCTTATCTTAGCAATTACTAAGAAAAAAAAAGAAAAACTGAAAAATTGCAAATCGAAAAATTGAAGAAATGAAAAATTATAGTTGGAAAAAGGAAAATTATGAAACAGAAACATTGAAAAATGGAAAAATTGTAAGAAAATGGAAAAAGGAAAAATTGTAAATATTAAAAGATTGGTTGAAAGTTATTTCGATAGAAGTTCCCTGGCCTCTGAAGTACAGTACAATAAATCCAGATTTTAGAAAAAATATTGGTTGTATAACTTATTAAAAAAAGAGCAACATAATATTGCATTTTGATAAATCACAAATATAGAGTCAATATTTTACATACTTCAGAAAGAATTTATTGCGAAAAATTTTTGACATGGCGTTTTATCATCTACAAGACACTCGTAATATACAGAGACAGACACAGACGAAACCTCGAGAAAACATAAAAGTGGGCAGTTCTTACTTTTTTATTATCATTATTTTTATTGTTATTATTACTTACGTCTTCTCCAGTTCGTCGTACTCCGTCTGCTTCTCCCCAATATCATTATCGTACTTCGCCACCCAACTCGCCAACTGCGCCTCAACTTTGAGCCTCTTCGTCCTCAGCCCCTTCTCCACCTCCAAATGCTCTTCCAACAAATGCTCGTACTGATGCGTCGAATTGGCCGCCTCCTGCGAAAGGTCCGCTTGGACTTCCACACTCTTATTATAGTCCTTCATCATAGCGACCTCCGAATCGTACACGATCTTGTTAATCTGGTTATTACACTTCTCCCGCAAGGTATCGATCTTCTCCGCCAAGTCCTGCAGGATCGCCTCCTTCCTGTCGTGCTCCTTCCCCAGCTCCTCCCTCTGCTTCTCCAACAACTGCTCCATTTCCTGGATGTTGTTCGACAGCAACATGCTCAGCCTAAACGCCGTCTTCAGGTCGTTCTCCCTCTTGATCTCCTCCTCCGCCGATATGCTCAGTTTGTCGTTGACGATGCTCTCCAGCTGCGCTATGGCATCCACGAAGCCCATCATCAAAACGTCCGGATCGCCCTCCAAGGTTTCCATGTGCTCGACTAGCGGTTTACATCTGAAGATGACGTCCACGGCGTACGAAACGTGGGCTTCGTAGTACTCGCCGGCGCCGAAAGGCAGGGGTTTCTTGGAGCCGGGGTTTGCCTGGAAGAAAGGGTGGGTGGTGGATCGGTATTTGGGTTAACTTACTTTCTTGTCGGAGATGTTAATTCTTTCCAACATGTTGCAAATGAGTTCTAAGTCGGAGCGGTTCTCCAGAATTTGGGCAGCCATGGGAGGGGTTTCTTGGCACACGTACACGACGAAATCGGCTTCGGTTTTGTTGAGGAAGCGGCGCAAGATGGCGCCGTTGTTCTCCAAAATGGTGGGCAGGTGGCTCTTGAAGGAAATGCGCAAAGTGAACGAACAAAGTTAAGTCTTTAACTATTCTAGAGGTTGTGTATATTTACCAACAGTTTTAGTCTGTACATCGTATGTTGTATTATCTTCAGTATTCTTCGTTTCTGTAGTTCATATTCGAGAGCCTCGCTATCGGAGGGTTCCACTTCAGATTTATCTTTCATTCTTAACAAATGCTAGAATTTTCATCCACAACTACACTTAGGAGATACTATAAAGTCATAAAACATGAAAACTGTGGACTTCTTGTCACTTTGAAAGCATACCAACTGAAATCAATACAGTAACAACCTCCATGGTTACTGAAAAATAGATACGGATATCTTCAATACAAGGGTGACATCGAAGAAAAAAAAACAAAGAACAACGAGAAGAGTTTTTCCGACTAATTGCGATCAAATGCGAGAGAATGTTGAATTACTGATTATCTACCTGTCGCTGATAAAATTAAGTTTGTCTTTATAACATTTGAAGAATTAGGGGGGTCGAACCCTAGAACACGAAACTTGGACCTTCAAGATCCAACTACAAGGGTTGGAAGAACAATATTGTCACAATTTTCAAGCAAACTTCACCCATATTGAACAAATAATCGGTTGCTAGGGACGTTTTCGTTCGTAAGATGGTAAACTATTGATTTTAGCTTTGCAAGCCTCAACAAAAAGCACTTTTTTTCAGTTTCGAATTTTTCTATTTTGCAATTTTTCGAGTTTCAGTTTTTAATTTTTCTTTTTTGATTTTCTTTATTTTTTCAATTATTCACTTTTTCAGTGTTTCGATTTTATATCTTTTTGTTTTTTCAATTTTAATTTTTTCAGTTTCTCGCTTGTTTAATTTTTCGATTTGCAGTTTTTCAATTTTTGTGTCTGTACTTGCTAAGATAAGATTGATTTTGGCAAATAGCATACCTTCTAAGAAAATAGAGGGGCGGGTGGGCGGGCCTAGTGCTTCCTAAGATAAAACTAATTTTGGCAAATGATATACTCTCAAAGAAAATAGTGGGTGGGTGGGCGGGGCTAGTACTTGCTGAGATAAGACTGAACAATATCAAGAGTGGTAACTAAAATGAAGAGGGGGTAAATCTTTAGGAAAAAAAGGTCAACTCAACTCCGCCCACCTCTTTTCTCTATTTTCCTAACTATTTTTTTTTGCTGTAAAATTGGAATTGAATTGTATTTAGACAAAGGGGAGAATCTAAGATCTGAAAACAAAGTAAAAAGTGTCCACACCCACCCACCTCTATTCCGTTTTGATCATTCATTCTTATTGACTCTAAAGAACAGAAGTTGAATTTTATGTTGATAAATAATATAATCTGGGAATACATTTTTTTTAATACAATTTAATTTTTTCTAAATTGTTTCAATTTTTAGATTCTGCAACTTTTCGATTACCAATTTTACGAGTTTTCAATTTTTTACTTTTTTATTTTTCATTTCTTTTACATATTTTTCGATTTGCAATTTTTCTGTTTTTCATTTTTTTGTTATAGTACTTGTTAAGATAAGACTAATTTTGGCAAATGACATACTCTCAAAGAAAATAGTGGGTGGGTGGGCGGGGCTAGTACTTGCTGAGCTAAGACTGAACAATATGAAGAGTAGTAACTGAAATGAAGAGGGGGTAAATGGGCGGAGCTACTCTTTGCTTATATTATTAGAATCTTTAGAAAAAAGGTCAACTCAACTCCGCCCACCTCTTTCCTCTATTTTCCTAACTATTTTCTTGTTGGAATTGAAATGTATTTAGACAAAGGGAAGAATCCTAGATCTGAAAACAAAGTAAAAAGTGGCCCCACCCACCCACCCCTTTCCGTTTTGATCATTCATTCTTATTGACTATAAAGAACAGAAGTTGAATTTTATGTTGATAAATAATATAATCTGGGAATACATTTTTTTTAATACAATTTAATTTTTTCTAAATTGTATCAATTTTTAGATTCTGCAACATTTCGATGAGCAATTTTACGAGTTTTCAGTTTTTTACTTTTTTATTTTTCATTTCTTCTACATATTTTTCGATTTGCAATTTTTCTGTTTTTCATTTTTTTTGTTAGTGCTTGCTAAGATAAGACTAATTTTGGCAAATGACATTCTTTCTAAAAAAATAGAGGGCGGGTGGGCGGGGCTAGAACTTGTTAAGATAAGACTGATTTTTGCAAATAACATACCTTATAAGAAAATGGAGGGCGTGTGGGCGGGGCTTGTACTTGCTGAGATAAAACTGAACAATATGAAGCTTAGTCAATGAAATGAAGAGGGGGTAAATGGGCGGGGCTACTGTTTGCTTATATTATTAGAATCTTTAGAAAAAAGGTCAACTCAACTCCGCCCACCTCTTTTCTCTATTTTCCTAACTATTTTCTTTTTGGAATTGAATTGTATTTAGACAAAGGGAAAAAATCTAAGATCTGAAAACAAAGTAAAAAGTGGCCCCACCCACCCACCCCTATTCCGTTTTGATCATTCATTCTTATTGACTCTAAAGAACAGAAGTTGAATTTTATGTTAATAAACAATATAATCTGGGAATACATTTTTTTTAATACAATTTAATTTTTAATAATTTGTTTCAATTTTTAGATTCTGCAACTTTTCGATTAGCAATTTTACGAGTTTTCAATTTTTTACTTTTTTATTTTTCATTTCTTCTACATATTTTTCGATTTACAATTTTTCTGTTTTTAATTTTTTTGTTAGAGTACTTGCTAAGATAAGACTAATTTTGGCAAATGACATTCTCTCTAAAAAAAAAGAGGGCGGGTGGGCGGGGCTTGTGCTTGCTAATATAAGACTGAACAATATGAAGCTTAGTCACTGAAATGAAGAGGGGGTAAATGGGCGGGGCTACTGTTTGCTTCTATTATTAGAATCTTTAGCAAAAAGGTCAACTCAACTCCGCCTACCTCCTTTCTCTATTTTCCTAACTATTTTTTTTTTGCTGTAAAATTGGAATTGAATTGTATTTAGACAAAGGGAAAAATCTTAGATCTGAAAACAAAGTAAAAAGTAGCCCCACCCACCCACCCCTATTCCGTTTTGCCATTCATTCTTATTGACTCTAAAGAACAAAAGTAGAATTTTATGTTGATAAATAATATAATCTGGGAATACATTTTTGTTTAATACAATTTAATTTTTACTAAATTGTTTCAATTTTTAGATTCTGCAACTTTTCGATTAGCAATTTTAAGAGTTTTCAATTTTTACTTTTTCATTTTTCATTTCTTCTACATATTTTTCGATTTGCAATTTTTCTGTTTTTCATTTTTTTGTTATAGTACTTGCTAAGATAAGACTAATTTTGGCAAATGACATTCTCTCTAAAAAAAAAAGAGGGCGGGTGGGCGGGGCTTGTACTTGCTGAGATAAGACTGAACAATATGAAGCTTAGTCACTGAAATGAAGAGGGGGTAAATGGGCGGGGCTACTGTTTGCTTATATTATCAGAATCTTTAGAAAAAGGTCAACTCAACTCCGCCCACCTCTTTCCTCTATTTTCCTAACTATTTTCTTTTTGGAATTGAATTGTATTTAGACAAAGGGAAGAATCTTAGATCCGAAAACAAAGTATAAAGTGGCCCCACCCACCCCTATTCCGTTTTGATCATTCATTTTTATTGACTCTAAAGAACAGAAGTTGAATTTTATGTTAATAAACAATATAATCTGGGAATACACTTTTTTTAATACAATTTAATTTCTACTAAATTGTTTCAATTTTTAGATTCTGCAACTTTTCGATTAGCAATTTTACGAGTTTTCAATTTTTTACTTTTTTATTTTTCATTTCTTCTACATATTTTTGATTTGCAATTTTTCTGTTTTTCATTTTTTTTTTTTGTTAGTACTTGCTAAGATAAGACTAATTTTGGCAAATGACATTCTTTCTAAAAAAATAGAGGGCGGGTGGGCGGGGCTAGAGCTTGTTAAGATAAGACTGATTTTGGCAAATAACATACCTTATAAGAAAATAGAAGGCGGGTGTACTTGCTGAGATAAAACTGAACAATATGAAGCTTAGTCACTCAAATGAAGAGGGGGTAAATGGGCGGGGCTACTGTTTGCTTATATTATAAGAATCTTTTTTATTAACTGAAGTTATTTACTGTAAAATGGAAATTGAATTCTATTTTGACAAATGGTAGAATCAAAAATTTAAAACAAAATATAAATGGCCCCGCCCATCTACGCCTATTCCACTTTGATCATTTGTTCATATTGGCTCAAAGGAAGAAATATGAATTTTATAGTGATAAATAATAGAATAATGATTATATTTTTTTAATACAATTTATATTTTTTACTAAATTGTTTCAATTTTTTGATTTTGCAATTTTTTGATCAGCAATTTCACGAGTGTTCAATTTTTAATTTTTTCAATTTTTCATTTTTTCCATTTTTCGATTACCAATTTTTCAGTTATTTTATTTTTCTTTTTTAGCAGTTATTTGCTAAAATAAAACTGATTTTAGCGAATGACATACCCTCTAAGAAAATAGAGGGCGGGTGGGCGGGCCTAGTACTTGCTAAGAAAAGACTAATTATGGCAAATAACATACTATCTAAGAATATATAGGGTGGGGCTACTACTTACTTTTAAGACCCTTTAGAAAGAAGCTAAATTCAGCCCCGCCCACCTCTTTTTTATTAACTGAACTTATTTACTATAAAATGGAAATTGAATTCTATTTTGACAAACAGTAGAATCAAAGATTTAAAACAAAATAAAAATGGCCCCGCCCATCTACGCCTATTCCACTTTGATCATTTGCTCTTATTGGCTCAAAGGAAGAAAGATGAAGTTTATAGTGATAAATAATAGAATCTAGTGATGATTACATTTTTTTAATACAAGTTATTTTTTTTTACTAAATTGTTTCAATTTTTCGATTTTGCAATTTTATGATCCGCAATTTCACGAGTGTTCAATTTTTAATTTTTTCAATTTTTCATTTCTTCCATTTATCGATTACCAATTTTTCAGTTATCTTATTTTTCTTTTTTAGCAGATATTTGCTAAAATAAAACTGATTTTAGCGAATGACATACCCACTAAGAAAATAGAGGGCGGGTGGGCGGGCCTAGTACTTTCTAAGAAAAGACTAATTTTGGCAAATAACATACTATCTAAGGATATATAGGGTGGGGCTATTGCTTACTTTTAAGACCCTTTAGAAAAAAGCTAAATTCAGCTCCGCCCACCTCTTTTTTTGAATTCTATTTTGACAAATGGTAGAATCAAAGATTTAAAACAAAATAAAAATGGCCCCGCCCATCTACGCCTATTCCACTTTGATCATTTGCTCTTATTGGCTCAAAGGAAGAAAGATTAATTTAATAGTGATAAATAATAGAATCTAGTGATGATTAGATTTTTTTAATACAATTTATTTTTTTTACCAAATTGTTTCAATTTTTCGATTTGCAATTTTTTAATCAGCAATTTCACGAGTGTTCAATTTTTATTTTTTTCGATTTTTCATTTCTTCCATTTTTCGATTACCAATTTTTCAGTTATTTTATTTTTCTTTTTTAGTAGATATTTTCTAAAATAGACTGATGAATGACATACCTTCTAAGAAAATAGAGGGCGGGTGGGTGGGTGGGGCTAGTACTTGCTCTGATAAAACTGAATAATATTAAGACTAATCACTGGAATAAAGAGGGGGCGAGGCTTATAAGACGCTAACTCAGCCCCGCCCATCTTTTTTTTCCATTTCACTGAATAATTTTATGTACTGTAAAATGGGACCCGAATTCTATTTTGATAAGTGGTTGAACCCTAACATTTAGGTTTGATCATTCGTTCTTATCGTTTTTGAAGGACGGAAATTGGATTTTTTTAACAATTAAATTTTTACTAAGTTGTTTCAATTTTTAAATTTTGTAATTTTTCGATCAGCGGTTTCACGAGTTTTCAAATTTTTATTTTTTTATTTTTTAGTTATTCCATTGTTCGATTTGCAGGTTTTCAGTTTTTCTTAGTACTTGCTAAGATAAGACTAATTTCGGTAAATAACATGAATAAATATTGATTAACGATTTACCACGATTACGATAACCTTAAAAATTTTGCAAGAATTCATGGTATTCGATTTTACAATTTCAAAGTTAAATTCCAAAATAGTGATATATAATTTTGATTTTTTTTGCCAAAAATGTGGCTGTCCAGAGTGAAAACTCAACACGCATTCAGACATCACAAAAAATAGTAAATAGTCCTAATATAGTTGGATATTTAGGTATCTCGATATTTAAAATCGTGTGATGTTGAGAGATTTTTCTCTAGGTATAAAAATGTCCTAACAAACAAAAAACATTTGTAAAATAAAAAAAATAATGTAGATGAATAAAGTATTATTTTCTATTTCAAAAGAAAAAAACATATCTTCATATTATATACACCGTCAAAATAAATCTAGGGTCAGTGACGGCCATGGAACTGTCAACTATCTCACTAGATAATTTATTAGGATTATTTCACACAGATTATTTGAAAGAGAATTTTTAGATAAACAGGTTAATATAGATTAGTTGTACATAATAGAACAAATTAATGTATGTTGTATATCATAAACATTTATTTAAATACAGTTTAATAGCGTTTATTTATTGAAAATCTCAATCTCTACGTGAAACAATCAATAGAAAACATTTACGTCCAACCTGCAATAAAAATCCCATCACCTATCGCATTGTTAAACTCTTTAATCTCTCATTCAGTCGCATTATCAGATCTGCATCTACGTCAATCCCTCTGACGTGATTCATCAAGTGTTTACCCAAATCTTACTCAAGATATAAATCAAAAATTCCATTTTCACACCCAAATTAATCTATCCTCTTCTCCATCTTCGCATGCAGAACGCGATCAAAGCGTGACAAAAAACGCGGAAATCCATTATAGGATGTTTCAAGAACACAGAATAAAACCTGATTGACAAATTGGTTCTGTGACTATGACAACAATGTACCTCTTTGTCCATTATTTGCATTAATTTGGCATACATCCTATCCGAATAATTAACTAGAACACAAACATCCATCAAGCCTATATAAAAAGAGACCTTAACACAGATTCATTTTCAAGTGAGTCGCTGCAAAATGTGCACCGAAATGAAAACCGTTGTGGTACTTGTCGTAGTTGTGTTTTATACCACCGAGGTAACTCAAGATTGAACCAAAAACCAAAACTAAAAATTGTTGTGCAGGCCCTGGACTGCGGGATCCACTTCACCAAAAACGAGGAACTCACAGGAATCTTCAACAAGTGTATTAACAGCAACAGGACACTGGAGGATCTCTGGGACATGGCGCCGATGTCGTCCGAATCCGACTCCTCCAGTTCCGAAGAAGAACCCACAGTTGGTGCGTACCCGTTTTTTTGTTTTCGAATTTCAAAAAACCGGTTTTTGTAGACGGGAAAATGTTGCAAAACTTCAGGACTAAACGAACTGTTATGAAGGCCAGTGCCGCTAATGAGACCGAAACTGAAGAAGAGACCAACCAATCAGAGAACGCCACGGAGAATTGCGTCATTCAGTGCATTTTCGAAAGTATGCAAATGACAGATAGCACTGGCTACCCCACCCACGCTAAAATCTTGGAGGGGTTGTTGAAAAATGCCACCAATAGGGAACTGAGGGATTTTTTGCAAGATACCACGGATGAGTGCTTCCAAGACATGGACAAAGAGGTCACCATGGATCCTTGCTCCTATTCGGTGAAGTTGGTCACGTGCTTGGCTGAGAAGGGTAAATCCAACTGTTCTGATTGGCCGGTGGGTGACTTGCCTTTTCACCAGTGACAAAATGTGTTATATATATGGTTAATTAGGGATGTTTTTGTAGGTAATAAATCGTGCATACCGTGGTTGGTCGTTCTTTGTACTCCCTGAGCGTAAGCTAGTTTTTATTAAATATCGATTTTCGGAACTACTGGACCGGTTGTTGTCAAAATTTTGTACTTATATTGGGAATATCATGTAAATGCTAAAACGCTAACCAAAATTGGGCTAATCGCCAGCACCACCAATGGGATAACGTTATCAAGAAAATTTACATTAATATGTATATATATATTTTTTATTTTATAAAATAAGTATTATTGCTTGATAGATAGCTGAAAAACATCCGGTTAAGTATCAGGAGAAATATCCAACTATTACGGCTATTTTTGAAATTAACCGGCTATTTAACAACAATAACTTATTCCTGTACTTGCGATATATGAATGCGTGTTGAGCTTTCACCCTAGACATCCAGATTTTTGGGAAAAAATTAAAATTCTATAAGAAAAGAGAGGGTGGGTGGGCGGGGCTAGTACTTGCTAAGGTAAGACTGACCAATAATAAGAGTATTCGTTGAAATGAAAAAAGGGTAGGTGGGCGGAGCTACCGTTTGCTTATAAGACTTTTTAGAAAAAAAGATGAACTCAATCGCACCCACCTCTTCCTCTATTTCTCTATTTTCTCTGTTTACTTTAAGATGGGAATTGAATTCTATTTTGACAAGGAGTAGAATCTAAGATATAAAACAAAGTAAAAAGTGGCCCCGCCCACCCACCCCACTTGCGTTTTGATCATTTATTCTTATTGGATATGAAGAATTGAAGTTGGATTTTTTATTAATTCATAATAGAATCTAGGATTTCAATTTTTAAATAAAATTTAATTTTTACTAAACTGTTTCAATTTTTAGATTTCGCAATTTTTCTATCAGCGATTTCACGACTATTCTTCTTTTAATTTTTCAATTTTTTATTTCTTCCATTCTTCAATTAGCAATTTTTTGAGTTTTAACTCCTTTCTTGTTGTAATATAGAACACCTATACGCGCCGGAATAGGAATGTCGAGTTCTAGCTACGAGGTTGATGTCGGTGTCGGTGTCGGTGTCGGGCAGCGCCTCCTGTTCCTTCCGTTTTGATCATTCACTCTTATTGGCTATGAAGAACGGAAGTTGGATTTTATCTTGACAAATAATAAAAAAAAAATTTAATACAATTTAATGTTTACGAAATTGGTTCAATTTTTAGATTTTGCAATTTTTTGATCAGCGATTTCACGAGTGTTCAACTTTTCATTTCTTCCATTTTTCGCTTAACAATTTTTCATTTTTTTGTTAGTCCTTGCTAAAATAAGACTGATTTTAGCGAATGACATACCTTCTAGATAATAGAGGGCGGGTGGGCGGGGCTAGTACTTGCTGAGATAAAACTGAACAATATTAAAAGTATTCACTGAAATGAAGAAGGGGTAGGTGGGCTAGGCTATTGTGTGCTTATAAGACTCTTTAGAAAATAACTTAGCCCTGCCCACCTCTTTTCTCTATTTCACTGATTATTTTCTCTATTTACTGTAAAATGGGAATTAAATTTCTACTTTGACAAAGGATAGAATCTAAGATTTATTATTATTAAAACAATATAAAAAGTGGCCCCGCCCACAAATTTGGGAATCAACTGAATAAATGCATATCTACTATGTTGCTATTTTTTTTGAAAAATTTACAACCAATAATTTTTGTAAAAATCTGGATTTATTGTACCTTGTGTACTTCATAGGCGAGGGAAATTTTGGCCAAATAGCCTTGGACCAATCTTTTGATATAACAGTTTTTCATTTTCTTTCATTTTTCAATTTTTCTGTTTTATAATTTTCGTTTTTCCAACTTTAATTTTTCAATTACTCGACTTCCAAATTTTTCAGTCTTTTGTAAAAAATTAGCAAATTTTCGATGTAATAATTTTTAATTTTCTGATTTTTCAAGTTCTTGATTTTTACTTTTCATTTCCACGATTTTTTAATATTCATTTTCTCAATTTTATATTAGAATTTTTGCTTTTTCATTTCCTTTATTTTTTTTATTTTTTCAAAATTTCTGTCGCACTGCAATTTTTGATTTAGATTTGTCCGACTTCTTTAATTTTCAATATTGCGATTTTACCATACATATTCCTTTTTCCGATTTTGGACTTTTTCGATGTTTAAGTTCTTCGTTTCTTCGATTTTTCAAGTTTTTGGATTTTTCAAAGTTTTCATTTTATGCTTTGTCGTTGTTTTATTTTGGTTTTTCAATTTCACAGTTTTGCAATTTTGCATTTTTTTATTAGAAAAGTTGAAAAATTGAAAAATGAAAAATCGAAAAACTAAATAATCAGGAAAAATCGAAAAATTGGAAAACGGGTAAATCGAAGAACTGAAGAAACGGAAAACTAAAACATTGAGAAACTAAAAATCGAGAAACGTATTCATTTTATTTACTGTAAAATTACAGAATGTAGGATTATTTTTTTATATCAAATTTAATTTTTACTAAGTTGTATCAATTTTTAGATTTTGCAGTTTTTCAGCTTTTTTTTGTTAGTCCTTGCTAAAATAAGACTGATTTTAACGAATGACATACCTTCTGAGAAAATAAAGAGCGGGTGGGGCGGCTAGTAGTTGTTAAGATAAAAATCTAAGATTTAGAGCAAAGTGACTAAAAAGTGCCACGCCCACCCACCTATATTACGTTTTAATCATTAATTCTTATGAGCTCGAAAGAACGGAAGTTGAATTTTATACTGATAAATAACAGAATCTAGGATTGCATTCCTTTTAACACGATTTAATTTTTACTAAATTGTTTCAATTTTTAGAGTTTGCAATTTTTCGATCAGCGATTTCATCAGTATTCAATTTTTAATTTTTCAATTTCTCATATCTTCCATTTTTCGATTAGCAATTTTTCGGTTTTTTCTTTTACTAGTCCTTGCCAAAATAAAACTAATGTTAGCGAATGACATACATTCTAAGAAAATAGCGGGCGGGTGGGCGGGGCTAGTACTTTCTAAGATAGCACTGAACAATATTAAGAGTTTTCAGTGAAATGAATAAGAGGTAGGTGGGCGGGGCTACTGCTTGCTTATAAGACTCTTTAGAAAAAAACTTAACTCAGCTCCGCCCACCTCTTTTCTCTATTTCACTGACTCATTTTGTTTACTGTAAAATGGGAATTGAATTCTATTTTGACAAGTGGTAGAATCTAAGATATAAAACAAAGTAAAAAGTGGCCCCGCCCACCCACCCCACTTTCGTTTTGATCATTTGTTCTTATTGGCTATGAAGCACGGAAGTTGGAGTTTATATTGATAAATAACAGAATCTAGGATTACATAATTTTAATAAAATTTAATTTTTAATAAATTGTTTCAATTTTTAGATTACGTAATTTTTTAGATTTTTTATTGTTATTCCTTGCTAAAATAAGAATTACATACTTTCTAAGAAAACAAAGAGGGTGTGGACGGGCTTAGTAGTTGTTAAGATAAAAGTCTTAAAAAAGTAACTAAAAAGTGCCCCGCCCACCCACCCATATTCCGTTTTGATCATTAATTTTTATGGGCTCTGAAGAACGAAAGTTGGATTTTATACAGATAAATAACAAATAGAATCTAGGATTATTATTTTTTTCTAATACGATTTAATTTTTACTAAATTCTTTCAATTTTTAGAGTTTGCAATTGTTCGATCAGCGATTTCACCAGTATTTAATGTTTAATTGGTCAAGTTTTCATTTCTTCCATTTTTCGATTAACAATTTTTTAGTTTTTTTTTTGTTAATCCTTGCTAAAATAAAACTGATTTTAGCGAATGACATACCTTCTAAGAAAATAGAGGGCGGGTGGGCGGGCGTAGTTGTTGTTAAGACAAAACTAATTTTGGCAAATGATATACTCAGTAAGAAAATAAAGGGCGGGTGGGAGGCCCTAGTAGTTGTTAAGATAAAAATCTTAGATTTAAAACAAAGTAACTAAAAAGTGCCCCGCCCACCCACCCATATTTAGTTTTCATCATAAATTTTTATGAAGTCTGAACAACGGAAGTTGGATTTTATACTGATAAATAATAAATAGAATCTAGGATTATTATTTTTTTTAATACGATTTAATTTTTACTAAATTCTTTCAATTTTTAGAGTCTGCAATTATTCGATCAGCTATTTCACGAGTATTTGATGTTTAATTGGTCAAGTTTTCATTTCTTCCATTTTTGGATTAACAATTTTTTGGTTTTTTTTTTTTGTTAATCCTTGCTAAAATAAAACTGATTTTAGCGAATGACATACCTTCCAAGAAAATAGAGGGCGGGTGGGCGGGCCTAGTTGTTGTTAAGACAAAACTAATTTTGGCAAATGATATACTCTGTAAGAAAATAAAGGGCGGGTGGGAGACCCTAGTAGTTGTTAAGATAAAAATCGAAGATTTAAAACAAAGTAACTAAAAAGTGCCCCGCCCACCCACACATATTTCGTTTTCTTCATAAATTTTTATGAGGTCTGAACAACGGAAGTTGGATTTTATAGTGATAAATAATAAATAGAATCTAGGATTATTATTTTTTTTAATACGATTTAATTTTTACTAAATTCTTTCAATTTTTAGAGTCTGCAATTATTCGATCAGCTATTTCACGAGTATTTGATGTTTAACTGGTCAAGTTTTCATTTCTTCCATTTTTCGATTAACAATTTTTTAGTTTTTTTTTTTTTGTTAATCCTTGCTAAAATAAAACTGATTTTAGCGAATGACATACCTTCCAAGAAAATAGAGGGCGGGTGGGCGGGCCTAGTTGTTGTTAAGACAAAACTAATTTTGGCAAATGATATACTCTGTAAGAAAATAAAGGGCGGGTGGGAGACCCTAGTAGTTGTTAAGATAAAAATCTTAGATTTAAAACAAAGTAACTAAAAAGTGCCCCGCCCACCCACACATATTTCGTTTTCAACATAAATTTTTATGAGGTCTGAACAACGGAAGTTGGATTTTATAGTGATAAATATTAAATAGAATCTAGGATTATTATTTTTTTTAATACGATTTAATTTTTACTAAATTCTTTCAATTTTTAGAGTTTGCAATTTTTCGATCAGCGATTTCACCAGTATTTAATGTTTAATTGGTCAAGTTTTAATTTCTTCCATTTTTCGATTAACAATTTTTTAGCTTTTTTTTGTTAATCCTTGCTAAAATAAAACTGATTTTAGCGAATGACATACCTTCTAAGAAAATAGGGGTGGGTGGGCGGGCCAAGTTGTTGTTAAGACAAAACTAATTTTGGCAAATGATATACTCTGTAAGAAAATAAAGGGCGGGTGGGAGGCCCTAGTAGTTGTTAATATAAAAATCTTAGATTTAAAACAAAGTAACTAAAAAGTGCCCCGCCCACCCACCCATATTTCGTTTTCATTATAAATTTTTATGAGGTCTGAACAACGGAAGTTGGATTTTATAGTGATAAATAATAAATAGAATCTAGAATTATTATTTTTTTAATACGATTTAATTTTTACTAAATTCTTTCAATTTTTAGATTTTGCAATTGTTCGATCAATGATTTCACGAGTATTTAATGTTTAATTGGTCAAGATTTAATTTCTTCCATTTTTCGATTAACAATTTTTTAGTTTTTTTTTTTGTTAATCCTTGCTAAAATAAAACTGATTTTAGCGAATGTCATACCTTCTAAGAAAATAGAGGGCGGGTGGGCGGGCCTAGTTGTTGTTAAGACAAAACTAATTTTGGCAAATGATATACTCTGTAAGAAAATAAAGGGCGGGTGGGAGGCCCTAGTAGTTGTTAAGTTAAAAATCTCAGATTTTTAACAAATTACCTAAAAAGTGCCCCGCCCACCCACCCATATTTCGTTTTGATCATTAATTTTTATGGGCTCTGAGAAACGGAAGTTGGATTTTATACTGATAAATAATAAATAGAATCTAGGATTATTATTTTTTTTTAATACGATTTAATTTTTACTAAATTCTTTCAATTTTTCGAGTTTGCAATTGTTCGATCAGCGATTTCACCAGTATTTAATGTTTAATTGGTCAAGTTTTGATTTCTTCCATTTTTCGATTAACAATTTTTTAGTTTTTTTTTTGTTAATCCTTGCTAAAATAAAACTGAATTTAGCGATTGACATACCTTCTAAAAAAATAGAGGGTGGGTGGGCGGGCCTAGTTGTTGTTAAGACAATACGAATTTTGGCAAATGATATACTTTCAAAGAAAATAAAGGGCGGGTGGGAGGCCCTCATTGTTGTTAAGATAAAAATCTAAGAATTAAAACAAAGTACGTAACTAAAACGTGCGCCGCCCACCCACCCATATTCCTCTTTGATCATTAATTCTTATAGGCTCTGAAGAACAGAAGTTGGATTTTATATTTTTTTAATACAATTTAATTTTTCGATCAGCAGTTTCACGAATTTTAAATTTTTAAATTTTCAATTTTTGATTTCTTCCATTTTTCGATTTTCTGTGTCTTTATTTGTTTTAAAATAGAAACTAATTCTTTATTCATCTACAATGTTTTTTATGTTAATTAAAGGATTAAATCCGCTTCAATCCATGAATCCCATCTTGTCAGAACAGGTTCTGGAGGCAATAGACAATCCGGTAAGGCTTGGATCCTCAAAGCTTTAAGAAATACTTTCTTTACGTTGGAAATGAAACCATTGACATACAAAATAAGCAGAAAAAATAAAATAAATTGCCCATAGAGTGAAATAAATTAAATGAGGCGATAACCCACAATACACACAAGACGGATTAAAAATACACGTAACGTGTATAGTGGGTTGCATCAACCTAACTCAAATAAATTTATAAAACTCATCTTCATTAATCTTCATCAAGCAATTTTATTTCTTAACATACAATTGTCTAAACAATTAAATTAGAAAAAATAAATACAACAAACTCTTATTTTCTAATCAGTCTATGGTTTCAATTTATTCGAAGCCACCCACCTCTGCACTGCCGACAACGCAGGCAGAGGCAAATTCAACGTATCCTTCAGATACAAATAACACTCCTTATTCCCCACATGCCTCAACGTGAAAGCCATCGCCATATCGTCATAACTCCACACAACTTTCTTCTTCCCTAACAACATATTTATCTGAGCCTGTGAAAACACCCTACACAACAAATTATTCCCAGGCTTCCAATTTTTGCTCTTAACTTTGGCGATCATCATCTTCACCCTATTAATCTCCTTCTCCACATTATCAATCTTCCTTTTATACAGACCCATCTTCTCCTTGATTGGTTCATACTCTTTAACCAAGTCCTGCAGCTGGTCTTTCAGTTTCTCATTCACATCCACTGCTTCCTTGACTTTGTTAAAATCTAGATCTTCTGCTACCTTGATTTTGGGCGCTTTGGGGTTTATGACTACCTTAACTTCAGGCATTCCCAACATCCAGCCTAGATTTTCTGTGGGAATGGCTGAAGATGTTAAGGTTTTTTGGTCCGCGTCTGCATAGTCCGTGGGTTTGAAATGGTCAGAACACACACTGGACTTCGACACGTCGTGATAGGCGGAAATGCCGCACTTTTCCTTCCATTTTTTGGAAATATCCCGGTTGGTTGGAAATGGGAAAAATTGGTAGTCAGGTGGCGATTCCAGATGGTAGAAATTGCGGCACGAAATCACCGTACATTTTGTGATTCCGACCCTGAAAAAAACGTGTATTATTTGGTATTTGGGTTTTGATTATAAGTACAACTCTGGAGTGTCTTGGCTCATTTTTGGGGCTCTTCACACAGATATAAGTTAACCAGATTCGGTACGAGGCTGCATGTTTCACAAAACTGTGGTTTAATCCCGCGTTTTATCAAAGTATTGCAACAATTACGTCGATTTTGATTTTTTATGCAAAAAGTGAGGTTAAGTGCGGTTGTATGATCACGATCATAGAATACATAGGTCGATGATGTTGCATTCATGAGTGTATTTGAAGTTTTCTAACCACCAAAAACCGGATATTAAACACAATGTGAATGTGTGAACAAATAATTTCCACTGCACAAAATTTAATTTAGACCCTTCTGTCCTTAATATTAAGGGTAACATTTTAAAATTTTGTTAAACAATTATATTTTAATTTTAAATTACCCATTTTTGTTTAGTTAGTTAGTTAGGCAACCAACAATACAAGTGAGAATTATCACTGGAAGAAATTAATAATAATTATTATTAATTAATAGGTGCATTTTTTGAGTGCCAGCCTAGCTAATCTAGTTCATTAAGTATTAACATTCTTCAGTTACTAATCACATATACAGAGTGATCAACAATTACTGTTTCAGTTGGTATCAACAAATTTTTTTGAAAATTGGCAGAACTGTCACCCACACTTTCTTCTTATTAGCTCCATAAAAAATAATAAATAAGACACCTTTCATACAACTAAATAATCAGGCTTCAAGTTGGATTTCATTGGGGTGACCTCTGGAGACAAATAGCAACAGTAATAAAGTTCCATGTGTCCCAAACAGACGCAAGACGTCTACTTCTTGCAGAACTAAATGACTAAACGCCGAGAGCGCTGCAGAGATCGCCAGCGACCAGGAGCGCAGAAGAATGCAAGAGATACAGACAACCAAAAATTATTATCATTGTGGCTTATGAATCCGCCTTGATTTTTTTATTTGGACTGAAACCAAGCCAACTGAAAATCAATATAGTGACAACTCCATGGTTACGGAAAAATAAGAAAGTGAGCTCTTAACTATCCACTTTTTAACAAACCTTCGTGCAAAATGGGTGGTAAAAAGAAATCTCTGGCCAACCGTCTGGCCAAAATGAGCGATGAAGAAAGGGCCAGATATCTTCAACACAAGGCTGACATTGAAGAAGAGGCGAAACGTCGCAAAGAACAACTGATTGCGATCTTCCTGAAGGTGATTCCAAAACCAGGAAGAAACGTAAGCTAACTCTATGTTTTAGAACAAAATCAAACGAGAAGATGGCTTTTCGAGGCTCAATTTGGCCAAAATCAACCAACAGTGGCACCAGGTTTTGCGGCTGAACAAATGCAAAGAAATGCGGGAGGATGTTGAGGTATTGGGTGTTGTTGCCTGTGGCTTATAAAATTGAGTTTGCCTTTGTAGCATATGAAGAAATATATGGGGAGAGCTCTAGACTACAAAAATCGGACTATCAAGAAACTGCTACAAGAGTTGGAAATGGCGGAGGAGCAATATTGTCACAATTTTCAGGCACATTTTACCCATATTGACCAAATAATCGGTTGCTAGGGTTTTTTCGTTGTAAGGTGGTAGTAAAGTATTGATTTTAGCTTCTCATTCGAAATATATGGATTTGATGGAAGAGCAGTATCAGATAGACTTGGAGAATCTTCTGGAAACTAGTGCCAAAGAACATGATGAGCTTGTGGAAAAGAGCACGTGTCAGCATGAGCACCTCAAAACTGTTATTTTTGGACAACAGTCGCAAGCTAGGAGGAGTGCGAGTGTCAATAAAGAGAGATTTTTGAAGAAAAAGGAAGATCTTACAAGCACGGTATCTATGCACGATTTATTAACTACTAGACTACTATAAGTAATTTTGTAACTAGAGACTTTATCATTGGTGGAAAGGTAAGTCATACATTGGCCAATCAGACAGTTTGATTTACTCTTCTTAGTCAGACATGCGTGGTGTCTTGCAAAAAATGGCTAGAAGGTTATTGCGACAGAACTTCCCTCACGCTTAAACTAAACTATATCAAAAAATCGAAAGTTCCAAAATTAAAATAGAATCGAAAAATCGATAACTCGAGAAACCAAAGAGTCAAAAAGTATAAAATTGGAAAGTCCAAAAACTGAAGAAGGTAAAATTTTAAAAATCGAATATTCGAGAAATCGAAAATCGAAAAATAAAAAATCCAAATTCGAAAAACCAAAGAATCAAATATTCCAAAACTGAAATTTCGATAAATCGAAAAATCCATCGAAATATAGAAAATTCGAATATCGAAAATTGAAAATTTGAAAAATCGAAAAACTGGAAAGGCAAAAAATGGAAAATCCGAGACATTGGAATATTAAAAAACTCCAGATCTCGAAAATTCGAAAAGTAGAATAATTGGGAAATCGAAAAACTGAAGAGTGGAAAATCTGAAAAATCGAGAAATCGAAAAGGAAACAAATTTGACAATTCGAATATTAAAAAATGGAAAATTCGGTGAAACAAATAATCGGAAAAACGAAAATCCGAGACATCGGAAAATCCAAAATTCGAAAATCTAAAAAGCAAAAGTCGAGAATAGAAATATAGAAAAAACAAAATATCGAAAGTCGTAAGACCGAAGATTTCAAAATCAAAAAATTGAAATTAAAAAAATGGGAAAACTAAGAAATCGAAACATCTAAATGTTGAAAAACTGAAAAATCGAATAAACGAAACATCAAAAGATGCAGAAATCGAAAAGTCGAGAATTCAAGAAATCTAAAATTAAAATATCGAAAAACTGAAAAAATCTAGAAATGGCAAAATTCCAGTGTTAAAAAGTTGAAAAATCAAAAAATTTAAAAACTTTTAAACATTGAAAAACCAGACGTCGAGAAATGGAAAAACCGAAAAATCCAAAATTTGAGATATTAAAAAATTAAAAAATCATAAAATCGAAAAATTCAAACATCGAAGGTAAGATTTAAGAAAACAAAATTTTGCAAAATCTATAAACTGAAAAATCAACAAAACGAGAAATCGAAAAATCTAAAATTAGTAGAATCGAAACATTGAAAAATCGAGAAAAATTGTCTATAAGTCCAAAAATCGAAAAACGAGAAATCGAATAATCGAAACATCGAGCAATTGGGAAATTGAAACAGTGAGAAATCGAAACTTCAAATGAGCGAAAAGTCCAGAAATCGAAATGGCCCAAAACTTTAAAAAATTAAAACTTAGAAAACTGAAAAATTTTAATTTAAAAAAAAATCGAAATTTCAAAAAACGAGCAATTGAAAAATCGAAAAATGTAACATTTAAAAAAACGAAACTTTGAAAAATCGGAAAATTGAAATATCGAAACATCAAAAACTTGGAAAATTGAAAAATCGTAATACCGAGAAATCGAAAAATGAAACATCGAGCAATAGGAAAATTGAAACATTCAGAAATTGAAGTATTAAAAGATTGAGAAATCGAAAAATTTAAATACTGAAAAATTGAAAAATCGAAAAATGTAACATTTAAAAAATGAGAAATTCAAAAATCGAAGAAATGAAAAATCAAAGAACGGGAAATCGTGAAGTCGAAAAATCGAAGAAAAATTGAAGAATCGAAAAACAGAAAAATCCCAAATCTGACACATCGAAAAATCTAAATGTCGAAAAGAAGGCGAAAACTCGAGAAATGGAAAAGTCAAAAAATCAAAAAATCGAAGAATCGATTAATCAAAAACCTGAAAACTTAAAAACGCCCAAAAAATTGAAGAATCGAAATATTGAAAAATCGTAAAACTGAAATATCGGAAAATAGAAAAATCGAGAAATCAAACAATCGGAAAACCCAAAATCCGAAAATCTAAAAATCAAAAGTCGAGAAACCAAAAAATCTAAAATTGAAAAATCTAGAATTCGAAAAATCCGACAATAGAAATATAGAAAAACGAAATATCGAAAGTCGTAAGACCGAAGATTCCAAAATCAAAAAATTGAAATTAAAAAAATGGAAAAACTAACAAATCGAAACATCTAAATGTTGAAAAACTGAAAAATCGAATAAACGAAACATCAAAAGATGCAGAAATCGAAAAGTCGAGAATTCAAGAAATCTAAAATTAAAATATTGAAAAACTGAAAAATCTAGAAATGGGAAAATTCCCAAGTTTGAAGTGTTGAAAAGTTGAAAAATCAAAAAAATTAAAAACTTTTAAACATTGAAAAACCAGACGTCGAGAAATGGAAAAACCGAAAAATCCAAAATTTGAGATATTAAAAAATTAAAAAATCATAAAATCGAAAAATTCAAACATCGAAGGTAAGATTTAAGAAAACAAAATTTTGCAAAATCTATAAACTGAAAAATGAACAAAACGAGAAATCGAAAAATCTAAAATTAGTAAGGAATCGAAAAATTGAAAATCGAATAATTGAAGAATCGAAACATTGAAAAATCTAGAAAAATCGTCTATAAGTCCAAAAATCGAAAAACGAGAAATCGAATAATTGAAACATCGAGCAATTGGGAAATTGAAACAGTGAGGAATCAAAACTTCAAAAGAGCGAAAAGTCGAGAAATCCAAATGGCCCAAAACTTTGAAAAATTAAAATTTAGAAAACTGAAAAATTTTAATTAAAAAAAATCGAAAAATTGGTAAAACTGAAAAATCGAAAAATTGGAAAATCAAAAAATATACAATTCAAAAAACGAGCAATTGAAAAATCGAAGAATATAAGATTTAAGAAAACGAAATTTTGAAAAATCGAAAAATTCAAAAACCGAAACATTGAAAAATCGAACAATGTAACATTTAAAAAATGAGAAATTCAAAAATCGAAAAAATGAAAAATCAATTAACGGGAAATCGAGAAGTCGAAATATCGAAGAAAAATTGAAGAATTGAAAAACAGAAAAATTCCAAATCTGAAGCATCGAAAAACTGAGAAAAATTGAAAAATCGAAAAGTGGAAGGACTGAAAATCTGAAAATCGAGAAATCAAGAAATGGGAAAAACAAATGTCGAACAATCGAAAAATCTAAATGTCGAAAAGAAGGCGAAAACTCGAAAAATTGAAAAGTCAAAAAATCGAAAAATCGAAGAATCGATTAATCAAAAATCCTAAAATGTAAAAACGCCAAAAAAATTGAAGAATCGAAAAATTGAAAAATCGTAAAACTGAAATACCGGAAAATAGAAAAATCGAGAAATCGAACATTCGGAAAATCTAAAATTTAAGAAATCGAATAAACAAAAAAATCCCAAAACGAAAACATCGAAAAACTGAGATATCGAAAAATTGATTAATTGAGAATTCGAAAAGTCGAAAAATTTAGAAAAATTTAAAATCAGAAATCTGAATAATCGAAAAGTTGAAGGATTGAAAATTTGAAAATCGAAACAGAGAATTGAGAAATGGGAAAATCAAAATGTCGAACAATCGAAAAATCTTTCAAAAGTCGAAAAGTCGAGAAGTAGAAAAATTGAATTATGAATTGAAAAATCGAAAACTTAAAAATCCAAAAATTGAAAAATAGTAAAACTGAAATATCGAAAAATTCATAAATCGAGAAATGGAAAAGTCGAAAAATCTTGACAAGTTTAAAATCAGAAATCGAAAAATCGGGAAATTGAGAAATGAGGGAATCAAAATAAACAATTGAAAAATCAAAAAGTAGAAGAATAAAAAATCGAAGAATCGATAAATAAAAAAATCGAATATTTTGAATCGCCAAAAATTGAGTTATTTAAAAAATCGAAAAACTTAAACATCCAAAAACTGAAGAATCGAAAAATTGAAAAATCGTAAAACTGAAATATTGAAAAATCAAAAAACTTAAATATCAAAAAACTGGAAAATCGAAAAATTGATAAATCGAAAAATGAAATATCAAAGAACGGGAAATCGAGAAATCGAAAAATCGAAGAAAAATTGAAACAGAGAAATCCCAAACCTGAAACATCGAAAAACTGAGAAAAATTGAAAAATCGAAAAGTTGAAGGACTAAAAATCAGTAAATCGAGAAATCGAGAAATGGGAAAAACAAAATTACGAACAATCGAAAAATCTAAAACTCGAAAAGAAGGCGAAAACTCGAGAAATGGAAAAGTCAAAAAATCAAAAAATCGAAGAATCGATTAATCAAAAATTCGATAATTTAAAAACCCCCAAAATTGAAATATTGAAAAAATCGGAAAACTTAAAAATGGAAAAATTGAAGAATCGAAAAATTGAAAAATCGTAAGACTGAAATATCGGAAAATATAAAAATCGAGAAATCGAAGAATCGAAAAATCTAAAATTTAAGAAATCGAAGAAAAATTAAAGAATCGAAAAACAGAAAAATCCCAAAACGGAAACATCGAAAAATTGATAAATCGAGAAATCGAAAAGTCGAAAAATTTAGAAAAATTTAAAACCAGAAATCTGAATAATCGAAAAGTTGTAGGATTGGAGGAGAAATGGGAATATCAAAATGTCTTACAATCGAAAAATCTAAAAGTCTAAAAGTCGAGAAGTCGAAAAATCGAGAAAAGGGAAAGTCGAAAAATTATTAAAAAATCGAAAATTTAGAAACGCTAAAAATTGAAATATTAAAAACCGGGAAAATTTAAAAATCCAAAAATTGAAAAATCGAAGAAGAGAAAAATCCCAAGACTGTTCGAAAAACTGAGATCGAAAAACTGAAAAATTCTAGAAATCGAAAAATAGAGAAATGGAAAATTCGGAAAATCAAAAAAATGAAGAAAACTTAAAATAGCAAAAATTGAAAAATAGTAAAACTGATATATCGAAAAATTCATAAATCGAGAAATGGAAAAGTCGAAATATATCGAAAAGTTTAAAATCAGAAATCGAAAAATCGAGAAGTTGAAGGATTGAAAATCTGAAAATCAAAAAATCGGGAAATTGAGAAATGAGGGAATCAAAATAAACAATTGAAAAACCAAAAATCGAAGAATCCATAAATCAAAAAATCGAATATTTTGAAATGCCAAAAATTGAGTTATTTAAAAAATCGAAAAACTTAAACATCCAAAAACTGAAGAATTGAAAAATTGAAAAATCGTAAAACTGAAATATTGAAAAATCAAAAAACTTAAATATCAAAAAACTGGAAAATCGAAAAATTGATAAATCGTAAAATCGAAAAATCGAAAAATTTAGAAATGTTTAAAATCAGAAATCTGAATAATCGAAAAAGTTGAAGGATTTAAAATCGAAACCATAGAGAATCGAGAAATGGGAAAATCGAAATGTCGAACAATCGAAAAATCTTTCAAAAGTCGAAAAGTCTGGAAGTCGAAAAATCGAGAAAAGGAAAAGTCGAGAAATTATTAAAAAATCGAAAATTTAGAAACGCTAAAAATTGAAAAACTTAAAAATTCAAAATTTGAAAACCAGTAAAAAAAAATGAAATATCGAAATATAGAAAAATCGAGAAATCGCGAAATCGAAAAATCGAAAAATCTAAAATTTAAGCAATCAAAAAATTTAAATATCAAAAAACTGAAGAATCGAAAAATTGAAAAATCGAAGACAAATTGAAGAATCGGGAAACATAAAAATCCCAAAACGAAAAGTTTAAAATCAGAAATCTGAAAAATCGAAAAGGTGAAGGATTGAAAAACTGAAAATCGAAACATAGAGAAATCGCGAATGAGAAAGTCAAAATGTCGAACAACCGAGAAATCTAAAAGTCAAAAAGTCGAGAAATCGAAAAATCGAAAAGAAGAAAAGTCGAAAAATTCAAAAATTGAAAATTTAGGAATGATAAAAATTTAAATATTGAAAAAATCGAAAAATTTAAAAATCGAATAACTGAAAAATCCAAAAACTGTTCGAGAAACTGAGATATCGAAAAATTGAAAAAAAACGAAGAATCGATTAAGCAAAAAATCGAAAATTGAATTATGTACTGAAAAATCGAAAACTTAAAAATCCAAAAATTGAAAAATAGTAAAACTCAAATATCGAAAAATTCATAAATCGAGAAATGCAAAAGTCGAAAAATCTCGAAAAGTTTAAAATCAGAAATCGAAAAGTCGAGAAGTCGAAAAATCGAGAAAAGGAAAAGTTGAGAAATTATTAAAAAATCGAAAATTTAGAAACGCTAAAAATTGACAAACTTAAAAATTCAAAAATTGAAAAACAGTAAAAAAACTGGAATATCAAAATATACAAAAATCGAGAAATCGAAGAATCGAAAAATCTAAAATTTAAGCAATCAAAATATTTAAATATCAAAAAACTTTAAAAAGTTTAAAACCAGAAATCTGAAAAATCGAAAAACTGAAAATGTGAAAATCAAAACATAGAGAAATCGCGAAATGAGAAAGTCAAAATGTCGAACAATCGAGAAACCTAAAAGTCAAAAAGTGACGAAATCGAAAAATCGAGAAGAAGAAAAGTCGAAAAATTCAAAAAGCGAAAATTTAGAAACGCTAAAAATTTAAACATTGAAAAAATCGAAAAATTCCAAAACTGTTCGAGAAACTGAGACATCAAAAAATTGAAAAATCGAGAAATCGAAATGTAGAAAAATCTCGAAAGATCGAAAAAGCAGAAACCTGAAAAATCGAAAAATAGCAGGAGTGACAATCGAAAAATCGAGAAATGGGAAAATAGCAAAAATCTAAATGTCAAAAAGTCGAGAAGTTGAAAAACCTAGAAGTCAAAAGTGAAATATTGAAAAATCGTAAAATTCAGATATCGAAAAATTGTATAATTTTGATCTTTTTTCAAAAATTTTAATTTTTAAGGTTTAAGTAACATTATTCATGTGCTTTACCACCTTGACTTTACGTTTGCAAGATTTCAAACCAATTCCTTTTGCAGTTTCAAAGTTAAATTGGAAAATGTTGTGATACGATTTTGATTTTTTTTTCAAAAATCTGGATATACATGTAAGATAAAAACTCAACACGGATTCATAAACCACAAGTGCAGAACTATCTTACCTTATAAAATTTAGACAACTTATACCAATATTAATTTTGGAGATGACGTCATCCCATTACTGTGGAGACGAATAGCTACATTTTAGTTAGTTTTTGTTTAATTACACAATCCGTTCTGTCAAATTCTAAATATGTAATAATAAAATTAGAAAAAAAATTATTGTAGACTGAAAACGGAAGCAGCGGGCATTAGGCAACCAGTTATACACACTCGTTAACAAATCCCATCTATTTTTAAAAGCAATCAGTCTTTTTTATTTGGTACCTGACAATAAAGTAACAACCTAAATGAGTAAAAATTGCCATAATTTTAGTTTACATTTAATTTACACTCATTTTAGATCATAAAAAGAGTAAACAACTATTATTCTTAGCGCCACGGACAAACTACCAAACTTTATTCCAATATTAGTAAATGTAAACAGTAATAAACGGTGCCCCCTTTCATTACTTCCGCTCTGAACAAACATCGGAAGTGCGGCAATTTAATCCCAATGAGAGATAAACACATAATGCACAATTTTCTTCTTGTTACCTCCATAATAAACCACAAACAAAATCACAGTAAAATTTTTGTTCATTCTTCCACGTATCATAAATCCCATTATTTAGTATTTTCATCTGAAAGCACCTTTTCATACAAGAAAATAATCAGCCCTTTTCCAGTTCCGGCTTCAGTTGGACTCCTATATCAAACAACGCGAGAGCCGCTGCGGCGCCCTCTGGAGACAAATAGCAACAGTAATAAAGTCCCACGTGTCCCAAACAGACGCAAGACGTCTACATCTTGCAGAACTAAAACGACTAGACGCCGAGAGCGCTGCAGAGATCGCCAGCAACCAGGAGCGCATAACAGCGCAGGAGGTAAAGACAGTGCAAAAATTATTACTTCCTCACCGGCTTACAATTTTCTCACGTTTATGAGTCTGAATATTTCTCATTTCTCGGTACAACAACATAACAACAAAGAAAAAAAACGTGTGCAACGCCGACCGTAAAATGCCATTTTTTACACATTTATGTCTTTCACGACCGTGACTTGTAAATCCTAAACAGTCAGTTTAACTTCAGGAAGAAATTAAATCCCTCAACCACCACTTCCACTCCCTCGTCGCCAAGCGCACCGAAGCCCTCCACCACCTCCAGGAGAAAATCAAAGAAGAAACGTCCAAGTTCACCTCAATCCGTCAACAATTTCGCAAGGAGTCCGAAAAGGACGAAAAACGCATCATTCTGCTCACCCACAAGTCGACCCAAGCCATCGACTTTTTGCAAAAGCTCGCAACTAGAGGCGAGCAGATCCGAAACCTGATGATGACTTGCCGCAAGTTCGAAACGGAGCGCGAGCAAGTCACCAAGTGGTTGTCTCTGGAGCCGGTGGGCGACGTGAGCGTAGACGAAGAGGAGGAAGAGGAGATGAAGAGGAGGACTTCTGCGAAGAGCGAAGATGGGGAAGAAATGGTGAAGAAGGTGGTGATTTGTAGGAAGTCGCCGCCGGGGTCGCCGGGGTCGAGTGGTGGTTCCTCCAAGGAGGGGGATATTGTGTTGAGGGAGTTTGCGTTGCTGGAGTGCATGGAGAGGTTCTGGGTGATTTATAGTAAGGTGGATGTGGAGTATATGGAGATGAGGCAGGAGAAGAGGATGTTGTTGGGGCAGAATAAGCACTTTAGGGGGATGATTAGGGCGGTGCTGGAGGCGGCGGCGTTGGATCAGACTAATCCGACGAGTAAGGTGTCGACGAGGGTTGCTTCAAAGAAAAGTAGGGAGCCCCAGTCCGCACCGTTGAGGCGGATTCTGATTTAGAATGGTTCAAAAAGCAACTTTGACCATTTTTTCAGAAAATTTTTGAAAATTATAGACTTATTTTTTACGTTTATTTGAACAGATATTGTGACGGCGATTTCAGATACTTTATTAGCGGAAGACAATCTTCAAGTTGACACGAATTTTCAGTCGATCGAACCCAGTTTAACCATTTTTTGGAAAACAATTCGAAAATTTTATACTCACTTTCCACGTTTACTTGAATAAAAGTTTTATTGGTGATTTTGGATTCTTAATTAGGACATGATTAGCTATAATTTGACATCAATTTTCAGTCTATTGAATCCAGTTTAAACAGTTTTTTGGAAAAATTTCGAAAATTTTAAACTAATTTTTCACGTTTATTCAAATAGATATCGTGACGCCGATTTCGGATTCTTAATTAGGAGACGATTATCTAGATACAATTTGACACCAATTTTCTGTCGATTGGCCCTATTTTCAGGAGATTTTTGGAACAATTTTTGAAAATTTTAGGCTCCTTTTCATGTTTAATTGACTAGATATCGAAACGACGATTTCGGATTCGTAATTAGGACAAGATTATCTACAATTTGACACTAATTTTCAGTCGAACTTACCCATTTTAAGCAACTTTTTGGAAAATTTTTGAAAATTTAAGACTCATTTTTTCACATTTATTGGAACAGATATTGTGGCGGCAATTTGGCATTCTTAATTAACGGAAGGTTGTTTTCAATTTGACACGAATTCTCGGTCGATTGAACCCATTTTAAGCAGTTTTTTGGAAAATTTTTGAAAATTTTAGGCTCAGATTTCACATTTATTTGAAGACAGGTTTTGATGGGGAATTCGGATTCTTAATTCGGAGAAAATTATCTACAATTTGACACCAATTTTCTGTCGATTGACCCCATTTTAAGCAGATTTTTGGAAAAAATTTTGACAATTTTAGGCACCTTTTCACGTTTATTTCACTAAATATCGAAACGACGATTTCGGATTCGTAATTAGGAGAAGGTTATCTACAATTTGACATTAAATTTCAGTCGAATTTTGACCTTTTAAGCCGCTTTTTGGAAAATTTTTGAAAATTTAAGACTCCTTTTTTCACATTTATTTGAACAGATATCGTGACGGCAATTTGGCATTCTTAATTAACGGAAGGTTGTCTTCAATTTGACACGAATTCTCGGTCGATTGAACCCATTTTAAGCAGTTTTTGGAAAATTTTCAAAATTTCAGATTCATATTTCACGTTTATTTGAATATATATCGTGACGGCTATTTGGGATTCTTAATTAGGAGACGGTTGTCTACAATTTGACAAAATTTTTTGCCGATTGAATCCATTTTAAGCAATATTTCCAAAAATTTTGAAAATTTTTGACTTATTTTTCACGTGTATTTGAACACATTCCGTGACGCCGATTTCGGATTTTTAATTGGGAGAAGATTATCTACAATTTGACACAAAGTTTCAGTCGATAAAACATATTTTAAGCAGTTTTTTGGATTTAGACTCATTTTTCACGGTTATTTCACTGGATATCGTGATGACTATTTCAGATTCATAATTAGGAGAGCATTGTCTACAATTTGACACCAATTTCCAGCCGATTGAACTCATTTTAAGCAGTTTTTTGGAAAAATTTCGAAAATTTTAGGCTCAGTTTTCACGTTTACTTGAAGACAAATTTTGATGGGAATTTCTGATTCTTAATTCGGAGAAAATTATCTACAATTTAACATAAATTTTCAGTCGATTGAACCCATTTTAAGCAGTTTTTTGGATTATTTTTGGACACTTTCAATTCATTTTTTACGTTTTTTTGAACAGATATCGGGACGACGATTTCGGATTCTTAATTAGGGGAGGATTATCTTCAATTTGACACCAAATTTCAGTTGATTGATCCCATTTTAAGCAGTTTTTTGGAAACATTTTGAAAATTTTAGACTCATTTTTCACGTTTATTTGAACGAATATCGTGACAACAAATATCGAATTCTTAATTAGGGGAAGATTATCTACAATTTGACACCAATTTTCAGCCGATTGAACCCATTTTAAACAGTTTTTTGGAAAATTTTTGAAAATTTTAGGCTCAGATTTCACATTTATTTGAAGAGAGGTTTTGATGGGAATTTCGGATTCTTAATTCGGAGAAAATTATCTACAATTTGGCACCAATTTTCTGTCAATTGACCCCATTTTAAGCAGTTTTTTGGAAAAATTTCGAAAATTTTAGAGTCATTTTTCACGTTTATTTGAACAGATATCGTGACGCCAATTACGGATTCTTAATTAAGAAAAGATTGTCTTCAATTTGCCATGAATTCTCGGTGGATTGAACCCATTTTAAGCAGTTTTTTGGAAAAATTTTGAAAATTTTAGACTCATTTTCCACATTTATTTGAGCAGATATCGTGACGACGATTTCGAATTCTTTATTAGGGGAAGATTATTCTCAATTTCACACCAAATTTCAGTTGATTGAGACCATTTTAAGCGGTTTTTTGCAAAAATTTTGAAAATGTTGCAGTCATTTTTCACGTTAATTTTGAACGAATATCGTGACGGCAATTTTGGATTCTTAATTAGGAGAAGATTATCCACAATTTGATACCAATTTTCAGTCGATGGAACCCATTTTAAGCAGTTTTTTGCAAAAATTTTGAAAATTTTAGGCCCAGTTGTAACGTTTATTTGAAGAGAGGCTTTGATGGCGATTTCTCAATCATTATTAGAGGAAAATTATCTACAATTTGACATCAATCTTCAGTCGTTTGAACCCATTTTAAGCAGTTTTTTGGAAAATTTTTGGAAATTTTAGGTTCATGTTTCACGTTTATTTGAATAGATATCGTGACGACGTTTTCGGATACTTAATTAGGAGTTGATTATCTACAATTTGACACTAATTTTCTGTCAATTGACCCCATTTTAAGCAGTTTATTTGAAAATTTTTGAAAATTTTGCACTCATTTTTCACATTAATTTGAATTAATATCGTGACACCGATTTCGTACTCTCAATTATGAGAAGATTATCTACAATTTGACACCAATTTTCAATCAATTAAACCAATTTTAAGCAATTTTTTGGAAAAATTTTGAAAATTTTAGGATCAGATTTCATATTTATTTGAAGAGAGGTTTTGATGGGGATTTCGGATTCTTAATTCGGAGAAAATTATCTACAATTTGACACCAATTTTCTGTCAATTGGCCCCATGTTAAGCAGTTTTTGGAAAAATTTCGAAAATTTTAGACTCATTTTTCACGTTTATTTGAACAGATATCGTGACGCCAATTACGGATTCTTAATTAAGAGAAAATTGTCTTCAATTTGCCATGAATTCTCGGTGAATTGAACCCATTTTAAGCAGTTTTTTGGAAAAATTTTGAAAATTTTAGACTCATTTTTCACCTTTATATCAATACAGGTTTTAATGACGATTTTGGAATCTTAATTATGACAAAATTGTCTACAATTTGACATCAATTTTCAGTCGATTGAACCTATTTTAAGCAGTTTTTTGAAAAATTTTGAAAATTTTAGACCCAGTTTTCACATTTATTTGAAGAGCATGTTTTGATTGCGATTTCGGAATCATTATTAGAAGAAAATGATCTACAATTTGACAACAATTTTCCGTTGATTGAACCCATTTTAAACAGTTTTTTGGAAAAAAAAATTAAAATTTTGAACTCATTTTTCACGTTTATTTGAACAGATATTGTGACGGTATTTTCGGATTCTTATTTAGGAAGGATTTATCTACAATGTGACAACAATTTTCATTCGATTGAAGTTCACTTTAAGCAATTTTTTGGAAAAATTTTGAAAATTTTAGGCCCAGTTTTCACCTTTATTTGAACGAATATCGTGATGGCGATTTCGGATTCTTAATTAGGAGTGGATTATCTACAATTTGACATCAATTTTGAGTTGATTGAACCCATTTTAAACTGTTTTTTGGAAAAATTTTGAAAATTTTCGTCTCATTTTTCAGCTTTATTTGAATAGAGGTTTTAATGACGATTTTGGAATCTTAATTAGGAGAAGATTGTTTACAATTTGACATCAATTTTCAGTCGATTGAAACTATTTTAAGCAGTTATTTGGAAAAATTTTGAAAATTTTAGGCCCAGTTTTCACGTTTATTTGAAGAGAGGCTTTGATGGAAATTTCGGAATCATTATTAGGAGAAAATTGTCCACAATTTGATATCAATTTTCAATCGATTGAACCCATTTTAAGCAGTTTTTTGGAAAAATTTTGAAAATTTTGTACTTATTTTTCACGTTAATTTGAACAGGTAGTTTGGCTACAATTTCGCATTCTTAATTAGGAAAGGATTGTCTACAATTTGACAACAATTTTCATTCGATTGAACCCATTTTAAGCAGTTTTTTGGAAAAATTGTGATAATTTTTAACTCATTTTTCACGTTTATTTGAACGAATATCGTGATGACGATTTCGGATTCTCAATTAGGAGTGGATTGACTACAATTTGACACAAATTTTTAGTCGATTGAACCTAATTTAAGCAGTTTTTTTGTAAAAATTTTGAAAATTTTAGGCCCATTTTTCACGTTTATTTGAAGAGAGGCCCTGATGGCGATTTCGGAATCATTATTAGAAGAAAATTATCTACAATTTGACATCAATGTTCAGTCGATTGAACCCATTTTAAACAGTTTTTTGGAAAAATTTTGAACTCATTTTTCGAGTTTATTAGAACAGATATTTTTGCGGCATTGCCGGATTCTTAATTAGGTAAGGATTATCTACAATTTGACAACAATTTTCATTCGATTGAACCCATTTTAAGCAGTTTTTTAGAAAAATTTTGTACTCATTCTTGAAGTTTATTTGAATAGGTCCAATGACGACGATTTCGAATTCTCAATTATATGAAGACTATCTTTAATTTGACACCTATTTTTAGTCGTTAAGCAGTTTTTTGGAAACATTTTGAAAATTGGGAAGCCAGTTTTCACGTTTATTTGAAGAGAGGCTTTGATGGCGATTTCGGAATCATTATTAGAAAAAAATTATCTACAATTTGACATCAATTTTCAGTCGATTGAACCCATTTTAAACAGTTTTTTGGAGATATTTTGAAAATTTTAGACTCATTTTTCACCTTTATTTCAACGAATATCGTGATAGCTATTTCGAATTCTTAATTAGGAGTGGATTGTCTACAATTTGACACCAATTTTTAGTCGATCGAACCTATTTTAAGCAGTTTTTTGGAAAAATTTTGAAAATTTTAGGCTCAGTTTTCACGTTCATTGGAAGAGAGCTTTCATGGGGATTTTGAATCTTAATTAGGAGAAAATTATCTACAATTTGACATCAACTTTCAGTCGATTGAATGCATTTTAAGCAGTTTTTTGAAATAATTTTGAAAATTTTAGGCCCAGTTTTCATGTTTATTTGGAGAGAGGTTTTGATGGCGATTTCGGAGTCATTATTAGAAGAAAATTATCTACAATTTGACATCAATTTTCAGTTGATTGAACCCATTTCAAGCAGTTTTTTGGAACAATTTTGAAAATTTTGAACCCATTTTTCACGTTTATTTGAACACATATTTTGGCGGCATTTTCGGATTCTTAATTAGGAAAGGATTATCTACAATTTGACAACAATTTTCATTCGATTGAACCCACTTTAAGCAGCTTTTGGAAAAATTTTGAAAATTTTCCACTTCGTCTTCAAGTTTATTTGAATAGGTCCAGTGACGACGATTTCGGATTGCCAATTATATGAAGACCATCTTTAATTCCACAGCAAGTTTCAGTCGATTGAATCCATTTTAAGCAGTTTTTTGGAAAAATTTGGAAAATGTTAGACCCATTTTTCATGGTTATTTGAACAGATATTTTGGCGGCAATTTCGTGTTCTTAATTAGGAGAAGATTGTCTACAATTTGACACCAATTTTCTGGCGATTGTACCCATTTTAAGCAGTTTTTTGGAAAAACTTTTGAAAATTTTAAACTCACTCTTCACGATTATTTGACTAAATATGTTGACGACGACTTCGGATTAATTAGGACAAGGTTATCGACAGTTTGACTGCAACTTTCAGTCGATTCAAGCCATTTTAAGCAGATTTTTGGAAACATTTTGATAATTTTTGACCTACTTTTCACGTTTATTTCACCAGATATCGTGACGACGATTTCGGATTCTTAATTAGAAGATTATCTACAATTTGACAGCAATTTTCAGGCGATTGTACCCATTTTAAGCAACTTTTAGGAAAAATTTTGAAAATGTTAGACTCACTCTTCACGTTTATTTGACTAATAAATATGGTGACGACGACTTCGTATTCTTAATTAGGACAATTTTACTGCAATTTTCAGTGGATTCAAACCATTTTAAGCAGATTTTTGGAAAATTTTTGTTAATTTTTGACTTATTTTTCACGTTAATTTGACCAGACATCGCGACGACGATTTCGGATCCTTAATTAGGAGAAGGTTATCTGCAGTTTGGGACCAATTTTCATTCGATTGAACCCATTTTAAGCGGTCTTTTGGGACAATTTTGAAAATTTTAAATGAAGCAGAACTTATTACAAATTATTATTGTTTAGATTTAATTTTTCCCAACTTTGTAATACATAATAAATGTCATTGTAAATGTAAGCGGCAAAATAAAAAAATGTAAATTTTATAATATGTGCAACAATTTTTTTCAACGATGTTTAAATAATAAATTTATTACTTACCTGCCATTTCTAAGTAGCTGAATTCTTCAAATTTAGACTGAGGACAAACAATTCCCATTACCTACGACAATATCGTGTAAATAAATTTTGCCGCCTCGTCGAAATATAGATTATAATCAAACTAACAAACCCAAATTTGTTTTATAAATCGCGGCTAATTAACATTAATTTGTTGTTTCCGTTTCTTTTCATTACCAAATTATCCGTAGTAAGAAACACTGTAAACATTAGCGGCAAAATAGAAAAATCGAAATTTTCCATTTTTGAACTTGACCTTGTACCCATTTTGATAACAACAATTCCCACGCCCATGGTGCTGGTACTCAAAACTGTAAATTAACTGGAATATACCCATTCATAACCAGTAAATTGAATGTTACGACTCCGATAAGGTGAAAGTCATTGTCAATCGCCCGCTTTATCAGCCGTTTAACAAATTTATGTTGAGACTACACGAACCCAGAAACAAGTAAACAAAGATAATTCGTAACAATAATTTTATTCAAGTTATTGCTCGTTACACATCCACATCTCAAATAAATTACATTATTGCCTTAATTTTACACAGTTACAACGGAGATTTCGAAAATTTTCAATAAGAACACGTTACTCAGTCGCTCTATATTGTCGCTTTAAGTAGATACCACAGACCGACCACTAGCTTAATTTGGCACAATTAAGTAAATCGAATCGAATTAAACCTATTAAAAGTATGTACAAAAATAAACTTCTTACATCAAATCATCACAATAAATAAACATTTTCGAAAATTACTGCAATTCTCACTAAAGTCACTAGTATGGCAAATTGTCCCTTAAGATGGCCTGCTTGATGTGCTTGAACTTCTCGCACTGGCCCCACCAGGAGCTCTTCACGCACACCTTCTTCGGCTTGATCACGAAGCATTTGGTTTGGACTACGTTGAAAAATAATTTTCCTACGAGGTTGGAGTCACTGCTGTCCACCACTTTGAGGCATGCGCGGAAGCTGCAAAAAAGAGAGGTTATGTAACTTTTGAAATATTTATTAATATATTATTTGTTATTATTATTATGAGACTGCTCGAAAAGTGTGTCGACTGACAGCTAGTGACAGTAAAAAATTGGTCGAAGATTATTTTAACAGAACTTTCCTCGTCGCTCAAGTGTCATAGCTAAAAATATTTAAATCCTACTATTCTCCCTGAGGAAAAATCGCTACTACACACCAACAATACCGCTTGCGGGACAAAAGCGCCCCGATCGTAAAATCAGAGGGTTGGCGGTGTCGGCGGCGGCAATGAGACAGTAGGCCGTGTCTAACAATTGACAGGCGCAGAAAAGGGGCGGCCAAGTGTGAAGATACTTCTCAATCAGATAATACTCGTACGGGTCATTTCTTTGCCGCCTCCCGCTCGTGTCAACGCGGGCCCAGGATTCCTGTACAGGTCCGGACCGCACACTTTCCCCATTGTGCCTTCACCACCCCCTCATCCACCATTTCTACAACAACTCCAGGAGCAATTTCCAAAACACAATGCCGCGGTGCAACAAATTAACGAAAAAGTTTGTTATTAAGTGAGCAAGGAAGTCACTTGGGCAACGCCGGCCCTGTGCGCTGCACGTTAGTCATTTGTAGTTTCTGCTCGAGTTGAGCCACGCACGGTTCGCGATACCCCAATATTTTTCCAGGGTTGTATTAATCAATAAATTTCAATTTATGCGTGTCGTCAGTCAATTGGATTTATGTCGCGGGTGATAATGCCGATAATTGATGGGGACTTCGGCACTGGAGAGTCGGAATGGTCGAGTACGGATCTGGGATTTTATTGCTTTGCAACAGATGTGGCGATTGTTGGATTTTTGGTTCGTGGCGCGGAACGCCCTGATTGGCGGATGGAATTAATATTTATGCCATTTTTGGAAATGGGGTTGGGGTGGTCATAAACAAGCATGGGCGGCGGTCGACCGGAAATACGTGATAAAGTGACGTCGTGAATATGCGATTAGTGGGAGTTTTTTCAGGAAAATCGGTGATGTTGATATTTTCAGTAGTTTCAGCCGGTTGGAAGTACAAAGTGGTTGTGTTTATCTGGGGGATCTGGGAGATTTATTGGGGGGAAAGTCACTTTATTTTCAAATAAGTTAAAGGTTTGGTTTCTTAGTCTCGATGAAAAAGTAAAATTAAAAAATACTGAAATGACGTCATTAATTTTACAAAGACGATGAATAAACAAATTTTATTCCGGGTTCTGTGCTCATCAAAGCACCGAAAAATTGAAATGAAGAACTAAAAAATCGGTCCAAGGCTATTTCGGCGGAACTTCCCTCGCCCTCGAAATACAGTCCAAGAAAAATTATACAATTTGATTTTGCGGTATTTTATTCGTGATAATGATAATCTGTATACATAAAGAAAATATGGATAATAGCAGTAACAGTGTAAGAAAGTTCATTTAACTTAACTAATTGCAAAAATATAGACACATCGAGGTCTATTTCGTCGATAAGAGGGAACTCGCTACAAAGCATAATTTCTTGAATATTTGACCATATTTTAACTATCCTTCAAAAACGTTAGGTTTCTTGAATATTTAATATAATTTTATGCTTAGTTCTCGAGCACCTTCTTCGCTCAATTTATCGAAAAAATAAAAATCGAATCGTGGTTTTTATTTTCAAATTTATTATCGACAAGATGGTTTCCCACGTCCTTCATAATTTTCATGAAATTTCAGACATAAGTTCGAGAAAAATCATTGGAAAATTCTTTACGTCAATTTGAGGTTCATTTACAAAAACAAAATATCGTTTCAGATGGATAGATCAAAAAACGTGAAAATTTAGCCACATTCCTCAGATTCATTATCCTAAGTGTGCTGTTGTAAAATTAAGAAATCTATGGATAAAGACAAGATCCCTCCAAAATTATTTTGAATATTGAAAGTCCAATTGATTTCAGATACCCAACACAAAGTAGTGTATTAAATTTATAATTAAAATAAAATGGTAACATTTCGAAAAAAAAGCTTTGAAAGGATTTTTAAGACGTTTTATTTCCGTCTCTCCATTCTAAACGAATTGAGTATCCGGTTTGAAAATTAACTCGTAGGACTAGAAATTCGCCACAAAGCGAATGGTTCAAACCCTAAACCGTAATCTCGGACGGTTCTGGAGTTATGACCCGTTAAATTTGAAAAAAAAGACTTTTTAATTTGGAAATACCATCGTTTTATATTCGTCACAGGTCGAATATTTGCTTTGAAAATGAACTCGTAGAACTGGAAATCTTCGAGAAATCGAATATTTGGAACTCCAAAGTGGATTTTTGAACCATTCTGGAGCTGAGCCGTTAAATTTGAAAAAAACTTTCTTAATTGAGAAATACGATCGTTTTATATTAACTTATACTTTTTCGTCTTTCTCGAAAAGCTGAAGAAATGAAAAACTGAAAAATGTAAAAATTAAAAATTCAAAACTCGTGAAATTTCAAATTTAAAAACTGCAAAATCTAAAAACTGAAATGTCCGGAAGTTGGAAAATCGGAAACCTGGAAAATTTAAAAATAAAAACTCGAAGAGATAACGCAAAATTGTAGAAAAGAAAAACAAAAACTTGAAAAATTGCAAATGGAAAAATTGACGAAACGAAAAATTGCAAGTGGAAAAATGAAAAATTGAAAACTCGAGAAATTCAATTCGAAAAATTGCAAAATCTATAAATTTAAATTGAAAAGTTCAAAAGTTTAAAACTCGAAAAAATTGAAATCGAAAAAATGAAAGATTGTAGAACTAAAAAAAAAACGATCAATTAATTCGGAAATGACCTGGTCTCTCCGTACTAAAAGAATTGGTCTGAAAATTAGCTCGTAGGACTAGAAATTCGTAAGAAATGAAATGCTTCAAACCTTAAAACCGTATTTATGAACCTTTCAACCCGATAAATAATCATTAATCTTTGTTTTTTTTTTAATATATAGAGTTTTCTTTCAACAACATTATAGTTAACATGTTTTCAGTTTCTTGTTGGAAGAAAAGACTTCGTATACTAAGAAAAAACGAACAAAATATAAGCCCCGCCCACCCACCCCTTCTCAATTGTAAAGAATTTTTTATGCATCGTGAGCTGAAGGGTGGAGTTTAGTTGCTAAATCCTCATTTCTATACAAAAAATTACCATATGAAATATGTTTTTAAAAAGGTAGTATTTTCTAGAGAAATTTTGACGTTACAATTAAACTCCGCCCCTCGGTCTAATTAGGAATGAAACACTTATTACAATTGAGATCGGGTGGGTGGGTGGGGCTTAATCTTTATTTTTTCTTTATATACGTAAGCCACGTAGAATAACTTATACTTTCTCGTTTTTCTCGAAAAGCCCAAGAAATGAAAAACTGAAAAATGGAAAAACTAAAAATTCAAAATTAGTGAAATTTCAAATCTAAAAAGTGCAAAATCTAAAAACTGAAACGTCCGAAAGTTGGAAAATCGGAAAACTGGAAAATTTAAAAATGAAAACTCGAAGAGATCACCCAAAATTGTAGAAAAGAAAAACAAAAAATTGAAAAATTGCAAATGGAAAAATTGACGAAACGAAAAATTGCAAGTGGAAAATTTACAAAATGAAAACTCGAAGAGATCACCCAAAATTGTAGAAAAGAATAACAAAAAATTGCAAATGGAAAAATTGACGAAACGAAAAATTGCAAGTGGAAAATTTAAAGATGAAAACTCGAAGAGATAACGCAAAATTGTAGAGAAGAAAAACAAAAAATTGAAAAATTGCAAATGGAAAAATAACGAAACGAAAAATTGCAAGTGAAAAATGAAAAATTGAACTCTAGAAATTCAATTCGAAAAATTGCAAAATCTATAAATATAAATTGAAAAATTCAAAAGTTTAAAACTCGAAAAAATTGAAATCGAAAAAATGAAAGATTGCAGAACTGAAAAAAAAAACGATTTTTTAATTCGGAAATGACCTGGTCTCTCCGTATTAAATGAATTGGTCTGAAAATTAGCTCGTAGGACTAGAAATTCGTAAGAAATCGAATGCTTCAAACCCTAAACCCTATTTATGAACCTTTCAACCCTCTAAATAATCGTTAATCTTTGTTTTTTTTTTTAATATATTGAGTTTCCTTTCAATAACAGGATAGTTAACATGTTTTCAGTTTCTTGTTGGAAGAAAAGACTTCGTATATTAAGAAAAAACGGACAAAATATAAGCCCCGCCCACCCACCCCTTCTCAATTGTGATGAATTTTTTATGCATCGTGAGCTGAAGGGTGGAGTTTATTTGCTAAATCCTCATTTCTCTACAAGAAATTACCGTATCAAATATGTTTTTAAAAGGGTAAAGTTTTCTAGAGAAATTTTGACGTTACAATTAAACTCCGCCCCTCGGTCTAATTAGGAATGAAACATTTATCACAATTGAGATCGAGGCGGGTGGGTGGGGCTTAATCTTTGTTGTTTTTTCTTTATGTACATAAGCCACGTAGAATAACTTATACTTTCTCGTTTTTCTCGAAAAGCTCAAGAAATGAAAAACTGAAAAATGGAAAAATTAAAAATTCAAAACTCGTGAAATTTCAAATCTAAAAACTGAAACGTCCGAAAGTTGGAAAATCGGAAAACTGGAAAATTTAAAAATAAAAACTCGAAGAGATAACGCAAAATTGTAAAAAGAAAAACAAAAAAATTGAAAAATTGCAAATGGAAAAATTGACGAAACGAAAAATTGCAAGTGGAAAAATTAAAAATTGAAAAGTCGAGAAGTTCAATTCGAAAAATTGCAAAATCTATAAATATAAATTGAAAAATTCAAAAATTTAAAACTCGAAAAAATTGAAATCGAAAAATGAAAGATTGTAGAACTGAAAAAAAAAAATTTTTTAATTCGGAAATGACCTGGTCTCTCCGTCCTAAAAGAATTGGTCTGAAAATTAGCTCGTAGGACTACAAATTCGTAAGAAATCGAATGCTTCAAACCCTAAACCGTATTTAT